ATATTGCCGGTAAAAATGAAGGCAAAACACAAGTATATTTATGACCTTAGCTTTTTAAACTAGCGCAATGTTATTGTCAATAACTTTTCTCGCTTGGTGATTGGCTACTGATGACAAGTAAAGGAGTTTCAGTGCCGAAAAAAATTGATCGGTTGAGTCACGCCACTGCCCTGCATTAATCGGGAATTTTAAAAAATTGTTTTGCAAACTTCAAACAAGAATGAGATCAGCGATCTTTATTGTTTTGAAAGACGGAGGCATTTTAGGGCTATATAAAGTCATAAATTAGCCCAAGATTAAACACTGTTGCAAAGAAAGATTTTGGAGCCGTTAAAGTAACCGAAGAAGTCGAAGAAATGTACGGTTGAGCTGTCTGTAGATCAAACTAGCCTGGCAGTCTTGAGAGGTTGCTAACCGATCAGTACGAACAGAAATCGTATACGACCGGTTGTTTACTCCAGTTCTCGTCTTGTTTGTCGCCCTGCCAGTTAGCTACATGAGCTGTGTGCAATCAAACCGAAAGGTGGGTTTTATATGTATGAAGGTTTCAATTCAACTTACCAAGTACTTACAAAGTTTCATAAAGTTTGTACAAAAAGTTTGTTTTGCTTTCGGAAAAAAGGATCAGAAAAACATTCAGTACTTGTCAAGAGAAAACTACCGTGATTAATGTGTTTATTTTTAATAAACTAGACTTTCAAAGACTGCTGTTGCCAATGAACTTTGAGAGCATATGTCTTCGAGCGTTTTTTTCCTCTGCTTAAATCTGCGTTCCGTAAAAATCCCAGCACTGACACTGTGTTATTGAAAGTTGAAAAACGACCTGTTAATGAATATGAATAATGGTTATGTATCGCTTCTTGTTTTGCTAGACTATAAGTGCCGTATTTGATACGGTAGATCACGAGATCCTAATACATAGACTGCACACAGAGTTTGGCCTTGGAGGCGCAGTTCTTTCGTGGTTCGTTTCGTATGTAACCCATCGATCACAGCGAGTTACGGTTGAAGGCATGGTGTCTGATATCTTTGATCTGTATTCTGGAGTTTCTCAAGGGCCCTGTCTTGGCCCTCTACTGTTTTCGATCTATGCCAGCAAGATATCTGATGCTATTATTCATTCAAAATATGATTCATCATAACCAGCTATTGTCAACCAAATTTGGAGGAATTTTGCGATATGTGAAAAATGACGTCAATAGTGCAGCAAAAATGCCAGATTATTGAACCGTTAACCGAGAAGACCTGGGGACGAGGCTGAACTGCTTTGGTGGTGACTGCAAAACAGAGGAACATTTCACCCGTTTCACGAGGAAAAAGTAGGCCATTTATTGGCTAAAAACATAGCAAGAATTACTAGAAGACAACTCGACGGACGACATCTGCTATTTGGAGAATATTTGCGGACCTGAACAACCCTTTATCGCCTGAATTTGCCGATAAACATGTAACATCGAAGATGAACCTAAGACTATGGGGATGGAGGTAAGCATGCTTTAGCTTGTTGTCAAACTAGGAATTATTTTGAATGAATAATAAAACAATATTAATAAAAACAGTGTTGAATTCGGCTTTCGTATCATTTGAAAAACTATGAAGATCTCAGAAGCTGTAAACACCCTCCTCGACCTCCATAATTCTTCAGATGATACTCAGTCTCATTCAAAGACAATCATGATTGTTTATTATTATTAATCCCTTACTTGGGGCGATTTTCATGTGCCCAAATTACTATAACGTATTTTGCAAGCACATTAACTCAGAGAGCATTATTTTCCTTTTGAATTTAGTTTGACTGGAATTACAATGTAAGATCTGCGTCTGAATCAATTTAGCCGGTCTTTATTTTGGGCAGATCCGGTTTTCCTGCATTTGTTAAGTTACTTAAAGTTAAATTCATAAGATACTTTTTTCATTGTATACATACACGAACACCACTGACTAGGTGAAACCTCAAAATACATAAAAACAAAAAAAGTGTGATTATATTAAAGGGACAATAAAAGTCACTTTGAAAAACGCACACGATGTTTGCTAATTGCTTATAATAAGAGAATTTTAAGCAAGTCAGCGCTGGCTTTCTTTCAAACGGAACATTGTTACCTAAGAGTCACAGATCAGAGATCAAAATTACAAGTTCAGTGTTCTTTAGTGGTGTAAGGTTCTGGCTCAAGAATCAAATTGGACAGTATATTTGTAATATTCAAGAGTGGCGTCACCTTCAAGCTCCTTGCCTTCAAACATTAGACGTTGCTGCTAAGGTAAAATTCCTTCTTGGTTCTGTATTACTTGTTTCATGCCCTCAACTGTACACCCCGGATACAGGGGTAAAGAAATCGTCTTTCCACTCTGCAATTTTACGAATATCAGGGATAGCAAGAAGAGAGTGGATTCATGCTGGATGTTGTAGTCGCTCAGAATGCCATAATTTTTCAGTGGCTTGTTATTAAAAAAGAGAATTTGTTGGTCTGGCGGAAGCCCCAATATCTCTTGAATTCTCGTCTTCACACTGTCAATGGAATCCTTTGGTTCAACTTCCAACTTGATCGTTTTACCAGTCATTGTTTGCACGGAAATGGCCATGGGTGGCTTTTGCGGCAGCCGAAGTCTAACAACCAAATGCACAGGAGAGTAAAGGGTCGATTCCTCGTTGACGCCATAGTCGCTCAATGCGCAGTGGTCTTCGAGTTTCTTCCAACGAAAGATCAGACGCTGTTGGCTAGGTGGAAACCCTTGCGTCTCAGAAATTTTAATCTTCATCTCCTTAACAGAATCCCTTGGTTTGACTTTTAACACGATAATTTCCCCAGACATTGCCTTAATGGTGATCTGCTGTTCACGATCAACTAGAAAAAACAAAAATGAGAGGGTTAAGTAAGGGGTTATTGACCTGGACTTGCACCACGACAGGCTCATTATCGCCAAAAGGATTAAAATTTAAACTAACGATTGTATTTATCGTACCATACATCTTGTTAGACTACGATAACCACCATCAGTATGATGTGTTTACATAACCGGTTCTGGGAGAAAATTGCAAATATCCTTCAAGCGAACCAGAAGAATTGTACGAATGGCTTTGTGGTGGAGAGGTGGAGGGAGGAGGGGGTGGGTATAAGGCAATACGAAAGATAAATTTGAAAAAGCGAACATGGCAGGAAAAATTGTATCAACTATTGCCACCTTCCCGCGCCTCCTCCACCCCATGTTATAATCAAATCAATACTCAACATTTACATGCCTTAAAAAAACATGGTTTGACAATCGAGCATTTGGCATTGGGCTCTCGGAACTCAGTACAATGACATTTGATTGAGAGACCGCCGAACATGGCTTCCCTTTGGGCAACTGCCCAATGCCCGAAGCACTTTTTATTGAATCCGACGTCTGTCTCGTTGTTCAGTAGGGGTTTACCTTAGGATATTTCATTTGACGATTCTTGGGTTTAATCTTGAATATTGGTAGGCATATTTGAGATTCAAATAAATTTCAATTAAATCAACGAAGGTTTCCTATATTTCACAGTTGCAAACCTAGACAAACAACTACTGCGCCGAAGCGACGGAGGTTGATTCTACAAAGTCAAATCTCCAGGACGGCGCACAGCTGTTATTCTTAGCTTTGACTGAGTATACGTCCCTTTTTTTTACCGTGCTGAGCAAGGTAAGCCTTTCCTCTCTTTCAGGATGGTCTTCAAATAAGGAGCCAGAAGAAAATCTCTTGATCGTTAAAAGTGACGGATCGGCCGCAACACTATCTTAGTTAGAGCTTACTTCTCAAATACCACGAAACCAGAAGAGCAGCCACTTATGAGTGTTACGTAAAACGGCGATTGTGTTTGTTCAAACAGCTGACGATTGTATGAACAAAGACAAGCTGTATCATGCCGGTTTGTTTGAGTGGTGTAGGAGCTGCTCGGAAGGTCTCTTAGCTCTTAATTGGTTGCAATGTCATGTTATCTTCTAACTGTTTTAGTATTGTTTGGGGTCAGGGAAACTCACCATTGGTGAATTCTCTTCCGAGTAGCTGCTACATGACCCTTTTGTTTCTCGTTGTTGGTTTGATGTCGTTTTTGTTGTTGTAATGTCTTCCGATCGATCAGGATCGTCTACATGCATGATGCCCATGCATCAGAATTTATCGATATTACAGCTCAATGAAACAAGTAGGCTGAGCATGATCGTCCGGGTGAACGTAGTCGTGAATAGGACTGTTGTTGACTGTGACTGACAGTGACAGTTGACGCGTATGTTTCAGGGATGCTGTGCGTAAGGCTGTAGTATACGTGCGATAGTTTTAGAGGTGCCTTTGATGTACGGTATAGTCACTGTTCTAACAGCGCCAGAGTTCACGTTGGTCTTGAGTGTTGGAATTGGCGTTTCTCTGAGTGTTACAAAGTCCGCGTTGTAGTTGCTTTTACTAAAAACGTTGTTTAAGTGATCAGTCACGTTTTGTAGGCTGTCAGGCAAGTAACAAACTAGTTGTTTGTTGTGGTCGTCTCTTCAGAGTCCGTATAGTTATAGCTTTGTGAGAGGTCGGGTTGTAAGAGAACTGGAGCTCTAGTAATCTGTCGGTATACGTATGGTCAATTACCAGAGTTTAATACCATCAACCGACTAGCCTGGGGCCAGGCTCCGCAGTGGGGAAAAAAGCAAAAACAAAAATAAGGAAAGTATCAGCGAGCGATGCGATCCCAACAGTAGTCTGGGGGAGGGGAAAAGGGCGCCACCCTTTCCACTCCCCATATTCTCCTTTTTGCCTCAACGCGGAGCCTGGTCCCAGGCTATCAACTGACGCGATACAACTCACTTTGACTCTGAAGGTGACTACCGCACAGGTGTTAGTCACTGTCAATAACACCAGTCCTATTCAGGACTAAGTTCACCCACTAGCAGACGATCATGCTCAAGCTACTTAGGAAGATATGACTACTGTGTTCAAACCTTTCACAAATCAATGAAAACAAGCCGTAAAATATCAGCTGCCTGTTGAAGACTTTGTTAAATAATTTTATCGTACCCACCTTCTTGTTTACAGAAATACTCTCGGCAAGTTCTGTATTCTTCTTCCTCGATTGTTGTTGTTAGTTTCACTTCAGTTAGACCAAGCTTCTTCAGAATGTCCTCTGTCACTAGGAATGCCTGAACAACTTTACCTAAATTGCCTGTACAATAGTCTTGCCACAGTTCATCAAGAATCTCCAACGAAGTACACTCCAGTATAATTTTCAAGCTTCCAGACGTTTTATCAACAACAATCACTTGACGTACCTTTTCCATATATACTATAAAAGCATTAAACTCCTCCAGTGTTGATGGTTTTATGCTTTTTAAGTACATGGTAGAAATTAAAGTCAAAACGTCTTGTGGGGCGGGAAATCCTTCCTTTCGTACATTTTCTCCCTGAAAATTCGTTCTAGCGGACGTTTCTTGCAGAATTGACGTTCCAGGTGCTTCTGCGCTCCCTTGCATTACACCTTGGGATTCCTGTGGTGTTTCTATCATTCCTATAGCTCCTCGTTGTGTACCACGTCCATGAATGGCCAAGCAATCAATCAATAGTGTAAGCAGAGCTAGTGACAAAAAGTGTGTTAAATTAATCTAGGTGCCCAAATCGTAAGATCTTTCCCTTCTTCCCCACAAATCTATGAATTGTATGTGCTCATTATTTAGTTTGTTTAGTAGTCTTGTTTTAAAGATATTCGAATATTCAGACGCACACCATCCCGTCCATAACACCAGCGCTAATTCTCACAAAATTGCAATTAAATCTTGGAACATAGTGACTCAAGCGATAGGTTTTTGATGTGAATTTTGATTATTCATTATCCACAAGTTTGTGTAAAAATCTATAACAAATTCTGTGCAAGATCCAAAGACCTTGTCAGTTCAATAATTCAACGGGGACAGACAGCAAATTCAGTGTTTTTGCTAGAAATGTAGTCGTAACTGTTCATCAGTCAAGGGTGCCCGCCTTAAGTGCTTTCATCTCAACAATTGGTTTCGGCTCCATTAAATCCTATACCAATTGTACAACATTTCAGGAGGACCCACCCACAATGTGAGCACAGTTAAGCTTTCAAGCTTCATGCAAACGGACGCAACATTGTTGGTCAACAACTCCCGACATTAATGGATGTCACATGTTGCGTCTGTTTGCACACCCTGTTGTATGTTGTTGCTTGTTGGGAGTTGTTGTGCAAAGTCTGCGCGTAAGCTCTGAGAGACTTTGCGGCTGTGTAGCCACAATTGTGACCAAATTTGGAAGAACTTTTCGATTAATCAACCGATGACGTCAAAAGCGCAGCACAGTTGCAGGTTAATGCACCGTTAACCAAGAAGACCTGGGGACGAGGTTGAGTTGTTTTGGTTGTGAAAACAAAAATGCAGAACGTTCTGAGAACATTTTACTCGTTTCACGACGGACTATTGTCTAAAAACATAGCAAAAAGACAACTCGATGGACAACATCTGCTATTTGGAGAATATTTGCTGACCTGAACAGCCCTTTATCTTCTAAACATCCACTATCGAGTTGAAGTTGACATCGACGAAGGTAAGCAATTTTTTAGTTTGTTTTTAAACTAGGAATTATTTTGAATGAATAATAAAACAATTAAAAAATTAATGAATTCGGCTTTCGTAGAATATGACGAATCATTCATTAATTGCTAAATGTGTCACGCTTCTTAAATTATAGCTGGTAAAGAAGTTGGTGCATTTTATTTTATTTTTCACATTCAACTCTTTTTTCTTGGTCAATAGACCATTTGCACTAAGAGGTCATGTGACATCTTTTCTATGAAAATGAAGTTATATGATTTTGCCTACGAAAAACGATTAGTGGGTCATCTCTTAAACAAAATAATAGTGATTTGGTTTTTCAAACCCACACCCACACTTAAAACGAGTAAGATTGTATCTGGTCACGCGACCAAAATGTGAGTTTTAAAATGATGAATTACCTCTTTCTGAAAGCAAATTTTGCACTTAAACTTCAAGGAAAATGTTGAAAGGATGATGTGGTAACATTTAAAGCACATCTGAGCGTAACTATCAAACGTTCAACAAGATATAAGCAAAAAGTAGTTTTGACCGCCATGTTGGAGGGCAAGAGTATGCCCGCTTAAAGCACGCTTACACACAACCTACACAAACTGCATGAAAAGGATCCCTCCATGTAATATCAATTCCTTTGTATCTAATTACGAATTTGTGGCTGTATGCCAACGATACAACCGAATATGCCTCGGATCCCTTTCCAATGGTCTTGTAGTATGTGCATTCTAATCTTAGCGTGTGATCAAGCTCGTTTGAATTGAATTATATTACTTAAAGATTAATGCAGCAAAACCGCAAGCAGTTGCCACTGGGCCATCGTCATATGAATATGAATTTCATCTTAAGGCTGCTTTTATACTACGCACGCATTAACCGTCGTGATGAACTTGGACAAACATTTATAGTTCGTCTGGTGATGCGTCACGAGTATGGACGAACTATCTCTCTGGCAGTTCGTCTGGACGCATAATGCTTCTTGTGCCCGTCTTTATGCTTGAGACGCGTAACCAGACGAGCTACAAAATATTTGCCCAAGTTCGTCCAGACGAATAATGCGTCCTTAGTATAAAAACGGCCATTGTAGAGACACAAGATACACTTAAGATTCTAGGAATGATTCTGGAATGCAAATTAAATTTCAAAAAGCACATAAAAAACCAGTTTAAATTCAAAAGATGCAATGGTACGTCTCTATAATTCGTATGTGCTTCCGCAGTAGAATATTGTAGTCCTCTTCTTTTGGGTATTGTTAATGTCGAGGCTAATAAAATGGAGAACACTAACTATTACTACTATTATTTATTAATATTTGTTTTAAACTATTCGAAGTCTGTGTCATAAGAGACCCTTTTGAAAATTGCTGATATCAAGTCGTTAGAACAACGTCGACAGCTTCAATCGTTAATGATGTGGAACAAGTGTTTGTACAATCAGGACGCACCGTATATTAGTGGATTTTTAGCTTTAAGAATGTTTCGAATAATTCACATGGGCGTGGTTCAAGGCTTGAGCCGCCATCTTTTAATTTAGAATGCATGCATAAATCTTTTACCTTTTTAGCTAGCAAACGGTAGAATACTTTACTGCCAATGATTACAGAATACAAACATGTAAGAACTTTTAAGTGGTCTCTTGAAACCTTCATGTCTAAAAGCGTTTAAATTCAATAAGGAATTTAAATTTCATCTGTAAATATTATTTGTAAATATTATCTGTAAATATTAATTGTGAATATTAGCCTATTAGGTTTTTAGATTGCTCTTTATTACATGATTAGTTTTTATTGATTTCTTTTATTCTTTTACATTTATTTTTTTATACACTTATACGTTTTAACGAGCATATGTGAGCTCCTAAGTGTTACAATAAACATTTCACGTTGATTGACAGTCGTCAACTCAAGACGACGCTTTTGTACCTTAAAAATTCAACCCCAGAAAAATTCGTCCACATTTGCCATATCTAACAAAGCGATATAATAGCGATGAAGCTTGAAACAGCGTCCGAGTGCGAGCGTCGTTTTCGCTACCGTCACCGTCATGGCTACTTAGTTCCCTTTTTATTCCGATCCATACGCCTTAAAAATATAAAATCCCACGCTACGCTCCCTGGTTGATACGAGGCGTGTGGACTCATTTGGTTTCACAACTGCCATGAGTCTACCATTTGGTGCAAAAATAGTATTGTACTATGAATTGAGTATTTAACTTACCCCCAGAAGACTCTGAGCCGGAAGCCGAGGAACTGAGTGTGGTAATTGACTGATTCATCTCCTCCAATTGATCCTTAAATTTACGAACTGTCTCCTCTATCATGTTTGTAACATTATGTGTGGTAGTTTTTAGGTCTTTTTTGATGCCTTGGGCTTCCTCACGTACTGCTGACTCTATCCTATCCATACCTTTTTGCGTTGTTTCTTCAAACTCTTTGATGTTTTTCGATTCTTCTTGAGTTGCTATCTGAGTGTTAACATTCACAGGTCATTTCATAGTAGGATAAATATTAAATAAATCATTGCCCTAAAGTTGCAAAGTAACTGAGCAGCCTGAGATTGTAAAATTCTATGGAATGCAAGTAAACTTTCTTTTAATACAATAAGGTTAATTGCTCCAAATCCTACCTCTAAATCCTTTAAAGATTGCTTGACGTCCACATCACTTTTATACCACGCGTCTAGTTCCTGCACATTTTGTTCATCTTCAGTTGTAAGAGGATCTGTCAAATATTTAGCAATCGCTTCTTGCCATGCAGTTTTCCTTGTAGAACTGATCTGCCCAGCAATCCTCACGAGAGATTCACTGATTTCTTGCCAAAGTGTTAAAAACCCACTATCTCTAATCGCCATGCCTTGGTTCACGTGACCATACACCGAGTTTCGGTAATACTTTATTCTTGCTAAATCAGCTGTTAAACTGTGATCTGTACTAACCGGTAGTGCATCCCATCCTGTGGTGGGAGGGGTGAGGCTGCATATTGTCCTCAGCAAACTGAATAGCAAGGTGACATCAAAATCTGCTGAATTGCCATATACCCCTGGGGATGGATTAAGACAGTGCCGCTGTGCCTTGGTGAGTTTTGCAGCTTTGAGCTGGTTCTTTGTGGCTGGATTGCTAAGGATCGTAGGAAGCTGACTTGGAGGACATCTAGAGTCAAAAATCTCCCTCAGTAGGCTGGTCCCTCCACTTATTAAAAGTCGTGTAATGCGCTGGAAATTTTCTTTTCCATTCGTTGAACGAAGGATTTCTTCTGGATCTGGAGCGGCCGCCATTTTCTCTCAGACTCATGGATCACTGATCATATCACTAGAAAATGGAATGCAAACACAATTGAAATATTTTCTGAAATAATTAGCTTGTAGCTTTTTCAACACCTAAAAAATTAGTCTCTACAGGTTACACGCATATTAATTTTTCTATTTTTTGTGTATCCACATGAGCTTCCGGTTGTCCCTTCAATCAAATAATCACGTTTTATAGCTCTACAAGCCTAAGTCGGTATAGGTTATGCACTGAGGATCTGACCGACGCTTTGAAATTTTGTCCTTTTGTTTCGGCTACACGTGTCGGGGAAAGCAAACTTGTTTGTAAGACCATTTGTAGATTTTCTTTATATTTAACTGAGCGGGATGTCCGTTGAGATCACAGTTTTAGCCCTCCACTCAGACGCTCTTGGGGGTTCGTCACGTGTATTTTCCTCCGCTGTTAAACGTTTAGACCAGAGATTGCGTGACGAACTAAAAGAACGTCTCCAGCGGTTTATGTTGGACCGCAATCGGTTTTTTTTAGAGAGCCCTGGAAAAGCTCTAGATGTTCTTAAAAAGGTAAGGGCTGATTTTAACTTAGGCTGCGTCTGATACCTGGTTCGTGGTGGTTTCTAGCCTGTGTTTTATATACCCAGTGTGGGGTGAATAGGGATATGCAAAAGCGCTGATCGATTATGATTTATTAACCAAATCCGCCCTTCCATTTTCCCCCTGAGTCCGAAATCCGGGCAAAAATATTTTAATTCTACACACAATGTCCAAAATCCGGGCCCCAAAAATAGATGAATCCGCAATCTGCTGCAATTGGAGGATCCGAAAATCCGTTAAAATCTCGCTATGAATCCGAAATTCAAGCAAAAATATTTTCAAAATCAGCCGATCCGTTCGCCTATTTACCCCGCTCTACCCAGTATGCAGTCCGCTACTTTGAACTTAATTCAAATCACTGAATGAATGCAAATCTGATGGAATGTCACACACATACGAATCAAGTATAATATTCTTTCAAGACTCTTGATACCACCTGATCCTCCAGTATCTCGAGTTGGCCAATTTAATCCTCTCTACTCGGTATTTTAACCGAGCCACGAAATCAACTGGCAAGCGATGCGAAGCGGCTAACGTGACGAGTCGATATTTCGCGTTCAAAAGCTAAGCTATATTAACATTTACTGGAGACTTTAAGTCGTCTGGAAAACGTCTCCGTTCACTAACATTTAATTTTAAGGAAAATTCACTTTTACTAGCAAGTGAATGTTGGTTGGGTCAGCTATCCGACTGGAAGAAGGTACATAGAATGGCAATACACTATGCAATAGATGTTAAGCTTAATTCACAGATCTACTTTTACTTAAATTAAACATTCATATTTCTGTGGGGCATTATTATGCCAGTCGAGAGAAGAACCACTTGAAACTCCTTCATATGTTTATACTCCAGCGATGAACTACTTGATTACAAAAGTCAACAGTCGGTTGAACTAATGCCGAGTATTCAATTGTGACGGTGTAAATACCAAAAAGAAACTGAACTGGTAATCTAAAATATCCGCCACGAAAAGGGTAAAATTTAAATTACAACATACTGAAACGTCTTACCGTCTGTATCATTCCAGCTGTCATGCCCGCATCTCATCCGAAAAATTGTTATTGTAAAATAGCGACCAAAGGCGGAAGTTCGTGTGGGTGCGAGGGGAATTCCGCAAAACGAGGCTCGGCTTTGTGCCAGGCCACTCTCCTTGCGATTGCGTCTCACCCTGTGAGGTCTGAGTACGAGGTTTAGGACCGAGCTGGGAGACCAATATATGCGGAATATCTCAAGATTTGCAAACGTTCGAAAAAAATGTTGTTTGTAGTAAAAACTTATGTGCGTGGCCGAGTCAGGAAGAAAATATAGACCCGTTGTGAAAATGCTCTTCGTACTCTTTTTGACCTTAGCCATTTGGTGACGGCCGGAGAGGAGCGAAAAAAAAACGCATTTTTCACCAATTCCTCTTCTTTGAACTAGTTTTCGGCTAATTAGCATAAGAATGGTTAAAAATGAATTTCGCAAGAAAAAAAGGCATCTTTCCGACTAATCTGACGTAATTAAACAGCTTTTTTGTTTTTCACGCAAGCGCAAAAGCCAAAATTATTATTATTATTATTATTATTTTTGCGAATCTGTTTTGATCTTTCTCTCTCGCTCTCTTTTTTTTCTTTGCCTTTCTTCTTTATTAGCGGTTTTGTTGCCCACGTTAACGTCTTTCTTTTGCATGGAATTGTGGCTGGCTAACTTTTAATTTAGGAAAGGGACAAATCATGAGCTTGGACAAACGTAATTTTCAAAGAGTAATATGTAAGCAGCGAAATTGGCAGTGGATTTTCCCCCCAAATGTTACCTTTTCTGTGAATGTAACTCTGTCAAGATTGGTTAGAATATCCAAAACGAGGTATCGCTGGAAAGATCTATCTTTTTGTGAAAGTTAAATGGGTCCAGAAAGGAAAATATGCATCGTTCCATATATTTTTTTTTTGGAAACTATTCTAAGTGGAACTAAAATTACTTAAAAACAAATTTCTTGACCAAACATATTGTTCAACTTGCGCAGTCTCAGCAAGGGATAGCATCATATGTGTTACGTCCTTAGCGAGTAAACCTAATGCCAAACCACAGACTTGGAGATCAAAACTTTCCAGGAATAAAACAGGGTCAGGGTCTTGCAGTTTGAAGAGCCACGTTTGTTAAATACTCTCAGTGATAGGGAAGGGCCGGGACCAGGGGAGTCACGCTTCCCACCCCCCTCCCACCCAGAAAATAGCTGCCGAGGAGTGAAGTTGAGTATAAAATGATGATTGTACTTGGGACGGCCATTGAAATCTTGAAAGTGCGTTATTCGTGACCCGTGTACACTGGCCAGTTCTCGCGCGATTTGTTCATCGAGTTTCTGCCCTGTAAAACAAACTCAAGGAAATTAAGGCACAGGTCTTTTTTCCAATTTTCCTTCAAAAGTTGAGGGTGGTCTATATCTATAACAGCGAAACTTGAACAGAATAATGATGTCTGAAAAGTTATGCAAGTCCGTGTAAAATAATATGCAAATTAGGTCACGTGACCTTGAACGGCCATTTAGCGCGAAAAAACTTACATCAGAAATAGCGCCAGTTTATAATTATTAGCAGTCAATCAAAGAAGTTAATACCAAAAACGTCACTAGATAAACGACTAAACCGGTCAGTGCTCGGGCTTTGTTGAATAATTTATTGAAAGTGAAAATAAACGGAATTGTCCACTTGTGCCCAGTCCCCTTATCAAATGTTTTTCTAATTTCGTCCCAGTTCTAAAAGATTAACTTAAAAGGCCCGGCCACAGAAATGATATACCTATTAGCCTCATCACTCTGATGATAACTGCAACTTCCAGAAAGTAATGAAAAGTGGTGCCGTCTTGGCAAATACAATTTTGACCTACACCAGTTAGTCGGTCCATACGGTTATTTTGTTCTATATTGAAAGCTTAAAAAGTAAGACCACCCCCTCTGCTTTTGAGAAATTAAATAGAAGACCCATGCCCTAATTTTCTTGACAGATTCTCTTAAAAGCGCTCAAGTTTAAGTTTCAAGTTTGTTTCAGTATGTTTAAAAGAAAATTTACAAAACTGCTCTCGACTCGCAAATAGTAGGGCTAATCTAGGCGGGTTCTGAGTAAAACAGATAGTAAACCGTAAGAGTGATCAGCACCAAATTTCTCCTTGTAATAGCAATGCTGTGCAAAATAGAGTGGTCATGAGAATTAAGGACATGATCACTAAAGACGTAATTGCTTGATATTTTATTAACTTCTCCCCACTACTTCTATAGTAAATGAATAGGGGCGGCAAATGAGAATTTTGATTTTGATCTTAGGGTTTAAAGGGTTAATACACTGAAAGTGTGCTTGAAAACTCTTGGTAAATTGCTTTTGCTTCAGAAAGCTGACACAATAAAACAAAGGTTAAGGGATAATATCGTACAAATCACTGTATTTGGTCGACACAAGCCTCGAGATGGTGCTTTTGTTTGCAGGAATGAGAGAAGACCTGTATTCTGTTTCAATTTGGCTTCGTAAGTTGAACCCATTCGCTCCAGGGAATTTTGCTCCAAAAACGCATTTAAAAGCTAGACGAACCATTTTACAATCGCTGCCGTACTGTTAAGAGCCAAAAATGATCAAAACGCCGTTTATAGGTCGAGCACTTCACGACCTTCTAGTACGTTGTGTTCAGATGCCAAATATCAGCCTCTGAAGTTTGAACATGCGCAGAAAGCAAAATTTCGTAACTATAACCTTTCGCTTTCTCTCTTCCATCTGTTTCGCTTTTCTCGCCCCTTGGTTTTTCTTTCGCTGGACATTTACTACGCTTCATTTCGGTGGGAAAAGTTTTTGGAAAAGCTTTTAGAATCGTAGGCCGGATTAAATGGAAGGAATTAAGTGCAGGTGGGTAGTGGAACAAGATTTTCTTCGGAATTCTTCGGGTCGTCTGCCTTCTTGACTGAATCGTGCATGACTATCATTACACGGTTTGAAAGATCTCTTCCACCTGTCCAAGTTCGATGACGTGTTCTTAAACTTTGCAAATAATAGCGTCACAAGCGGTAGAAGGGACGTGGATCAGCCGATATGAATGGGCGCTTACGGGCGGTTGTGGGCGAAATTGGTTAGGGGCTCCTCCATTTTTGTCGAAGTTAGTTCACAACGTTTTTCTTTTCCTTACACCGTACAATTTAAAGCTTGAAACTTACAAGGTCGTGCCCCAAATTTCATAATGTTAAAAAATTTGGAAGCTATAAATTAAATAAAATTACAAAGTTGACCACTAGTAACCAAAATGTAATAATAAAATATTCAATTGATAAATTTTCAACTTGTCCCTTAGCTCATTTGGCGCTTTTGGTCGCGATCGCTTTTTTATCCTTCCGAGTTACTGAGCAAACAATACATGAAATAGGAGATCTATGAAGAGGCTAAACAAGTAGTACATGTCTTTCTATACCAATATCTGTTTTTGTTCGTCTAAGTCAATTACGATGATATTTTTATCTATAGATACATATGCAAAATTTTTTCATAGTCAGAACTATAATAAAACAGGGTCTGCAACTGTTGGAAATCGAGTTTTAAAATTGAAACGTTTTAACCTCATGATAATATTACGTCACCGGAAGGACAACTATCAAATTCGATTTACAATAGCAGGCTTCCTAACTTCTCTAAACGTAAAAAACAGATACAATTTATACATGTAAAAAAGAGAGACATAATTTCAGCATATTCACCTAAGTTATAACTATAATGATGAGAACGAATGTAGTGAAGGCAATATTCACATTATCAATTAAATCAAGTAATTTCCTGGCTCCAGGAGCCAGTTCTCAAAATTTCTAGGATAAAATATGTCACGCGTACAAGGTTCGAAAACGCCACTGAGACTTCCAGCCTCGTTTTTCGCGTTTTCAAATGATTTAGTGGAAAGAGAAAACAATCATTCTGGTACGGAGAGTAATCCATTAATTTTTACACAGCCTTAAGAAGAAAGGCCTTAGAAGTTTCAACATCTATTCCAGCAAAGATGATAACCTTGTTTTTATGACAACTATTCCACTTTCTACTCATAGCCTGCGCCGCAAGCAAATTTATGGGGGAGACCCAATGGAGGGAACAGAAGCGAGCGGCCGCTCGTTCGCGCGCTCACGAAGTACGCTTACGCCGCTCATTTACGTGCTCGCCAGACAAAACCGCCAACTGCACAGGCTAGTTTCAGACCGAAGAAAGCAAGAACTTTTTCCTTAAATTTCTTAATTGAATAGTTCAGTTCTATATAAACATGGTTATAGAAAATATCCGGTAATGCTATTCCACATGTATGCCTTAAGGCAAAACGGCTTGTTGACCAAAAAAGGCACTAGCGCTAAAAGTACTAACTACTTTGCTGATCATACGAACAGGGCCGGGCATGACTTGTGTTTTCCAGTTCATCATCTGTCTTTAGAATCTTCTGCTTCTGGTAAGGATCTCGTTCCTTCAGTAATGGATCTCTTAGGAGAGTAGTTCAAACCCTCCGGGAGAGCTCTAAAGACAAACAGAAGATACAAGACAAAACGCTAGTCAAACTAAAAATAGTGATCTATGAGTACCCTTTCCAGGTTTTCGTGTAAATTACGCTAGAATTTTAATTCACTATATGAGACCTTCACCTTAAAACAACAAGGAGAAGTCTTAAAAAAATTCGTCTACCAATCTTTGAACAAACCGTTACAGATAGGGTTTCAGATATTTATCTCAGAGAACTCTGTTAAAGTTGACTTCGGTCCAACGTTTCCATGTTTAAGTTCGCTTTTTTCACTGTCCGTTCCTAGCCAAGTATGGTATCCACCGCGGTCAAAGGTCGAAGGAGCTTTTCTTTTTCATGTGATTTTGTTTAACAGTAGGTGAAAACAAGCGCATCCAAGAATGTCTAAAAGAATGAGTTGATTTAACTATCCTTGCATTTTTCTCAATACAATGAGCTTCTTTTCGTTGAAAACGCTTCTTGCCGGAGTAAAATTGTGACGTGTTGACCAACAGAAAAGCCAGATCAGTTTTCACGCACTTTGATCGTTTCGGGGAAACTCTCAAAAAGTTTAGTAAATTAGCAGCGAATTAAAATTTACAATCTTAGTTTTAAAGTACTTTTCTAAGCTTTTGTAAATTTGTCACGTTTGATCGCGGTTAAGTATGGTCAAGATGGCTCTTGGTATGGTAACTCTTAGCAAGACCCCGCCACTCTTAGGGGCCTCTATTTGATACGAAGACACCCCTTTATCTGGTTCGCCAACGTCTAGACTCTAATAACAGCAGACGCTGCCTTCAGGCGCGCCCCGCACGAAGATGAGTCCTTTTCACTGAACGTCTACTGTGAAACGAGGGCAAAGGCAAGAAATAATTCATAACAAAATGTTAATTTAACCGGGAAAAATAACCGGAACCAATTGCAAGCGTCATTTTTTTTTTTAGCCAAAGGGCTCACTCAGTGCAATTAGGCGTAATTTAATAGAGGTTAACGCGCCTAGTACAGTAAAACTGAAGTAAAAGAGATCAAAACATCTGTCAACTGACGACAATGTCAGTGACTGCCTTTTAAAAAAAATACATGCATCAACATTTGGCAAAACATAACCAATGGTAGGAAAAACGTAAAGTCCAAATACACAAGAATGATCTATTAAAAGAAAAAGGAAAGGAAAGGAAATAAAACAAGGATGTCTTGACAAGAGCAATATTTGACCCATGAGCTAAATAGCTGGTCGATACTGACTCTGATCATCAATTAGCCTGCGTTCTTAAAATGTAGTACTGACGGTATTAAAGCTAAGGGTGAAATTCAATTTGGAGTGATATTGCCGGTCCCAGGGGCAAATCCTGAATCTTGCGCGGCATCTGTCGCATAATTCGTCTTTAAGTGTCAATTCGGCAAAAAGCTGAGATACTCTTTGCAATCATAGGTAACTCAAGTTGGTTACATCAGCGTCACGCGCTTAATCGTTTATTACAGCTCGTACCGACAAAAAGAGTATCAGAATACTACTGACTACTGCATGCCTTTGCATTTAGTTCCAGGCGATATTTACCTTTGGCTTGGCATCTGATCATTCACAGTAGCTTAGTTGCCTATCACACAAGTCTGCGGCCTTGTAACTTGGTTAAACGTCTGGTGTAAGTGATACTCTGAAACAAGAGTCATAAAACATTTAAAAGATATCCCACCACCTCCTAGAAATCATTAATTTCGTAACCGATAAAACTCCTTGTGATAACCCACGCAACTGAAATTTTTTATCATGAAACAATTAGCTTCTTTCATTCGCGTGACGGAAATACTTATCCTCACGTTGTGAGAAACTACTATAAATTTTTACCAGCTGATGAAAAAAAAGTACTTGTAGGAAGACTAATGGTGTAGAAAGGCATGCCATCAGGATCTCTCTGAAATTATCTATATATTTCTCCTTAAAGGTTTTACAAGTATTTTTTAAATAGTTTAGAGCCTGTTTAAAAGTGTTATTAGTATTATTATTGTTCCAGGAAGCGCATAATCTTCGTATTTGTTACCGCTATTGAAGGAACACGGGACACTTTTTCTAGGTCCCAAATCCGGGCTTAACCTTATTCAGGGAACAGATTATAGCATTTAAAAACTGACCGACCACAAAAATCGTTGATAAGTCAGTTAATATAAGTGTTCACTAGTCACAATGGGCGGTGAGTACTTTCAAAACATGAATTATCTCACTCAAACCGATGTACTGCACTTTTGGGAACTCAACACACAACATCGCAGAGATAAGTTAATCATGATTTTTTATATATTATCTAGCCGCTTGAAATAACTACTGCAGCAGATTCCGAGGCAGAATAAAAGAAAAATGTTTTATTTGTTGGTTAATTATTAACAAACCTTAACCCATAACTCTAAAACGAACGTCTTTTAGTACTAAGTTCAGAGAACAGTGGACACCTCTATTCAGAGGACACTTGTCTTGGTCCCGAGGGTTTCCCCTGAAACAGCTGAAATAGGTTCAACTGTACTCTGAAGTTAGTACTGGACGTTCGACGTTTGTTTGAGAGTTATGAGGAAATCTACAGAACTGAAGAAAAGCACTTTTTCGTTACCGATTCTCCCGCACTGCGCACTGCCGTGTTTCTGTAACTGATCAAAAGAAGTCGAGGGAAATTTGCCACCAAAAGAAGTCAGTGAGAGCGCTTCCAAATCTTCAGACATGAGTGAGTTGTCCAAACCTGAGTGAAAGAAATGTTTTCATCACAAGTTAGATGATAAGGCGATGCCATAAACTATTCTCCCCTCTTTCCCTTCCTGTCCTGTCTTCTTCGAGCATTTGTCGAGTGTCGCGTTCCTTCTTATGACTGTTATAACGAACGCGCCCACGAGGAAGGCTCTTTTAACATTTTTTCAAGATAGGATACACAATTTTTTTTTCCACTATAATCAGGCTTAAGCAAGAGGTTGAAAAAGATTCGGGCGTTACCATTGCCCTCTATCAAGCCCTCTCTTGCCCGTTGTCTTCAAGCATGCATGCTAGGGCCCTTCAGAAGCTTGCAAGAAAGATACAGCTTTCGTAAGGAGTTTATTGGAAACAGAAGAATCCCCGATTGAAAAAGCACCCTGTAATATTAAGTGTCACTCGCCAAACGTGTACTTGGTATTATTTTTGGAAATCATGCGTTGCGCTGGCCTTTTAATTAGATTATTCAGTTATGTATACGTAGTAGTGGATAACTGAATTATGGTGCACTGATATTCAGAATTAACTGTAGGCCCCAAGCCAGTAAGACGGATAGACACTGATTACATTGTATAATAGTATCGAAAATTTGTTTAAAAATTGACCGTTGGACGGAGCAAAGCGAAGGATTTATTGAACTTTAATTGGGTGGGATAAACAGACACAAACAATAAACAATGAATCAAACTTACCACCAAACCTTTTTACCTCTGGTAAACAAGCGCCGCCAGCTGAGCAATCGGAAAAGGTCACAAAGTCGTTACTGTCCAGCGCAACAGCTTCCGAACCCCATTTGTACACTAGACGGAGTCTTAGGACCTTTTCTTTGGTGAAGTCAATACATCGCATTGAAAGGTAGCACCGAGAGACCTCAGACTGCCTCAAGTCCAACATGTCTTCGCTCAGTTCTCGTTTGAAGACCCGTATCAATTCTGATAGCTTCTCCTTTTGTGAAGCATAAAGAACTATTTGAAGATTTTCCGAATGCTTGTTTTCAGCTTCCATTTTCACTACCGCAATGTCAGCTGGAGCGAAGCGACTCATGCATCTGTTAAATTCATCCATGCCGGAACGATTCAACATAATGACTGACTGGAATGCCCCTTTCTTGTAAATTGATCCATCAATGTGCACACATGCAGCCGCACCCAGTTGAAGCTCGTCCTCTGATACTTTCTTGATGCTGAACGTTTGAGAGTATGTGTCGTCATACTCGTCGTGCACCAGGTTCTCAACATCAGACGAGGTACTGGACAATGTGGAGCTTTTCGAGTCAACCAGCTCAAATCTCACCAGTTTTGAAGGATGAAACTTGGCAAAGTCAACGAGACTTAATAAAACGTTGGCAAAATCTTGCATGTAATCTTCATCTACTTCCTTGTCGTCGGTCAACAACGTGTCTCGTAGGCGGCAAGAAAAAAGTTCTAATCTTTTGTGTAACCTTATGTCGTGCAGGCAATGCTTGAAGAACCGCTCTAGAAAGTTGAGCATTTGCTCAATGGCAAGACTTTTGCTCCACTTTGTAATCTCTGCAACGGGCTTCTTGCTGTGATTCTTCATACACAACTTCTCCAGAATTTGGCACTCCACATACACAAGATCCCGGAATCTGTTGTTTTGTCGAGCATTCAAAACGCTTGTCAAAAATTGATCTACGTTTTCCTCATGAAGTCCATTCAAGCCACTATGAGGCACAAGCTTCTTATGGTCAACAAAGATTTCCTTGATGGTTTGCATCAGATGAGGAACAATGGCAAGAAAAATGCTGGTCCTCGATTCATCTGACTGTGAACACACCAGTTTATATTTTGTAGAAATATCTTCCAGCATTGGTTGACGATTCTCGATGAATTGTTTGACGAAAGAATCTGCATTATTGGAAGATGAAAAGGCTTCATCCTGGTTCAACTCCAGGCAACAGTCTCTCAACACAGAATTGCAAAGAATTGTAGCTTTACGTGAAAAATACCTCACTAAATCTGTGTTATGGACTTGTAAGCCGGTTATCTTCGTGGCAAGTTTTCTCAAGCGCCTGATGTGCATCTGGCCTCTTGGTGATACTCTGTATTCTGGTGGGTATGAAAGAAATATATCACAGAATAAAATCAGAATTCCATTTCCTCAAGGTCTACTAAGTACTGGGCGCCTTTTTGAAATTTATATCCAAAAAGGAAACAGGAAGGTCTTTTAAGTAACCAGCTTCTTTAAGTAACCCTTTTGTCAAGTTCATTTTGTTCATAATTAATGCCAGTTACGCAACCATATTCGCTATAGAAACTTGAGAAATAAATTGTCAATGACAAAATCACAGCTACTGTCAAACAAATGTCTCCGAGCATTACATTGTTACAAACAACAAAAATAAACTTTGAAAAACTATCAGGCTAACAAGTTTTCAAACCCACAATTTCCATCCATTTCAATTTTTTTTACGTTTGTCCATCCGTTCCTTCTTTTGTATTTGCCGTGTTATTTATACCTTCTTTTCATGTCTTGAGTAGTTATTTTTACGTTTCACTCAGTTTCGTGGCGGTTTCAACTGCCTGAATTTTGATAAATTTCGTGACACTGATCCTATTAAACTAAGTAACAAACTTTAGTATATACTAAAACAGTGGATAGTGTTTTTCGCGCGTTCTGATTGGCTACTCAATCAGTGAATATCCTGCACTATTCACTGATTCACCTCCAGTTCCTCCGCGAGAGCGACGCCAAACTCGCGTAAGTTGCGAGCAAAATGCCTTCCCGGTTTGCTGCCGTAGCAAACTAAGAAATTTCACAACTAATCAATCAAGCTATTCCCAAAATACATGAAGAAGGTGACGAAGTTCGGTTTGGAAGTTTTAACAGATAAAGCTTTGTCTTTTTGACTTGAATTTATCGATAAAACCGGTGAAAAACGTTTCTGTTTACAAATGCAAATCAAGCTTAAGTCTTGCGTTACTTTATTTAGTTGACTTCTTCATAAATAAGCTTAAAACTAAATTTAATAATTTTTTTTACAGAATGATTTTAAATACAAAGAGAATTCACAACTCCTTTTGAAGAAACCTCCCCGCAAGAGCTAAACAAACGCCTTCAAAAGTTTTATTTGTCGCCAAGAAAAAGCGACGACCGCGGCCGTTCGATCATCGCGCGCCAAAATTGTAGACGTTGGCAACAGTAAATGACTTAAAAATCATCATTTTTGTGCTCAATTATCTCACTGTTTTAGTATATACTAAAACAATTATTCACCTCAGTGTCGGTGGCTAGTAGTGGTAATTTACCTCGCCGCTTGGCGGCCTCGCTAAATACCCACTACTAGCCACCTCCACTGCGGTGAATAATTGTTCTTTAAATCTCTTTAGAAAAACAGCCATTGCGCGGTGAGTCCGCTTGAAACACCACTGACCTTCTTGATTTATGTCCTCCAGACACTTTCTGAGAGAAGAAAGATTTTCTACTCCACCAGTCTTCTCCGACCAGTGTTGCAAAGTAAGGTTCAACTGCCCGCTGTCGTCCTCCCAAGATTTGGTGACTTGATTCAGTACCTCTTCAGGCATCTCAAGCAGCCTAGCAATGGTTACGACGTTAAAGATGTTCCCCTCCATGCCCAGTAACTTCCTTACATAATTACACAGATCTGTGAAAAAATAACAAACCACTTGTTAAGCCAGAGTGAGGTCATTACGGAGACATCTCAGACCGAGGCCTTGTTATATTGACCAAGCAATAGCGAGGTCAATACGTACATCAAGGCCAAGTGATGACCCTGTAATGGCCGAACGGACGAGGTTAATAAGTTATTTATTAAATGGCTTTTTTAGTGCTATTGGTATAATACACCAGAAGTAATTGAGCCTGCGATCAACTACCTTCAAACCGGAAAACCGTGAACACCAGAAATATTTCTGGAATGTTATTGTTTTGCACGAAAAAAGCCAATCAGACGTGAGAAAACTAAACTCGCGTGTCCTGATCTTTGCTGTGATTGGTCGTAACACAATAAAAATTCCTGAAATATTTCAAGTGTTCACGGTTTTCCTGGTCGCACTGTAAAACCAATAACTGGTCAGCGGATGACTTTAAAAAACATGTCATCTGAATGAGTTGCACACTTGAGCCTGCGATACAGTCATGTTTCGTTCCCGAAGATCGCATATGTTTTAAAGGTGAACTATCGAAACCAAGTTGAGGAGTATCTTTAAGCTCCACCGCCATCTATTGTATTATACTGTCATACTACAGCAACTAACAAATTTACCTCCTTCACTAAAATGCTTCTTGTTCGCATGCCCATTTTCTCCATTCACGCTGATTGTCCCACAGAGATATCTCACTTCGTTTCTCCATTCCAGAGGAAGTTTGATTACCTTTCCTCCATTCCACCAAACAAAGGAATCTACACCGAAACTAAAACTTCTGTGCTGGCTATCAGAGAGTCTGTAGTCTTCCCCGAGTTGAATACTAACTTGAAGGTTTTCATGATTGTAAATTCGCTTTTTATCCAGTCTGTCAGTGGCACGTTCATGTACCTCTATAAAATCCTCTTTCTTAAGCTGTGCCAAAGCTGAAGTCGCGTCATCTCTGAAGAATTGTTCGTGGTAAACGTCTTTGCTCACGAAAAGTAGAGCAAGCATGTCGTGTGCAGAAGAGGGACTCATCTTGTTCAACAGCACCAGTAACGTGTAATCAAACGACAGTAAATCAAATCTGGACAGAATGTCTTTACTACGGATCAAGGTCCAACGTAACAGAACCATAATGAGTGAGAAATGTTTCAGTTCAACCTCGACTTCTGCGGCTGCCTCATTAATCTTTGAACTCTTAGTGATGTCTTGCCAGGTGACCTTTCCATCTCTAGATTCAGTGCCATGCAAAATGAAAACATCATCTCCGTTCCATTTCCATTTCATGTGTTTAAAATTAGTTGTCAGCTTCATAGGTTTCCTAAAAGAATGGCCATTCGGTTGTAGATTAACGATGGGTGCAGCTATAATAACGTCATTTTCCAGATCCTTTTGAACTATCAAACTGTAGTACTTAGACGGATCCTCTAATGTTATGGTTACAGATAAGGAATCGTCAAGAGCTCCAGGGGGGCACACTAGCCTGATATTTCCTCCAGCCATTACACCACCTTCACTGGTAAAAATGCCCTCAATGCTGTCTTCCTTGATGACGCCTTACCGAGAAGGTTAAAAAAAGACATAAATCAATTTAACGACATATTATGTCTGCTAATAAAATAAATTCATTAAGTAAAACAGGGGCAAATCAGGAGTGAAAAGTATGCTGATTATATAATTACGTCACATAACCCGCGCATATGCTGTATCCACAGTTCAGTCTATACTTTGTTGTCGTATAGACATTTGTCAGACAGATTTGTTGATAGATATCCGAAAATTCTTTCCTAACCAGGTGCTCTACTAGATATCATGATTTTCAAAAATGGTGCGACTTTTTAAATTTTAACAAACATGTTTCGACGGTACATCCGTCATCGTCAGTGTGACGGTTATGAACGTTCACAGCTGAAAAAATGTGCGTGTTACAATGTACAGTATACGTTACATTGCGTTGGAAAACAATACCTGCATAAATTTAAAGTTAACAAAATTAATAGATGCGCGTGAACGCATGTTTAGAGAAACTGTCAGATTGATGATGTACCGTCGAACATGTTTGTTAAAGTTTTAAAACTCGCACTAGTTTTGAAAAGTTCCACGATTTTGCTGCTGTCTCGACCAAATCATGATTTAATTAAGTCAAAACATGTGACATGCTTTTCGTTTATAAAACATGTGGCGATAAATCACATATGTAAGAGTATCAAATCAAAAACGCAAGCACTACAAGTAGTATAGGGCTCACCCAATTAACCCTTCGACGAATGCTTTGGTCGTTTTCATTCCATATGGAACGATACATATTTTCCTTCCTGGACCCATCTAGCTTTCAGTTTGAGTTAATAAATTGGTGAGCAACAGCGTCAGCAAAGATAGATCTTTCCAGCGATACCTCGTTTTGGATATTCCGACCAATCCTAACAGAGGTATACTGAGGGTCTGGATGGGGGGTACAAATGTCAGTTGCCAGTTTTTTTTAGGCAATTTGTCAGTTGTTAGTTAAATGATTATTAATGATTACCTATGAAACTTATTTGTATATTTTTGATGCAAAATTTAGCTTAAAAGGCACATATAATGTCAATTAAACATCAGTTTCGAAACCTGATGCTATTAATAGTACCTTAATTTTTATTAGTTTTGCTATTGAAAACACTTCAAGTGGCCATATGTTACTGAAAGCGTCACTTTCTGGGAGAACAGACTTAAGCCGGTGACGTTATACCCTTTTGTCTTTATCTTATCAATTTTTCTTTTGCTGTGTCAGAGTATTACTGGTTTGACAGGTTTTTAATATTTTAATTGGTGATATAACCTGCACCCTGGGTACCAGAAGCTTTTTCTCGCGTGCGGCGGGGTAGTTCGATGTCGGCCACAGGACCTTTATTTGCCGCTAGAAAAAAACCTCTGGCACAGAGCAATTCCATAAACTGTTCCCGTTGAAATTTGATCTTTTTTATGGGATCACATTTTAACCAATCAGATTGAACGTCTCTAACTGTGATTACATGGGCTGGCGCCTAAAGTTAAAATCGTTCTCTTTCGATTTACATTAACGAGCACAAACAGTCATAACAGAATTTTAACTAAGCTTATTTAGGGATGCACCATTAGAAATGTGAAGGGGGGGGGGGAGTCCAAAAACAAAACAAAAAATCCTGCAAAACAAAATTTTAAGAAAAAAAAATCCTGCATTGCAACGAAACCAGAAAAAAATATCCTGCTTGGATAACCAATGTGACTGCGACAATATATTACACAGTCTGAAAAATAAATCTGTGATCTGTAACAGGAAATCCCCTTCCCCCAACTTCCTAAATTCATGTCAAACTACATTTCAGGCAGAAAAAACAATTTCTACTGGCTAAATAGAGATTTCAATTTGAACCAACTCTGATGCCCTTGATCTCTATAGCTGCCATAGTATTAAATTAAGAGACTGTGGTGATAATTGTTTAACTTTATAAATTAAATAAACTTTTTATTGAAATACTTTTGTTTTAATGGGATTAAAGTGAGATTGTGTTAACAACGTCAATAGTTCCACTTGCACGCAAGTTTATGGAGTTGGTGTTGTACAATATGCGTTGCTACTTGAATCCATAAAGTTTACAGCTATAAACAAAAGTAGATGTCCCAAAAACACCAATCACACTGCAGATCCCGCTGCATTTAAAAGTATTAAGAATATTATTTACCCAAACTAACACAAAATATTTTGAATGCTTTGCAAAACCATAAATAGAAATGGTGCATTCTAATAAAAACTTGAACCTAAACATATGGGCCACAGACATATGGTAGGATTTAGAGGAAATGTTCTTCAAGTTCTTCCTCTGTATCCCAGTCCTCGCCTGATGAAGACTGACATGCTGGCTGCAGTTTTACTTCTTCTTTTTCTTCTTCTTCTTCTTCTTCTTCTTCTTCTTCTTCTTCTTCTTCTTCTTCTTCTTCTTCTTCTTCTTCTTCTTCTTCCTTTTCTTTCTGTTTTTCTGTCTCTTGTCTTCCCTCAGGTTCTTTCTCTGTGTTCCAGTCCTTGCATGATAAGGACTGAGATGCTTGCTTTCCTTCTTTCTGTTTCTCTGTTTCTTGTCTTCCCTCAGGTTCTTTCTCTGTGTTCCAGTCCTCGCCTGCTTGAAATTTCTTCTTTTGTTTTTCTTTATTTTCCTTTAGAGCATTCTTCTTCCTCTTTCTTCGCAATACTTGCTGGCCCACACTACTCCCAAAGCTTGAGCGATACTTCTCTACAATATCTTGGTATTCTGTGCAAATCTTGGTAACTTCTTCAACCACTTTCTCTGCCCGTGGTATCAGTTCTTGGTAGAACTGATTTGTCTCTTCAAGCCTGTAATAAAATTTAAAATATAGGGACTAATATTTTTTTCTTTATTATGACTATTGTGCTCTAGTCCTGGGGGTACCCCTCAGAACATTCTCAAAGCTGACCCTATCTCATGGACCAAAATATTTGATATCCCAAAATCATATTCAAACTTGACCTCCATTAAAAAATCTGTACCCTATTTGAGACTTGGGCACTTTGTTGGCGTTATACATACGAAAGGCTTCATGGTCACATGCAATGACTTTTGAATGGGGATGGGGGAGCTACTTCTGTTTCCCCTTTTCCAGCTTTCATACAAATATTATTTTCCCACAAATGCGATGAGTCATTCAACAAATAAGAGATGAAAGAAATGGAGGTTTCTTAATGCATGATTACAATATATCTGCAGCGGAACCAAAACAATGTATAAACGAAGTGCCGCCCAAAGGACCAGGAAAATGTGTTTTTCAACTGTGGTTCTGTTTCATAAATTTTTTGCAACTAAAATATTTGGCCAGGCTGAAGAACGTTGTTCTTCATATCAGGGACTTCTTCACCCACACTTTTTGGGGATTTGTTATACCGAGGTTCCACTGTATATCAAAAGTGTAACATGTAGGTGCAGTATTTTTAATATTAAATTCTAACCTTCCCTAATCTGCTTTCCAGTTGAGCCATCCTTTAAGGTAGCATCCATTTCTTGTTTACACTTCATCATTTTCGCTTTTGCCATTCCAAGGGCATCCTCGCAACCTTCAACAAACTTGCAAAGATGTTCATAGTGCGAATGTCGTGGTGCTGATGAACTGCTCTTTAGTGCAACAATTTGCGGGTATTTCAATTCATTTATTTGTAGCAAGCCATAAACACTTTGTTTCTTGTAATATGGTGTCCACTGATCAATAACTGGGCTCTTGGCAAAGGCAATCAAAAGATCATTGCGTTTTGCACGCTCTTTCCTGCACCAGAGTTCACATTCCCTCATTGTATTTGAGTATTTCAAGCGTTCTGCAGCCATTGTCAGTACAAACGAATTTGAAAACATCTGGGCCGGATTTAGAGGCTTTTCATAGTACAGATTTTTAAACTGACGTTTCAAAGAATTAGTACTTACGAGTACGTTTCAAGGCCATCTCTTGTTTGAAAAAAGCCTTTCATCCCCTTTGGCAAAGCTACAACAGTTGAACTGCTTGATGGTCTGAAGGCTGTTGGTGAAACTTTCTCTTGTAGGGATGACTTTCGCGCCTGCTGTTGTTTGTATTCTCCATACATGCGAGTCAGTCGCCTAAATTCGATGTGTGACAATCGTAGTGCCAAGGCATCTTCCTCCTGAATATCTTCAAGGTGGCCTATCTCACTAATACCCATCGTTGTAAAGGCTTGGTAATATTTTTCCAAAGAACAACTCTTCAACCACTCAAGAAAATAGCTTTTTCCCTCTTTGCCCGGACTGGAGGTATTCTCCGCCATTTTGTTTTGGAGAAAACACTGGCGCACTGGGCCTGGGGACTATTAAAGGACGACATCCGCTGACCAATAAGTCGGTATTTCAAGATGGCTGCCAACTTCGGTGTGGCTAAAAGAAAGCACCAAGAATTCAAAAAGGCTGTGGGTTTAAAGCATGTTTCTGTGTCTCTTTGTAATACGAGTGCAGAGCAAAGACATTTAACATTAGAGGAATCAATAGCAACCACTACTAAATCTGCAAGAGATGCGCAGAATATCCTTGCACTTTCGCGCCTGTTGGATGAACTGATAGCCAGGTCTTGCATGCGTTTCCAGGAAGCATTTGAAGAATTTGCTGCCATCACGGAAACAATTGATAAGGTAAAAGCTCGCCAACAGTTCAAAGATAGAATTCTATCGAAACATGGTCTACCAGTTATCATTGTGAGTAATGCTGGGCAAATGTTCGTCATGCTTTTAGAGATGCCCTTAAACAATATTAAACTGTGCTGCAGTCTAGATCGTGTCCTTGACGCTGCAAGAGAGGACTCATCTTGTAACAGTTTTCCAAATGCATTAGCCGCGTCCATTCCAACTCTAATGAAACTGATGTCAAATGCGAGAGATCGGGCGATTTTAACATACGTCCTTGCAAACATTTTCTCACCAACAACACTGTCTTTGGTGCTTGGGATGCAGCAACAACGACTGAAAAATATCGTGGACGAGGTTACCCGTTTTTCAAGTAATGTAGAAGCTCAAGAGAGAAACGGGGAAATCGAAGCAGAGAGACATCTTGACAAAGTTATCACTAAAATAGAAAAAGACTTGGAGAACAGCGAGAGTTTACTGAAACGGAAGAGAGCAAGGTTAGATGAGGCGGAAATTGAAAGTAGAGAGTTTGATATAGGAGTAAAAGGGCAAGGCTAGAAAGTCTTTACGAAAAACCAGTGAAAGTCAAGAAAAGAATTTCAAAGAGGATCTTTTCCACATGGAAAGGTACTTTGATGTCACAAAAAAGGGCAAGGGCAAGGGGTGTACAGTATCGATCGTGGTGCAGAGCAAGCAATAAGTGAATTACTTCATGAACAGTTGAAGGCCCACAGAAGGAGATGGGGTGAGGAGGACACAGGCTATCTTGATTATGAAAAGAGGATCCAGTCTAAAGAGATGCGTCAGATTGCAAATCAGTACCTAGTAAAGCATGGAAAGAAGCCAGTAAAGAGCAAAGCAACAGTACGATCATGGGGTAAATGCAGGAACAAGCGCTACCGTCAAGCGCAGCAACACAGAGGCTGCAATCTTTGGGCCCATCTTCGTACACAAAAGAAACATCGTGAAAGGCATGTCAATGTACATTATAATCGAGCCCACATAAAAAATTACACGCGATTTGCATTTGGAACACATGATGGAGCTGACAAGAAGGGACTTGTGATAAGGCGAGCAATAGACGACAAAGCATATGTCCGGTGTGGAACCTCAGAAGGTTTTTCTAGGCCACTACACACTCCCACTCAGCTGACTGGAGATGACAATCAGGTGACACTTCCATCATCAGATTATCCTGACACTGTTGGATATGTCAGTCCAGGGGTGGTCCTTATGGTGAACAACATGAAGGAATTACAACATAAAGGACGTGACAAATTTGTACCCACTGATTTGTCAATTGGTGTCATTTGCAAACCGAAGCATGTCTACCCAAGCACAGCTACAAATTGGGCCAATGATTTGTTTTCCATCCGATATACCTTCAGAAGTGAACACGAAGTGCCCATGAATTCAGTGGCTGATGCGAATGCCAATTTCCTACCAGATGAAGCTTTGCCTTATCTTATTGGCGTAAGAGACTCAATATTTCAGTTTGAATTGATGTCATTGAAAGATGACTATGAACGAGTGGTCGAAGGAGGAGATCATCTGTCCAGAGAACAGCTCCGAGTTACAGTCCTTCTTAAAAGACTTGATATATGCATGACATCTGTTGCAGCCTACGAAAGATATCCCTTGACTGGCAAATTAACAAAAGATTTGGAGCTGCTGAAAGAACAACTGGAGAAGATAGGAGGTGAGAGGGGGGCTTAATAGAGGATTTAAAGTTATTTGATTTTGAATGGTCACCTGATTTTTATGATACAACATTCTGAAACATGTTTTTAAAACCTTTTCTGTTTGAATTCCCATTGCGTCATTCTGCTATAATATGAAAACGGCACTATACCATTTTATAGTGACTGACTTTATAGCGTGTAATGTTCACCTGATTCAAAGCCCTGTATATGTATACAGTAAATGTGTGCCCTACAAGTAAAAAAAAAAAATCATAATAGCATAAACATGTATAAACTTGATGCACTGGTTTGGTTCTATAGATCAAAGGCTCTTTAATAGTTGATAAATTAATTCCATTTGACATAATCCCTGTTCTGTTTAAGCAATGCTCTCGGATAACAAGGGACAGGACTACTGTGATATCAGTAGTTACTATGAAAGTGCCTGCGAACTGTGCAGGGGGATTCGACACAGACTGGAGGAAAATGGTCTTCCAAATCACAGGTTAGAAGTGAATTAATATTGTAAATTTGAAATAACTGAACATATTGTGAACAATTTTGTCACTGAAACTCCATACAATACATTGTATGATATAAACAGCCAACTCTGTGCAGCGGACTTTATTTTTGTCCCAACCCACCAGCTTGTAAACTGCTACTTTGAAACCAAGAGCTGTTCCTACAATGACCACTTTTAACATTGGCCTGTACATTCAGTATCAGGCATGGCCGTTTTTTAAAGCAGTTTGACTGTGTTGCATTAATATTATGTGCCACTGACCTGTTAGATTTATTATGCATTTCATTTTTGTTTTATAGCATTTCGTCTGTTGTTTGATTCTTTTCTCTCCTATATAAAAAAGGATTGGCTTGAGTTTTATAATGTATCTGTTTTTATAGGCCATTTGATATTCAGACCTCTGATGCTGGCCCGGGAGTTGCGAGTCATGAGCAAATGACACAACTTCGAATGGCAGAGTACTTCATGATAAATTGCCTTGATTTACAGAGCAGATTCCATTACGCCCCCAATGACTCTGCATCACATATAGCTGAAAAGGTAATGCGTTCTCTAAATGAATGCCTTGGAGATGGGAGGTCCATACCTGTCCCCTTTCTGCCTTTATGTGATGATCAGGGAAGAATCAAACTAAAGGATATCAGCAATGAACAGCTAAAAAACCTGCAAGCTGAAAAGGAAAGAGACACTGCAATAGAATGTGCACGAGTCATTACGAATCGCTTTGATGGAAAAAGTTCTATGGGCACATCTATTCATGCAAGCACCCCTTGTTATGAAAGCCACTTGCAGTTTTTTTTTGACGAAAAGTTTATGATCAAATGTGCAAGTGCGAGTTCCGAAACTGTACTTGAGAAGTGTGCTGGGAAGGAGTACTACAAGTTTGTCAGGGACTTCTTTCGTGACCATTATTTCCTGTTTGATAATGGGTTTGAGGGGATCAGAAATGGCTGTCGGAATAGTGGCAAGGTCTGCGAATATCATGCGAGGTATGAAAATCCATCTCTTTTGACAAATGGCTTTAGAGGTGTCCCCGTGACTCGAGTGCAACCACCAGTTCCAGACTACTCCTTCACTGGAGGCGAATTTCACTATGCCTTTCCTCAGCAAATTTCATCAGGAGAATTAACAGCGAAATTTGACCTCAACAAAGATGAGCTGAGGAATGCCGCTACCAGAAAAATAGATGAGTTCTGCCCTCGAGCACAGTTAAACCACTATATGCAATCCTATGGCACACCAGATTTACAAATGGCTGAAGTACATCCACAAGAATCCCTTTCTGTTACCGTAGTAGATAGGAATGATGTGCTTGGAAAAATGTTATCAAATGTTGACTACTTTGTTCAGACATATACTGGGGAAGACCTTAGGACATCAGTGGTGAAGGAAATTAAACGACGCCACAACGCCATGGTCAAGGCATTTATTGTAAAGAAAACCAATGCTAGTACGAGGGCAGCCGAGAAGGCTCGTACATATGATGACTTTGATTGGGAGAAACTAATACAGACAAGTCAACTAACTGGCCTGTACGTTTCACAGCTTGACCTCTATCTGATCAAGAACTTGAAGCTACCAAAATCACAATGCGAGAAGAAGGGGTTCACAAAAGAGAAAAAGATTGAAGCGATCAAGAAGCACTACTATGCATCTACTGGTCCTCCAATATCAGGAGCTTCAGTTGGAAGCCCATCAGTCCCACGCACTTCTAACAATAAAAGTCAAGAATTAACTAATACAGTGGTCGTCACATTACCAGATTCACTGAAGAATGAATTTGCCTCAAACATGCTGAATGTTCCTCCTTGGGGTGGAAAGATAAATTTGCCATACATAGGACAAATCACCCTGGTGAACACCTGCCCGATTGACAATTTTCTTACTATTTTTTATACATTAATGAAAAACCACAGAAAGGCTTTTCAGGAAATTTCCAGCTCAGTAGAAGTGTATGCAAGTTACCTGATTAAGATTTACAAGTTATTTGACAGAGGTAATTTTGTGGAGGGGAAATTAGAGTGGCTCAAGCTGTTTCCAGGACGCTTTCAAACAACACCACTAATAGACCTGTGGGGAAATGAGGAAGACCTCTTTGTGTCTAGACTTTATTCATCTTCTCAGACAACCTTCATCAGTACATGTGACTCTTCAGCCTGCCCTGTTAGAGTGAAGCAGTGTCATGCTAATGCAATAGCTTTGAGGTATGTTATTTAAAGTAAATTCTCTGATCTTAATTTGATATTAAATCAAGATTTTCAAGGCAAAAGTAATCACTTCACCATCATGCTTACGAAATTTACTTTGTGCTTGTGTGTGAATGTGTGTGTGGGTATGTATTAATATATTACATCTTAAACCAAACCAGAAAATTCATTTTCTTTTGGGCATCCATTAATGTAATATTTTATTTCTGTTTTTTATTACCCAGAGTATACATACATATACATTCAAATTGAGTGAGAAATATCCGCGTTTTTTATTGTTGTATCAATAGCCATGTAGGATTTCCAGTACCTGCATTTCTTGAAGAATCATTGCGGCAGTGGATGAACACAGACCAGCAACAGTCCACGTGTGGACTTACGATGCATCATGTTCCCCCTGGAGCAAACTACTTCATTTCCAACTGCTATGTGCAAGATCCAGGCACAGGCCAACTCATGTATGTCTTTCATTTTTACATGTACATATCTGTCACGTTACTTGTTTTATAAACTTTACCTGGTTCTTTTTTTTCCCTGCTTTTCCAATGCTTCTTATGTACAGTGATTGCACACTTTCCAGCTACAATTACATGTATACTAATTGTCAACTATTACGTCATATTTTAGTCAGACCCCGAAAGCATATTGTGGTGGCTTGAGGAGCAACACAAGGAGGGCATTTGTAAGAGGAAATCCCCCATTCCTACTGTTGTCACTTGACATATTTGCCAGGCAGGGCACCATAACTGATGTCACTCACCTTCCACAGATAATTCAAGTTTCAAGTGACAGGTATGTTTCTGAGGTTGTGACGGACATTGTTGGCCATTTCCTTGTAATAGCCATATGAGACTCACAAGTCATATTTCCAATGAAATAAACTATTTTTACTTTCAAAACCTGTAGTTATTCCCTCTTTGGTCTCACATTTTGGAATGGAAACCACTACAGGGGTGCTGTAACCATTCAAGATCAATGGCACTACTATGATGGAATGTGGGAGCGCCAATGCCAAGGTCATGGCCTCAAGAAGTGTGTCAACAAACCATCCACTCCTGCTGGCTTCTATATTTCACATTCAGTGTATGTCAAGATTTCGCTGCTGTGAGCCTTTCCCTGGAGATTCTTTATACTCAGGTTGGAAGTTCCATGTCCTGTGAACAGTCCCATTTTATTCAAGAAAATATATTTATTTTTATATACATGTATACGTAGCCTCTGTGCACCCTTCCCCCTCTCCTGCCTCAGAGCTTGTTTGAAGCATTGTGTACGGTATATTAAACATTTGCTCCACCAAATATCAATGTTCAAGTTTTTCATGTGCAGAGACTTGGAACGGAAAATGTACATGTACAATAAAAGGGGACTGTTCAACTATTATTTCCTAGAAATGTACAAACTTCTCATTCAAAGCGAGGACACAACATACATTTCACAAATTACTATTTTAAAGGCTATGTTCTATTTGTATTAACTCTTTTTGGTTGGTTGGAATTTTTTGTTTACTTTGGGTAAAACACCGTTTGATCTGCTTGTGTAGCTGTTTCAACTGCCACTGAACTCAGTTCGGACGTTTGAACGTATAGATTACTTCATGGGCAGCGCGGGCGTACGGTATTTACGCACGAGTTGGTTCGCATCAGAAATTGAACGAGCAAGGCTTTGCGAGTGAGATCCAGAAAGCGAGAGAGATTTATCTGACATACAATGCGAAAAAAGTCCATGTCTAACACTGCACGTGTTTAGGTGTCCTATTACATTATGTACTAAACATCTGTGACTGGACGAAACGCTTTTTTTCACGTGTGTGAAAGTCGTTTCGCCATTCTGATTGGCTGCGAACCCTGAACAGGGTTTTCACACGCCAAATTTCAATAGAAAATCTCAATTAGTATGAAAAAAATATACTTAAAACAAACGTGTTCTGTTGGAACACTACAACAAAAAACATTTGCGCGGTTGAAACAGTCTAGTAAAACAAGACCAAAAGAGGGCATAGTCATTTTGGAAAAAAAAAATCGTGCAAGGGTTTGAAGGTTGAAAAAAAAATCCTGCACTCCTGCTGGTTGTGAAAAAAATAACATGCCTTTCCAGAAAGTCCTACCCCCCCCTTCACATTTCTAATGGTGCATCCCTTATTTATTTATTAGTTTAAAATCAAATATAAAGTTTCATGAGGCAATTTTTATTTTTCATCGTAATCTCATCCGCCAAATTAAAGAGAAACAGGAGCCCATCAAATGGAGCCTCCATCTCCATTAATTTCTTGAGTCAACCCTTTCCCGAGTAGATTTATAAATAGAACGGCTTGTTTCCCGCGAAAAGTGTCATATTTCCGTGAGTCTCGTATGTCACCGTGAAAAAAATGAAGTTGGATGAAGTCGAACTCAGAAGCCCGTCCTTCGACCGTTTTCCTTTTTTACTGTACGTCCATTTTTACAGTTTTACAGCCGCTGGGATCTGGGATGAAATAAAAGTTAATGAATTACCCGACTGAGACTGAGCATGAAGCGATGGGACAAAGGCAGCGAACTGAGGATCACGGAAAGGTTCTTTGCGAGTGTTTGTTTTGTTTTGTTTTTTTTTTTTTGCCGTCATACATCCCACATTTAAGCATGCACCTTGAAAAGAGTCGACGATTAAGCGTTCTGTGGACGATTTGAAACTTCGCGATGATCAGCGCCGAAGAAGTGCCAGGATCATTTATTTTTGTCATCGCCGTGGAGTGGATTTCGCCAGTTAAGCATCGTGTGCAAAAGCGATGACCTAAGTAGCAACTAAGGAGGAATGCTTCAGAAAAATTGCAGTCTTCCTTTACAACTGACTTGTATCACCATGAGAGTTGCCTGATAAAACTGGCACTTGAAAAGTTGAACAGAAGACAACAGTTGCTCGACCGTGAAGCTATTTTAACTCAAAAGTAATTTGCTAACGGTGGAATTTGTGACATCGCGCTCCAGTCCAAAGACCCTCTTATCTCAAGAAAAACAAAATGGATTGTATCTGCGCCCAAAGAATTATGACTGACCAACAGGAGAATTCTCAGCAATTAATGTAGAAGTTTAGGCCAATTCTTTCCTTCGAATTCGCATCTGTAGATTACTTTTTTGCGAGAAAACAATGGCTGGGCTCGGCGTTACAAAACATAGCAGGGAATCATCACACTAACTGACGGACAAAACAACCACAGTATTTATTCAGACAAACGCATTTCGGATAAAAACTTGAAAAACTAGAAATTTGATTAATATTGAGTCAGTTAGCCGAAATAAGAACCTTAACGCTCAAAAAAATTGGCTAAAGAAAACGAATCCTGTCAGAACTACAGACTGCAGGTAGTAGTTAATCCTTACGCATGTAACAGACCAGCTTAACGTGAGACAAGCAACCAAAATTAAGATTAACATAGTCAGAGTTTAAAACTCTCCACAGTATAATCTACCCGCTAGAAAGAAAAGAAAGAAAATCTCTGAGGGATGAAAACTCTAAAGTCACGTTTCACTAGCTTATGATTTTGTTTGGCCTGTCAGCACCGGATTTCCTGCTGTTTCGTGAAGTACAATAGCAGTGTCATTTAGTCGTTGTGATTGGCTCTTCCCACCGTCGGCGCGCGAAGTCTCCCCTGGGAACCGTTCTAATTATAAATCTACTCGGGAAAGGGTTGACTCAAAGGGCTTGTATGGGAGATGTGGAACGTTATTTCAGCTGAAAGAAATCATTATAGAAATTTTGGGAGAGATGATCGATGTATACTATCCCGCCCGAATAATAGACCTTAAGCTTGTAGGTTTTGTTTTCCCATTGCAGACCATGTGATGTCGCCCATGAGAACTGCTTCTTTTAAATGCCGTCTTATATACGTGCATCCACGCGTATATGTATGCATATTGCATAACTAATGAAAAGACAAAAGGCAAATTCCCTAGAGAGCATCACGTGCTCCGAATTGGGAAAACAAAACATACAAGCTAAAAAGGTCTATTCGCGCACAAGGTCCAGGAATAATTGATGTATCCCTGCATCAAGAGCGATTTTCCACAAACAGTTCGCAATATCACCAAAGCGCCCTTGCATCCAATAAATTAAACATACTTATAGTCATTTGCCTCGCGATTAACTGCTCGGCACCATCGAACGTTTCTAGTACGTTTCTTTGGTACTGTGTCAAACCTTTCAGCATCGCACGAAAGCTCAACAACCGGAGAGTAAAACGTCACCTTCAGAAGTAGTGGAGTAGTAATAAAAAAAAACTTCTAAATCCACTGCATCGCTTTTTTCTGCATTAACATGATTGGATACAAGGCAAAAATAGTTCCCACTGTCATACATTGTCACAGTATCCAAGGTAAGTTCTTCATTAATCCCATCTGGGAGTTCTGCTCCATCTTTTACCCACTGATATCGTGGAGCTGGGTAGCCTGTGGCCTCGCATCTCAAGGTAACAGTGCCACCCACTCTGACTGGCTGCGACTTGGGTTGTTTGATGATTTGCACCTCTTCTATATAATGAATACATGAGTATAGTTAATAAGTTCGTTCTAAGTTAATCCAAGAAGTATTATTTTATTTTAAGACTACTACAAAGAAGCAGAGAAAACAAAAAGGAAACTGTGTAGAGGTTAAATAATGAGAATTTATTTTCAAACTAACTGTACGGAGAGAGGAAACATTTGGAGCAGTTTTCAGTCTTAGAAAACAAATAATGTGGCTGGGGCGTCTAAATCACCACAGTAAGCACCATTATTCTTGTTTGTTGACTAGACTAATTAATGTCAACTTACCTTTGTATTCCAAAATGTCTAAGGCTTGACAATTCCTAATTTTTTTCAGCCACACGACAAGCTGTCGAACAGTCTTAGTACTTTGGCCTAATTCAGTTAACAGAGCCATTGAAGGACTTCCAACCGTTCTTGCTCTTTGCATTTCAAATAACGAAACCTAAACGTAAACAACAGTGAAATTAAAGGTTTTCGCAATGCAAGTGCAGCCTGAGAAAACAGCCGACATTTCGCGACGCCACCTCTGGTTTCCCCGAAAAATGACGTCTGAGAAACCAGCGAAGAAATTCCATACTGATGACGTGTCACTACCAAGATCTGCGTAGGGCTTCTTATTGGTCGTGCCGCGTGGGAAATTTGCTTCAGCTAATCGGAAGCACCACTCAGATCTGGGTAGTGACGCGTCATCAGTGTGGAATTTCTGCGTTCGTTTCTCAGACGTCATTTCGAGGGGAAACCAGTGGTGGCGTCGCGAAATGTTGGCTGTTTTCTCAGGCTAATGCAAGTGTGACTATCGATATTTCTTTTAATACAGGCGGATTACATGCAGGTTCCTATCATAAAATAATCATAACCGTTTCTTAACACAGGGCCAGAATATCTAACCTCTCTCTTCAAAGATTTTTTCTTGGTTCGTTTGGGCCCGGTAAGTAAACATAAGTTTGCAGCGAACACAAATATCGACCCGATTTTCAGTTAGGTCTTCCTCTGAGACAGAAAGATCGATCCTAGGTTTTGAGCAAGTATTCGTTTCCTAACCTACTAATGTGGTCATATTTTTTTCATAATGATTTTTTTGGCTGAAAATACGACTTAAAGCTCGATGGAAATTTTATTATTATTATTATTAATATTATTATTTTAGGTGTGTTTGCGGGACATTATTTTTATCAAATCTGCCAGCCCCTTCCTCAAAAGGCAAAGGGAAAGCTACTAATATTAAATATACAGGGTGTTTCAAAAGTTCGTTCCGATTTTTTCTTCGCTCAAATTTCACTGATTATTGAAAATACCCTTTGTAAAATTTAGTATGTTATTCATTATTCATTTAACATTGAACAACCGAAATATCGCTAACCAGAATGTCTTTCTTCATGTTTTCTGACATTTTCTTAGTGATGAGGTAAAGAATGTACGAGCTCCCAGGCGAAGCGTATTCACTGCCTTACCTCGTCCAGTGATTTGGGGGCTGGTTCTTGGTATGTTTTCTGGTCAACGATAATCCAGATGGTCTCCAGAGGGTTCACATCACGTGAGTTTACCAGCCTTTCGCCCTTTGCTATAAAGTTTCCAAATCCTTCTGACACCATGTCTGCATGTGCGCCGCCTTTTTCTCTTCAAGGTTTTCCAACCTTTGCTGATCATATATTTTCATACCGTTGTGCTCGAAACTTTGATATTGTGAAGTTGAAGTTTTTTTTTACCTTTCTGTTTTGTAGACTTATTACGCATATACTTACAGCTTTTTCGATAACATTTCTCACATATTTAAAAAAAGACGGCCATACACTCCTTGGTTTGTCTTCTAAAGTCTTTACTTTCGACCAGTTGTTCACTTATATCATTCAGACTTCAGTCAACAGTTTAACAATTTCTTTGACTGAATGGTCAGAGAACCAAACAAATAGAGTGCCTCAGCCTTAGCGCAAACAGTGTAGGCCTTCATTTGCGTACAGAGTGGAGAAAATTAAAGAAAACAGCAAAAAACGACAATAGAAAACCTACAAAATGGGCAGGAAAAATATGGCGGGAAAAAACTCGCGTACGTGCACATTTGGGGCATAACTTCAAAAATATTATAATTTCTTCAAATTTTAGTTTGAAATTGCTTTGAACGGTTATTTAGATAAATTTCTTACCTGAATCAGTTTACATTTGCCTAAAGAAGCATTAAATGCCTTGTGCAAAATACAATTGACAATCGGAACGAACTTTTGAAACACCCTGTAGGTGTGTGGATTTCTTTGCCATGACTTACGTTGATTGGTTTTATTATTATAAGAAGATAAACGAGATCTTCGCTTTCAGGCTGGCTAAATCTATATATTAGGATTTGATCCACAGACTCAAAAGCTACAACCTCTTACACACCACATTTAATACGAGGAAAGTAGTTCTGCTCAGTAGCTCTAATTTCAGCTGAATGATCACAAAAGTTTTTTTTTAGAATTTCAGTCAGGAACACAGTGCACGGCATAAATCAACCGCACCAACAGGGGAGAGTAATGCTTAGAAACCTATCTAAGGTCTATAGAGGAGAAATCTAAACGCTGTTCTATTACCTGTTCTTGTGAAATCATTCCAATTGGCATCACACTGATAAGGGCCCTCCAGTCACGGGGACCATCAATGTCGAGCTGGTCAGATAACTTCTTTATAATGCCATAAGGCAACTTTCGTATTTGCATATCCATGTATCCTGTCTTTAATAAATTCAAATACATGTATTATTGTAAGGATCAAGTGCTTGAATTAAAACATATTGTTATTCATGAAAAATATTTCGCTTATTCGGATTGGTTCAAAGCCCCTGACTAATTCAACATAATCAACTGGCGTTTACCATATTTAGGAGATGGAGCAATATCGTAAAATTCCGAAAATAAGCCCCTCCATGTATAAGCCGTTCCAAATATAAGCCCCCCAAACTCGTAACGCAAAAAACCCTCCGGTAAATTGCCCCTCCAAATATAAGCCCCCGGGGATTTGTCACTTAAAAACTGCCCTCAAATTCAAAATAAAACAGAGCAAGAACTGTACAGTAACACATACATTTTTACATCTGCCAAAGAACTGTTACGTGTGCCGTGTAAAATGATTGCAGTCAAAAAGTGTCACAGTATATTGTTGTTTGCGTAGTTCACTCTCTCCCGGGACTGATTTTCGGAATTTTACGGTATACCATCGATTCGATGGTATGTTGCCGAGGCAATGTACAGCATACTTTCGATTCGAAAAACCAGTTTTAACTGTAACAGAATTCAAATTCTGCTACATAAATAAGAAAGAAAAGTTACATACATAAGCAACCCGTTCTTTCCTGCGCCCATACCAGCACATGCTTACAAGCACCTGCTACGCAGGCACTTTGATGCTAGCAATTTAATCTCTTTATGAAACGCTTAATTATTAAAGAAATTACAGTTTTTTAGGGGGTTTTTAATTACACAGCAATAAGGACCTCACAAGCACAGGATAGCAACTGACAACTCATCCAATTATAACACCTTGTCCATATGTTTACTTGGTTTCTGAACATTCACCCTGCGAGCAGAGCCTCCTTTTGTCTTCTTGGCTGAAAAGGAGAAAAGGAGGCTCTGCCAGAATCTCATCAAACCTTTGAAGTCACCGAAGCCCGAACTTCTGGACTAGTCAATCTTGTTCTCTCTCGTCAAACTGGTTTATTCGAGTATGCGCATGGTCATCACCAAGCCCGCTGTAGCAAGCGAAGGGTTATTAGGCCTATTCCTAGCAACAACCCGCACAGGCTCAACAAAGACCTTACTCGATTTATTCATAGCCTTTTTCAAGTTCGCCTAAATGAAAGAAAGGGTCGGCTTGCAGGGTGCTGAACATTGCTTGTTATTACAAATTAGGTATGTTATTTTTTTCCATACTAACGTCGTGTACTACTGTCACATCGATCTCCTTATAATAAATCCATCTTGTTTAGTTTGTCTGATTTGACTGAAATAATCAGGACGTGAAAATGAAATTTAACCCCGGAGCATTCACGTTTGCCGTACACCTTGAACTGATCATTTAGCTGAAAACGTCAGAGAAAAGTATCAACATAAACAACAAAGAAATGTGTGAAGCAGATCCGTATTAGTAACCTTGTTATTGTAAACAAGGTATAGTTTTATCGTTTGTCTCACGATTGTCACTTTGATATTGATCACGACGTTTTGACCGCACACTGCAGGTCTTCGGCAGGCGATAACGTCGATTTACTGAGTTGAACTATTTGTACCACCGTGGTTGTTAGTTATTGGTGTATCACAAACCTCGCACATGGTTGCTGGGTCTCGATCCAAAGCACTGTTAGCATTGTGTGAGGAACAAACTGATCCCTCAGCGGTCTGCTCCGGTGGAGATCGGTTGTCTTGTTGCCTGATTGTAGGCATCCACGCTTCAGGAATCTCAATTCCACTGTCCCTGTTGATGTTGTTAGGGTGAAGTCTTACGTGGATACCCTTCTTAACTCTACGAGAGTACCAGTAAGAGTCTCGGTCAGTAAACGTAACTTCGTCCCAGAGCGGATAACCCTGGTCTTATTGGCGTGTTCAGACACGGCCGAAGTTTGAGCTCGTGAAAGCCGTATATCCCTATCGTGCTCCTTAATCTGTTCATGCATTCAACTGCCTGTTTCGCCAATTTACGCTTTGCCGCATTCACAAGGAATCTTATACACTACTCCATCTTGTTTTCGTGGATCCACAGGATCCTTAGGTCGCACTAAGTGCGATCTTAGTGTTGTATCTAACAACATCAACAGGGACAGTGGAATTGAGATTCCTAAAGCCTGGATGCCTACAATCAGACAACACGACAACCGACCTCCACCGCAGCGGACCGCTGGGGATCAGTTTCTTCCTCACACAATGCCAACAGTGCTTTGGATGGAAACCCACCAACCATGAACGAGGTTTGTGATACACCAATCACTTACGACCACAGTGGTACAAATAGTTCGCCTGCTGAAGACCTGCATTGTGCGGTCGAAACGTCGCGATCAATATCAAAGTGTCAATCGTGAGACTAACGATAAAACTATTCCCTGTATACACATTATCGACGATGATTAATATCTTTGATCACAACCTTGTTATTTTTCTTATCTGAACCATACCTTAGATTCTTCAATGTTTCTACAGGATTTTCTCTCCGAGTGACTGACCCGATTTGATGGTTTTTCAGGGTGCTCTCCAATGAACGTGTCGTCTGACATTTTACTTCGTGCGCCTCTGGTATGTGTTCCTGTTGCAACATTTTTAGCATCTTTCAAGAGGAAGAAAATGTCAGCAAACAAACAAATAAAAAATAATGACACAATATCAACGCCTTGGTCTTTGCTGCTTGCCTACTTCCCTTTCAAAAGCATACACATGTGGGAAACCCTGGTTGTTTACTATTTATATTTACACGGGCTAACTGGTTGGTTCATGGTTTGGGCAAGGAGCAAAACTGGGCTATTGCATTAAATATCCGTACCCTCCCCCCCCGGTTGAGGACTTACCTTTTCTTCTTACCCCTGAAGATTGGCTAAAATTGCATTCACCTCTGAAGACTTCCATAAAATATGGGCTTACCTTTGAAGAATATGGGTTTACCCTAAAGATTTTCGTGAAAATTACACCTCCAAAGAATTCCATTTTTTTTATTCTCTACCCTTAACGAAATGCTCAATTCTTATAACTTACCCCTAGAGAATTCCATGGTTCCTCAACCGAAGGGGGGGCGGGGCTGATATTAAATGCAATAGCCCATTCAGGACTGGTACGTAAATTTCGCCCCGGAATCGCATCACGCGTACTATTTGTAGTATTTGTAAGTCAGTTCCATTCACCGCAATAAGGGCGCGAAAACCTGGGACGTACTGGTATCAAAGATGGCTTTGAAGAAGTGGAACACGAATCTTCGTTAGAAACATTCCGTCAGGAAAAACAGGACTGCCTTTTCAGACGTTCTCTTGCTCCTGGAAATTTTCCACTGTCAAATCGAATTTTCCAGAAACTTTTTGTAAATGGTTAACAACCCCTGGGAATCAATCAACCAGCCATTTAGCCCAAAATTCCGGCAATTTTGATCAGAAATCAAATGGATCGAACAGAACCATTTCGGTTTTGACTGGTCCTACCAGTTGGACGGATATGTTGTCGAAATTGTTGTTCACTGGTAAGGAAATTGGTGAAGATCTGTATGAACCCGGCCTCTGTTTGGATTTTTTTGGAAAATCTAATTATTTATACCCGTTTCCATCATCGCAGTAAGAACTACCAGGATGAAATGGTCCAATGAAAATAAAAAGAATAGAGGTCCAGATTAACCCCTATCACTGAATGAATATTTTATTTCATATGTTCAGGTGAGATCAAACCTGTACACCGTGAAAACTTCCGATCTCTTATGAAATGTCTCCCTTTATAATAGACGTCAAGTTTTAATGATTATTCTACCAGTCATTTTCAAACTTTATCCTCTCATAATGCACCTTGTTTTTTCCCCTTTTGTTGCTCAGCCTTCAGCACTTTACTTCTTTCCTGTTCACTGTTAAGAATCTTCGTCAATCTGGACTCCATATTTCCTAGAGTAACTGCTGAAATATCTGCTAGCAGGTCAAGATCAGTGATCCAGAAATGCTTGAGATCTTTGCGCTGAAATGCATCTCGAAGAAACCCCACAAAGCCAGTAAACCTCTCTGCAAGTTGCTCTTTCTTCCACTCAGTGGTTGTTTGGTTGTACCACAGTAGTGCAGTTTTCACATGAAAAGAGGATAATGGCGAAAAGGTTGGTTCCCGTCTGAGAACTGTGTTGGTTATCTTGAACAGGTCATGACGGCATCCTTGATCCTTATCCATGTCCTTTAGAAGAGACTTCTGAATCAGTGTGTATGACTTGACCCATGCTGTTTCGCAATCAGTTCCCGCTGAAAGTAAAATACAAGAACTAGCTTCTATTATGGAATTCTTTCATCAATAGTCATGAGCATGTCATGGAAGGGAGTGTGCATCGAGGATGTTGAACCCTTTATGATAAACCAATTTATGATTTTAGCAGTTACAAATAAAAATCGTAAAATTCCGAAAATAAGCCCCTCCATGTATGAGCCCCTCCAAATATAAGCCCTCCAAACTCGTAACGTAAAAAACCCTCCGTTTAATCGCCCCTCCAAATAAAAGCCCCAAGGGGGCTTGTACTTGGAAAATTACCCTCAAATACAAAGTAAAACAAAGCAAAAACGGTAAATTTACTTCCTACTATATAAGGTTAGCCCAACCGATTTTGAGACGCAAATTTCCCTCCGTATATAAGCCCCTCAAAAAGAGCCTTATAAAAATATAAGCCTCAGGGCTTATTTTCGGAATTTTACGGTATGCCATGAAGCACATAATTCATGACATTGTGGTAATAATATTGTATGAACTTAAACTGTGACATTTGTGTTCTATGTTCAACAGCCAACTTTCCTGTGGCAGGCTCTCAAATAGTAGGGGCATTGCGAAAATAAGACAGCCCATGTCCTGGGAAGGGGGTGGTCCCCAGCCCCCATACGATTTTCGCGTCACTCTTTACTTCACTGGACTACTATCTTGGAGCCTAGAACAGCCTCTATACTACCAATCAGCAACATGGTTACATAAAAAAAAGGTCAAGACTATGTTCATAGCTATGAGCCTTAATTCAACTTCAGTACCTGGGAGATTGCCTTGTTGTGATGGTGGAACAAAGCATTCATCGCTGCTGAGTGGAAATGTCGGTACAAGCTTTACTTTCAGTGTCTGTGTCTTGGATTGACTGATGATGACTTTGACACCGGTGCTGCAACTAGAAGCCTTCAAATACATGGATGCAGCTTCTTTAGAGCTCAATTCTTGAACAGCAGAATTGACCAATTTAAATAGCCATGACTTGAATTTCTTTGGCATCAAGAGGCCATCTTCACGTGAATACTCCTTGTATGGGGAACCTTCCACTGTTTTGATGGTTGCACAACCAGGGTTCTCCACATTAATAGTGACAAACCCTTTCTTTACCTTCAAGACAACATGAATTACAACATTGTCCTCATCAGGACGAGTGGTTTTCAGATTCTCATACAAACTTCCTCCATATTCAAACTTGCTTATTATAGGAGAGTTATCCTGGCAGTATTTGAGTACCCCATTTTTCATATACTCTTCCATCACTTCTTTTGACCACTTGATTTCATCACTTAGAATGGTTCCCAGTTTGTTGAGGAATTTTCGCAGAAGCTGCAATAGATCAGTAGAAGTTTGACATGTGTTTGGCAGAATTTGTTTCTGCTGTCCAGATGTGATTGCAGGACAGTTTTCTCTTGCCTTTCTTCCATCACTGTCTAGCTGCACTGAAAGCAAATGGAAATTCACACTTTGATTAATTACATGCACATACTGATAAGCCTTAAATCTGGCTTCAGATTAGGTAATGCTTGTGTTGTTGAAAGGGTATGTAAGGACTCTAACAACTCTCTACCTATCAAATTGTGACTGAGAGTCTCTTTGGTTATCTCTTCGCCCTTTTTACCAAATACTTTGTCAAACAATTTTAATCAAGAGGGAATTGATAGACATGTAATGATCCTGATCATCTCTTTAAAGCCATATTAACCCTTCAAGATACAATAATTATCCATGTAGAAATTCTCCAGACTGATCTCCATACAGTTCCTTAAAGAATTATTGGAGAGAATTTGATAAAAGATCAAAACATTTTTCCTTTGGTGATAATGTTATTAATTTTGTCTCATAATCTTCTCTTTTGATTAAGTATAGATATTGTTAGGAGAAAAACAATGTTGGTCACTATTGGGACTTAATAGTTATAATAATATTATTGTTAGTTTACTCCAATTCCAAGTTGCCAAAAGCAGTTAATAAAAATCAATCTGCCTTACTTTCACATTTAAGGACTTTACTTCTCTCCTTGTCATTGTCCAAAATCTTGCGTAATCGATCAGCCATGTTTTCTAATGTTTTATCCTGTATATTATCCAGCAAGTTCACTCCTTCTACCCAAAAGTTGTCGAGGCTCTTTTTTGAAAGGGCTGTGTACAACATTTCCATGTACTCAAGAAATCTCTCTCCTAGCATATCTGCATCCCACTTTAATTTTGGATTGGAGTTGTAGTGTAAGAAAACTGTCTTCAGATGGTAGCTGAATAGTTTAGCAAAGGTCGTCTCAGCGCGGATGAGGGTTTTAATGATCCTGAGAAGTTCATGCCTGCATCCGTGATCTTCCTTGTCCATATCCTGTAATCTTGCTTTCTCCCTCAGTGAAAATGACTGCCTCCAGAGAAGCTTTGAGTCACATGCTGGGGATATTTTCCCAGTGTATGATTTTGCAACGAAGTATTCTGTAGCACTAAGCTGAAAAGATGGAACCAGATCAGCTGACAATTTTTTTTCTGTTTCCTTGTCTGTGATATCTAGCTGCACTGCCGGACCATGAGCTCGCACTTCAAGCGTTACAGATAATGCAGGATCCTTTTCTTGGAGTTGATTTACAGCCTTTTGAACGAGGCCAAAAAACCAGCTGGCTCGTAGCTTCTCAGGCAGAATGTATCCTGCTGCATTAGCATACTTCCGTAGCTGGGAATCTTGTGATGCTTTGAGAAGCACAAACCCAGGGACACCAGCATCTTCTTGGGTTACTTCCTGTTTTGTTGTCTGTAGGATAACCATGACATCAACTTCATCAGCTGCTTCAGTCTTAAGCTTCTCATACAAGCTTCCTGTGTATTCTTGCTTGCTAACTGGTAGGGATGATTCCCTGCAGATGCGTGGCAAGATTTCTTTTTTGATGTAGTTGTCTACTAGACGTTTAGCTTGCTCTGTGTCTTCTTTGGTTATTTTCACATGGTCTGCAGAGTAGCGCCGCAGTTGTTGTGTCAGCAAAGCTCTATCACAGGCATTCTGTTTTGCTTGAAGCATGATAACAAAGCTGCAGAGAGATAAAATAAATAGATCATTCTGTTCTTAAGTTTCTGTGGATAATCCCATCTCATTCAAGGGGAAACTGGGGAGGGGAGCAGGGCAATGGGGCTCAGTTGAAAAAGAAAAGCCGACAAGGACAATTTAGTATGTCTATTTGTTTATTCATTTATTCTATTTTATTTGCCACACAATAATATAAATTACAAAATATAGGGAAAGTAGAAACAAGAAGTGGTGAGGAGATTATTATTTGGTACTTTATGATTTAATCTTCACTATTTTCTAAAGGAGAAAAGGGATTGAGAGTTGATGACCTGGTTGTCAAGTCAATTAAAAAAACTTAGTTCCTTGAAAAGAAGGCAAGAACTTCTTAGTGTTTGTTCAACAATACGTAGATGGTTGGCCAGGGAATTTCTTGTATTGTAAGAGTGGAGTTGATTGCTTTGGAAGAAATTGTTATTGAACCTTGGAGGTAACAAGGAATTTTTGCAAGAATACATAAATTAACCCAATTGAAGCAAATTAAATTTCTTGTAAAAACTGACCAAAAATATACCTCACCGCGAAAATGCACAGAATCACACTTGTTCTGTACTTCTTTATGATCATCAGGACTGCTATACACAGTGACTTGATGAAATGTTAATGTTTGCTACGACCAGTTGCAAAAATGTTGAGACACTCCCAGGAAAAAATGACCTTTCTTGCTTCAAATCGCTCCTGGTCAAAGGTCTGTGAGTTATAATACTGACCTCCCTCCTCCCTTCCATTCAAACTTGTTCCCCCAAGTTTTAAGCATGGTCTTGTATTGCTAGCAACTTTGATAAGGGGTGGAGGGGGGATCACAAACACAAGATCATGGAAAGGCCATTTATGACAAAATACGATACAGTGTCTCAATAATATTACTGGTTGTAGCTGTACTAAGATAAAGCAGAAACTGAGAGAAGCGTGAGAAAAAAACCTGCTCAGACCACGTGACCGGAAACGCATTAGCTGTGCAGAATAATGAGGCGTAAGGACAAGGCAACGGCAGACAGTCTTTCTGTAGAGTCCTTCGCTATCATTAAAAACACTGGACAAGGGAATTTTGTTATTGGCTGTTTTCAAACTAGAGCTAGAAATGCATAGTCGCCCCCTCCCCCACAGACACCCCTTCTCCGATTTTTTCTGAGGGGAGGGGGCAGCTGTACACAGGGTATCTGAAACAGATAATCCATCTTCAAACTGTCCGTCAAAATTGACGGATAAAGTAAGGCGGATTGTTCATTCAAAATTAAAACCCTTTCCATTTCAAATTAAGATGTATTACCTATCTGACGTGAATTATCAAACGGATAACCCATCTCACATGAATAATCCGTCGCTAGTGTGAAAACGGTCATTAATTCATTATAACAGAAATTTTCTGTTATAATGAATGTCCCTCCTTTCCCCTGCCTTGAGTTGGGCGTTCACGTGTCTGCTTTTGCTTTCGCACAAAGATTATTTTTCAATTGTCTATTGACATTTCTATACATAAAAGAATATTAAAAGTTGAATACTTTACAAATAGTATGATCTATCAAATGTCACAAGAATAACTTTATTTTATCCCGAGATGATCCTAAGACCTTTATTTTGCTTTGAAGATACAAAAATACAGGTTTATTACTATTTAACTCTTTAACACAAAAGATATTAATTTTCAACTTTTTGTTAACCGTAACTGAAAAAAATTAACCGATAGCCGTAAAAGAGCCAAAATTCTAGCCAATACCCGTAAAAGCCACCACCCCATTGAGACCCTCTTATAAATATAGCAGCAGTTCAGAAATTTGACAGTAAAATGAGAAAATTTTGTATTATTTGTCCAGTACGAGTAGAAGTGCTTAAAATAACGTACAAAAGGACAGAAAACACTAACCTTTCATTTTCTGTTTTTGCTTTGTTAAATTTGTTTGAATTTCAATAAATGCTTCACAGTCTACAGTTTGACATTTAGCCGTTTCCTACAGACCATTTTTGATATATTAAAATTCATACTTGGCTCCAAGGCTTTGGGGAATAAAACAAAAGGAATCATCTTGGGGCTCAGCAATGAATAATACATTTCTTTTGTTTTATTCCCCCAAGCCTCGGAGCCATGAAATTTAATATATTCAATTTCTGCCTCTCCAGTAAGATGGTCGATCAGCCATGCTTTAGAGTGAGATAAATTTTTTAAATGTGTAATCGAAAGTTAAAAATCCAATTTTCTCAAATCTTTATAAACTTTTATATTATAAGGTACATTTTATAACATTTCAATAATTAGTCTAGTTTCACCGGATGGACAAAGCTTTCACACTGTCCAAAACGATATCCACAAAAAATTTTATATCTCAATTTGTGAAGAAACTTACCGTTTTATTCCGTCATTACTTGTTTTTCCAAAGTATTCATTGTCTTTCTACCGAACGACGTACACAGCAGACGCTCAGACATCAACTGGTCGATTCAAAACAGAAGCTGTGAGGAGACAATTTTCCACAGGCGTCGAAGGAGAGTGAGTTTTCGGTGTTCAATTAACAAGTCAGCGGTGTCATTAACCACTGCGGTAGGTAATTGATGTATGGGAATATATATTGTACCCATTTTTATTGCACACATTGTATCAATCACAGTTGCATCCCAGGGGGGTTACTCCGGATTCCAAGTGACAGGGATGACTGAATGGGGACAAAAATCAAAACCCCAAAAAATAACTAGGACTTCCAATAATGCCCAGAAAAATCCCTGGACCAAAAATTAACCCCCAAAAATCCCATGCCGAATTTCCGAGCCTTAAAAATTACCAAGCATTACATTGTAAACGATATAACCCAAAGGATAACAACAGTAGAGAGAGAGGGAAAAAAAACCTTTGCAGAACTACGTGGCCGGGAAACGCAGGCACTACCACGAATCTTCACATTTTTTTGAATACCCCCCCCCCAAAAAAAAAACAAACAGACAAACAAAAAAAAAACCTTCTTACCTCCTACTTGAAACAAGCCACCCAATGCAAAAAATCCCGGAATCGAAAACTTCAAACCCCTTCTACAGGTGAACGTCCGTGGAAAATTGTCTCCCCGCCAGCTAGGCAGGCTAGTATGGCCGTGAACAGTTGCTTATTATACAGCACTTGCATGTGCGATAAGTTAGCATCCGGCGCGTGTGGTTTTTGCTTACAGAGAGCAATTAATTATATCAGTAAGTGCGGGGGCATTGAGCCGTGTTTTAAACCTTACGGGCCAGTAAAAAGGAAGTGCGATTTTTTTAATCTTTAGTTTACTTGCCAACTGGAAATCTACTTTTTATAGATCGATTAGTTTCGTACTCGGACTCTGCCCGGAAAGTAAGCAATTACAGCCGCGTCTTTAATCGTTATAAAAGCCTGTAATTTTTTCTTGAAGTCGGAGCAGTAAATTTTACTGATAAGTAAGTGTCCTGTTTAACTTCGCGGCACGGTAAAAGGGAGGTGCAATTTTTTCAGTCTTTTGTTTTCCTATTCCTTTCAGTGTATTCATCGCCGACGGAAAACTTGCTTTTATAGATCGATTTCTTTCGCTTAACCCCGTCCGAAAAAATGCACAAGTATATAGCGCGTTGAAGATCTTCAGCACCAAGCACGTGTAGTTTTTACTCGAAGAGAGCTATAAATAATATCAGTGTGGGGGCACTGAGTCGTGCTTTAAAACTCGCGGGCCAGTAAAAAGGAGGTGAGATTTTTTTCAATCTTTTGTTCACTGAGAAGAAGCGGTTTGACTTTAATCCTCTATTGTATTCTACGCTTTTCAATACATGAATAATATGTGATTTTAATTCTAATAAGTCAATCCGTGCTTTAACGAACGAATGTAAAATTTAAACTTCATTTGCATGTAGATACAAAGTTCTCTAACGCGAAATTTGAATGTTGCCATCTCGGAAACAGAATAACCAGTATATCACAACCAAAGCGTATGCGATCAAACAAACTGAATTGTAAGTTCTCAGCTGCTTTAATTTTTTTCGCGCCCATATTGTAGTTCCTTACAGCAATATTAACGAGCATGTTTTGCGTAAAAGTTGCTGCCACTAGGCTTACCCCGAAACAAAACACAAGGATGCAACTGTTCAACTCGTCTGTTCAGCACTTACCTCACTACCACTCAGTAACTCTTACCCAGGGCTGAAATCGCTCCTTACTTCGGTTGCGCCGAAAAAACGTCTTCGGAAGGAAGTTATCGGAAATGTTGAAATTTCCCGCGCGTGAAAGTTATTGTTTCACGTTGTTCGTTTTTGTCCTTACAAGGCAGGAAACGATAAAAAATGACAATACAAAACAATACCTATTGTTCTCGAATTCAGGTCGCTTTTCTTGATACGATAGGGGATTTGTATGGCAATTCAGGTAACAGATTCAAGAAGATAAATACTCGAGGAGTTTTCAATGAAAATCTCTTTATACCTTATTTACTTGGTGTGTTTCCACTACGTATGCTGACTCGAGAAATCGCTTAAATCGCAACGGATCGGGAAAACAACCACACACTGGCAAGAACACACCAAGTCTGAAATGGAAATTGACAAACAACAAATTCAACTTCCTAACTCAACCTAACCTTCCTAACTTAATTTAAGGTAACTTAGGTTAAGGTCAAAGTGAGGGACTGGGAGGGCTTCACCCCCACCTCGTCCATATCGTCCCTACTTTCTCCGGAAAAATACAGACTGTAGGAGAGTCTCCTACAATCTGTAGCCTCCACTTCAAATCACTAGCCAGCGCACATGTAAAAATGTGTGTAGTAGTCCAAAGACGTCCGAAAAAGTCTTTTGATAATTCAAAGTAATAAGGTATGGGAAATCACTCTGAGATGGGACCAGCCTTTAGCCAGACGAAAACAGGTGGGGAAAAGTAGAAACGAACAGGATCAGCTCCGATTTACTCATAGGTTGGGAGGGTGGGTCGCTATACTCGTTACCTTCGCAGCCTTCAGTAGAGAGATGAAAGGGAGCACAGACGCTCTTCACGTCTTGGGTATCTTGTTCAGTGTTATTACCGATCCTACATGGTAGCCTGGAAAACAGCCGTCTCTCCTCATTCCTGGCCGCCAAAACGCCTTTAGCAGCGAGGAGCGAGGAGAGACCGGCTGTTTTTGCAGGCTACAATAGGCGACAAAATTGTTGAGACATTGTACTCAAATAGGGTAACTTCAGAAACATAAGAATCACTTCCCTCCTCTGTCCCCTCCATTCAAAGTTGGGATGTTTCTTGTTTTCTAAAGGTAGCTCGAACAGTGGCACAACATTGCATGGAGAGGATTGGGGAGGAATCGCTATGTTTTCCCCTTTTGAAGTCCGGAAAACGTCAAAAAGTCCATTTAGGGCGAAATGTCTCAAACCATTTTGTTGCCGATTGGAGGAGTTTCATTGGCGGATCCAAGGGAGGGGCGCGGGGGGTCCGACCCCCCTACGTTATTTTTAGAGCAAATTGAGGCTCGAAGGGCCGAAAAATATATATTTTTTGGGGACCGGGCCCCCCCTTATCTGAAGGTCTGGATCCGTCAGTGAATTCCCCTCTTGTTGGAGACAAACCGTGGATGCTCGGAACTGGTTAAGCTGGGGATTACAACTTTAATTATGATGATCAGAATCTTCACACCGCTTTTTCAATCAATCAATCAAACATTTATTATGTTGGGATACATAAAGGGGAACGTCAGAGGTTATCGCTATCGAGGGCGCTCCCTACATAAAATATAAAATAAAAATACTGTACAATGTAAAATTTCAGAATAATTAAGAAATGGCTAAAAAATTTACAAAATTTTACAATACTTTCTAAGTTTACTTCGAAAAATGCTGAAATCCTGTTCGTGCACTATCTCTTTAGGAACAGCGTTGCACTGTTTAATAATTCTAACAAAGAATGAGTGCAAAAAACATTTCACTCTAGCTAATGGCTGTCTTGATTTAAATGAATGGTTTGATCTTGTTTTACCATAACAATGAAATTCAAAATAATCATTACAGTTGACGCCATTAAGACCATGAATAGTCTTGTCGCACTAGTCTAGCAAAGATTGATAAGACCTCCTTGATTGATCCACCTAAGCACTGCCAGTCTTTCTTGGCAGGGAGATTCCCTCAATTACATTGGGAGGGCGTATTTCGAGGCCCTACGTTGGACTAGTTCAAGAGCGTCAATGTTCTTCTGTAAATAGGGTGACCAGAAAGGGACTAGCCTCCCCGCAGACGTCCTTTGGGGTTCGTTTGTCACGCATTGAATGCGTGACAAACGAACTCCAAAGGACGTCTGCGGGGAGGCTAGAAAGGGACAGCATATTCCAGAATGGGGTATAACCAAGGCCTTGTACAGACGAGAAAAGACTTCCTTGTTCCCTGCACCAACATTCCTTTTAAGGAAACTCACAATCTTGTTGGCTTTATTTACAACTTTCTGCGTTTGGGTGTTCCAGGATAGATTGGAAGTCAATGAGACACCCAAATCAACCGTTTCGGTGACAGACTGAAGCGTAAAACCAGTGAGCTTGTAAGGATAGCTAGTATGATCTCTCGCATGGCTAACACGTAGATGCCAATTTTCACTCCATTTCTGAAGCTTGTTTTCATCGCAAATAATCCTGTAAACCTTGCTTTCATCTGCAAACAGGTGCATGCTTGACCTTACGCCAGTTGTGATATAGTTAATATAGGCAAGGAACAGGGCTGGCCCAAGTACACTACCTTGGGGAACACCACAGGTGACCATCGTGCAAGGAGAAAAATGCCCACGGAATGTGGGCTAAGTGAACTAAGTACAGCCAGATTCTACAATCATTCGAGTGCACGTAACACATTAGTGCTGCCACACACAAGAAAAACCACACCCTGCATTTCATAATTATTACGAGATCTGGTGATAGACTGGTACAGAAACCGTCACAGATGGGTGCTGGATCAGCTGGATCCCATGCTATCAGGTCATCACAGAGTAGATTACAAACTTTTGATTACAAAAGCATCTTTTTCAAGGGAAACAAGTATCTTTTCGAAAAACAGGTACCATGTGCACAAGCCCACCGACGTGGACGAGAGTGTTTTGGAATTTCAAATGCTTATTGAAAGATGTAAAGGTTGAAACTGTAATTAACATGCCATTTAAAACCGGCAAACAAGACTGTAGTGAGCACAAGACACTTAACAATAAAAACAGTTTCAAGAATAAATGAATGCTTTATTTTCAATGACTATAGTTTCCGTACTTAAGTACAATTCTGCTGGGTTGAATTCACGAATGTGTCCCACCCTAGGATATGTCTGACAGCCGTATTTGAATACTTTCAAAACAAATGAGACACAGCAGGGTAAATAAGTGATGGATCTGTTATTTCCTAATCTGATTAACCAATAAACTAGTTAGAGAACCTGACCGCGATATATGCTACTGCAAAATAGTAAACACGCTACATTAATCAATAACTTTAATGAATAAAAAGGTTTACGGAGTTCGGTTTTTTAACTTCACTTCAGTCTCGTCAGCTACCAATTTAAAAACAAATTTAGTGACCTACTAAAAAATCACTAACTATGCCGATAGGATAAAAAACTTCCACCTTGAACTACGAAAGCTGACTGGTCAACTATCCACAAACGGCCTCTGCTAAAGAATATACATTAGAAAGATCCAGTGTTTTTCTTAACGGCTATTACCTAAAGCCCCGTCCACACGCATCCGGATATTTTTGAATCCGCAACTTTTTCTTTCCGGAGTAAAAAATTTCCACGTCCACACGTATCCGGATTCAAATCGAATTTGTCGGTCTACACGTATCCGGATATGTTTGAATCCGCAAATGTTTCTTTTCACGGACAGTCTTGAATATTCACGGTAAATAGTTTAAAGAATAATAAATACCATAAATCCTCTATTAAGCTCCCCACCCCTCTCAAATAAGCCCCCTCCCTCTAATAAGTTCTCCCTTTTTAGAAGAAGAAAGTTAATAAGACCCCCCCCCCAATATCTTTTAAGCCCCCTTCCCTCCCCCATATTTTTATTAACTGGTAAATGATAGACTATATTAATCAATCAGGACGCAACACTTCGTGTGCACTGATCCGGAATGGTTTATTCACCAGCTGGAAGTTCGGATTTGCTTTTGATCCTCGGTTGTATCCCCTCCAGCTTTTTGTAATTGAGCTTTTCCATTTTGCGTTCTACTTCTTCATGGAGAACTGATACTATCTTCTTTGCTAAATTGAATAAGCCATCTTTACAATTTCGGTTGAAATAAATAAGCCCCTTTCGGGGGCTTAATAGAGGAGTTACGGTAAGCAAGGTCCAAGGTGTCACATTTGGTATGATAGACGCTGCGTCAAAATTATTGGAAGGAGACCCCTCCATAAAAGAGGACATATATATCTGTTATTACTGCAAAGATAAAGTGTAAATGAAGGTATGCTGGCTTCTTAGCCCCTGGGGAGGGGAATATGGCGTGTAGTACGTTTATGCCCTATACACCGAGGATTTAGCAGGTTTTTGTTTCATCGTAAAAACAAATCCCCTGGGGTGTCCCACGAGTTGACCGCCGGGAAAGCCAATGATAACCGCATTAGTTTTAGGAGACATGCCCATGGTCACGCAGCGTAAAGTGAGAATTATTATTGCAGCAACCGCGATGTTTCATGACGACACTCATACTGAATTACCTCTTCCATTTAACAGATGTAATGCAAATGGACAAGCTTAGTATTGTTCCTGAACCTGGTCTAAAATCCGCACATGAGGAAGAATCCGTTGATGACCCTAAAGGACGAGATTTCCGTGGATCCAGGTGAAGTGCGTATGGCAACGGCGAGTAGAGTGAGAGGCATTCGAGCTGCAACAATGATGTTTGAAGCTGAGCACGGAGAATGCACAGCTGAATGCGCATTCGTGTGTTGCCCTATATAGAGGATGGTCAGATTGTGGTTCAGTTTTACTGATTGAAGAGTCTGTTATTCCAAAAGATTTCAAGGAATAAGCCCAAACGTTTTTCGAAGATATGACTGTGAAGCTGGAGTGGCCAGATCTGTATAACAGCAACGTCAACATCCTGAATGTTCAACGGCACGAGTATTCATCCTGGCGAACCCAAATCACTGACTGCTCCTCAGGTTGACGAGTGGATTCTGGAGTAGAGCTGTATTCTTTGATACCCAAGAGAGTACAAGAGAGGCACAAGAACAAAACGACCGCGGGCTTGGCGTACAGGAAAAACTAGCATCGGGGACACCAAGTGCTATTGTGAAAAGCGGTAGCACTAACTATGCTCTGTCCTGTGATCATGTAATGAAATCGGAGGACTCAAGGCGTATTGTTCATCCTGGACATTATGACCACCTCAAGTATCCTAAGTTGCGTCGTTCAATTTCAAAGTGGGGCACCTCGTCACTGTAGCCATGGCGACCAAATCGAAAAGCTTTAAAAGGTGCTTGTGCATCCAACAGGGGACAAGGCGTTTTGCAGCAGAAAACAACCACATCCTGCTCAAAGGTCTTGAACTTCTCTTCGGTTTACTAGAGCATCAATATCATCATTTTATTTTGGCATCACCATTGCAAGTTGTTCTCGAAGCTTTCACCACTGAACACCCAAATGGCAGCGGTTTGGAACTGGTTTCAAAGTACATTGATGGACACACTAGTTTGAGTTTCATGCGTACAGGAATTGCAATTTGCAATTTATTTGGCGAGCAACTGTCGAAAAAGAACTCTGAAGAGGTGTCGACCAATCGACGTCCATGTAAGAATGAAACTTAAAATTTAGAGAGAACCAATCAGCGATTGTTTGAGTTTGGCTGTGTGCGAGGGTCTTCTCTCCTACCGTCACCATATTGACTTCGAGAAGACCCAGAGGGTGACGTTGGTAGTTCACTGTTCATTAGGAGTGACCAATAACAGTTCAGAGTGTTTTTAGTAACATTACTCTGATCGTTCATGTACTCGCTCCCCTATGAAGATTAAGTTTCTCACTTTGAACAAAAATGCAACTTCCGTCCCCTGACGAGCAAATTATGATTGACAATACGATAATCATAAGTTAAGAATAGTACGTAATTACTTCATTATGAAGTGATGTGTATTCAAAATGCTACGATTAAAATTTATCACCAGTGTTAGCTTTGATGTAAGTGATACAGATGTGATTATTCATACCTCTCTGTTTACATATTATTAAAAAAAAAATTAAGGTGGCCCTCTTGATTCCCATCCAGGTTCTAGAATAAATTTGTTGCAGTATTCATTAGCAGTGGGTTATAACCGCCGTCAGCGTGTTTCGTGAAAGAGAGAGAGACCTTTATTTATTCGTATCAGGGTCTGAGCCCATTCAGATGCCTTAAGCATATATATCTGTATATATCTAGTGATGTATTCAGAATACTACCGTTTCAATTCACTACCAATGTTAACTTGTTTAGTAGAGAGATTATACCTGCCTGTATGCATGTTTGATTTTCTTCCAAAAATTAAGTTTGATGTCTGGATTCAGATTCAGTTGGTAAAATTGTTGCACGTGCTGTTCATTAGCAGTGACTAATAACCGTTACCGGATATAAATTTAAAGCGCATTCAAAAAGTTGCGGATTTGTCTGCCGGATTCACCGGATACGTGTGGACGAAAGCCGTATCCGGAAAGAAAAAGTTGCGGATTAAAAAATATCCGGATACGTGTGGATGGGGCCTAATGGACATCGAGAGAAAGACAATTATTATAGCTATTCCTTATGGATAAATTCTTATAGAACATCATTAAACGGAAGATATTTTTTCAGATTGGAAAGTAAGGTTCTTTCACTGAGACATGAATGACATTTAGGGAATGAGATAAATTTTAACGTGTCAGGTCAGGAACATCGCCTGACAGAAAAGAACTCAAAACTTCAAATCAACAGTATTTTAAACTGAAAAATATAATAAAGAGGCTGACGAGAAACAACTTCACACGGGCAGTTTCCATACAGACAATAAATTCTGACGGAACACTGTTTTGAACATTTTTAGCTAAAATCGCTACAATTTGAGAGGAAACACTCCAAAGACGAAATAAATATACATATATACAGGATACAGGATAGATTCCATATAAAAAAAGTTCTAACTAAAGGCTGTAATTCGTTTAACTAACGTGAACGTAACTTTTCCAGTAAAATTTATACAGTTTTCATTTTTATACAAATATTTGGCCAAAAGCTCTACAGTTTTTATAAGAAACATCCCAATTACGAAATAAATAATATGTACAAAGATTCGTAATAAATATCCTGATACAGGACAAACTTCTTTAAAAAAATTAGTGGTTATAATTGAACTAAAAATAGAGTACATTACTATCCTGACTGTTCCTTTTCCAATAAATTATATGCCGTGAACATCTAATTTATCATTACATTTTGCAAAAAGCTTTACAGTTTGCTAAGAAACATCCCAATAATAAACGTCATTATCATTATTATCAGTTCATTGTAAAAGAAAAAGTTTCGTCTTTTACATGTTTTACATTTTTCACAACTGGCAATGTGGGAAAATGCAAACACTCACAAAAAACTCCAAACTTTTTCGACTCTGTCAAATATGGATATTAATTTATGCGTAAATCTTTAGAAAAATATAAAACTATTTACTTCTTTCAATCCCCGCCATTTTTACTGGGTACCATTCTGTCTCTGCCTCACTGCTTGCATCTCTTCGCGCCTGATTTGTGTTTCTTCTTTTTCTCGCCACCTTCAGAAGACAAAAAATAACAAATACTTTCTATAAACATTGGAATTCACACGACGCCGTAGCCTATTTTCTTTTCGTAAACGGTCTTTGCCATTTTTAACGGTCGATGCTACCATTGGTAACCAAGACTTTGGTCATCATAGATGTAATATATTCCCTGGATTAAGTTACAATAAAGCAAATAACACGTTTTAGAATAGTGTTAGAAAGAACGCCGTGGAAGCCCAAGTTGAATTTTCGCTAAAAGTTACGGAAAAGGCTACGCCTACCTGTTATTAATGTAACAGTTAAGAAAGACAGTTTGCTAGTGTATGGAATTTTGGCGAGTTGGTGGTACGGGAGAGAGTTAAGGATACGGAGAGGGTCTGAATGGGGTGTAGTGTTTGGTGTTATTTGCCCACAATTCTTAGTGTTTGCTGTTAAATTGGCCAATTTTTTAATGTTCACTGTTTCCGAAGAAAGTACTGTTAAGTGTTTGGAGGGTTCTTTGGACATCTTCGGCAATGGTCGGACCTCTTAGTTAGTCTTCGTAAAATTTCGGCAGTCTTCGGAAATCTTCGGTAGCCTTCGGAAATCTGAAATAAAAGTTGTAGTAAAACGGCCGAAAACTCCTTGATATACGAAACAAAATAATATTGGCCTTTTTGGAGCCGTTTTTTCTTCTTTCTGGAAAAAAACTTACCGTTTTAAAGAATTTTTTACTGTTAGTGTTAAAATGCCTAAAATTAAATTGTTTCATGTTACAAAGCCAAAAATGAAGTGTTTAGTGTTATCGATGTACCCCCATTCAGACCCTCTACGGAAGTTCCGGGTTCGAGGTCCGGGTTTCACCTTGGCTTGCGCGATTTCCTTTCTTTTTAATAGAAACACTCTCAATAACAAGTAAAAAAGTTTCTACGTGTCTTAAAAATGGCATCGACCGTTTACGAAAAGGAAAACTGCAGCGCCGTACAATGAAAGCGAAGTTGCAGCAATTACAGTTTTTTCAATGATTCGTCAGGTCCGTATCTCACTGACTTTTCAATTGTTATTTAAGAACGTCATCTCTCACGCTGAGTGAAACGCCGGTGGTCGTCCGGCCGTGGCTGCGGCAGGGCGTTCAGGGCGGTTAAACTATTAACAGATAAAACTAACAGACTTAACATTACTTAATCATCACTTGATCCTTACCCCAATCCAAATGGGCATCATCTTCATCCGTTTGTAATCTGCGTTTCTGGCGCTTCGCTGTACTTACGTTTAAAAAGTAATAATGTATTAATAACCTAGAGTTGTTTTTTATGAGTCGTTTGCTTTAATGTGTAACGCGATGAAATTTAATAATTCATTAATAATTCATAAGGAAAAAAGACAAGAGAAATTAATGTTTAATGAGTGCCTTTATATCTGATAAAGACATGGCTAAACTTTACGTCTACTGTTTTGGACCAAAATAACCCCAAATCTAAATATTAGTGCAATAATGAGTTGATCTATATCAGAGATTTTGAAGCCGTTTAAAAAACTCGCAGTCTTGTATTATCAGGTTTAAAAACTCGAGGCGAAGCCGAGAGTTTTTAAACCTGATAATACACTCCTGCTCGTTTTTTAAACAATACAAAACGAAACCAAGTGTGACAATGGGAAGAAGATCAACTTTTTGTAGTTTAATTGCTTGAAAAGATTTACTTCTCTTCTATTTGGGGCTAAAGAAAATCATAAGTTTTAACAAAAGGCCTCGGTACGCTTTGGAGATATCTTCCTTCTGCATAAGTTGTTAGTAATGAATGTCATCATTTTTACAAGTCAGAGAGCGCGGCACTAGAAACATGGCTCCCAACAGCCGACAAAAATTTGACATAATATGCTGCCACTTCAAAACAACAACAACAACAACTTCTGTTTTCTTAAGTGTCCTTGTAACTAACATTACAATGCAAGTAGTCAACTACCTTTGCGTGGAATAAGGCTAACATAGTGAAGCTCACACATGTGTCCCAGTACAAGCCGCTTACGGTCAGCATCTTCACATTGTGGGTTAATTATTACATCATGATAACCTCGCTGACTGCTGATCACGTGAATGCAAGTATCAAAGCGGTTTGCCGCCCCATGGAGAATCACGTGATCACCCCATGTACCATCGGCCTTCATACTTTTGAGGTAGTCATCCCAAGATGAATATCCTTCAACAAAATGGAATAGTTCGGTCCCATCCGGCTATAACAAGAAAAATACTATTTTAAATGTTTTATTGATTCAAGAGAGTGCTGACGCACCCATTATCAGTATATGCTTCTCTCATTTTTATCTACTCATTTCTTGAAAGGGAGGAACAACGTCTCCTTGCTCGCTGTAAGAAGTGAAAAAGGGGAAACATTTTCCCTCCGTTCCCTCTAGTTCTTTTTGCTCTTTTAATGATGGTTGTTCTGCAATCATCTTTGCTGGAATAATGTTCTATAATGTTCTTAGTGTATCTACGTTTTTCCATTTAGTTCTATGAGCTCACTCTAATTATATAAAATAGACCTTTTCACGGTTTATGACGTGTCCCGTCAATGTACGGGATTTTGGCCCACTTGGAACCGCTACAACGCCGCTAAAAAGAGGCGGATTCCAACATTTGCCTCTACTTTAAATAGTTTCATTGATATCATTCATTCAGCAGAAAATAGAGCTATTAAAGAAGCTACGACGTCGGTAAATTCGAATTATAAATCTTCTCATGTGGCTTCCAGTTTCATGGTAATTTGCATATTGTTGATTTGAAGGGTTTGTATGAAATCTTAAAAATTCGTTTACGGTCGTCATAACCTGAATCTCTTCCTTATACTTCATGAAAATAAACTCAGTACAAATGTCTTTTAAAGTACATTTTTGCTGTGGAAATCCGCCTCCTTGTAGCGGCGTTATAGCGGTTCCAAGTGGGCCAAAATTTCATGCATTCAATGTAATTTTAGCCGTGTTTGCCCCCCCAGCAGCCAAGATGGCGTCATAAACCGTGAAAAGGTCTGTTCCCCAAAGGATTTGACATAATTGTGTCAGCAAACAGAGCTAGGCGCCGTATCAAGACTCCGCCCCAATGAACAACACTTGATATCTAAGGGAACATTACTATCAAAAGCAAGTCATTCAAACTCACTGAATCTCACTGATAACAGAAAACAGCGTGGCCGCGCGGTTACAGCACTGGACTTGTAATCTGGATGCCCTGGGTTCAAGTCCTGCCCTGGCCGCCGGCTGAATTTGTTCTCGGTAGTCCCGAATAGAAATCCTCGGCCACGCTTGTAAAATAGCCAACTAGTTCGCCTCCTACCAGTTGGGATTCTTAACCTTGTTATGTTCCATTTCAGTTATTTGCTTCATTATCTTTGGAAAGCTCAATAAGGATTGCTAATACATAGCACCATTTCGAATTTCATAGCATGCTTTTACAAGCAGTTAAAAGCACGCTGTATGGTTAACATTAAATTTTAGCCGAGCAAACTTAACTAGGTGATAGAATCAACAGCAAAGCATTTAGCCTGCGATCATGCCCTCAAGCCCTATATCTCTATCAAGTCTTTCCGTTGATTTGACTTCCCCGAGTACAAAAACATTTGGTAGCAGACGTTTTTTTCGCCCTGATAACAGGTCGACCAGATGTCGGCGTATTTAAAGGGAGGGGCGGGTGGGGAGCCGTTGGCGACTTATAAAAAAAAATGTATCGGCTCTGTTTTTCCCCCTCTTCTCTAGACTGCGAGCAGTCTCTCTTTTTCTTCAGATTTAGTTAGAGCAATGCACGCGCGCGGGAGCGGCGAAGCCGCGAGACGCGCAAAACGAGGGCGGCAGCTTTTCCCGTCTCGCGCCATCAGTCACGCGCGTGGCCATTTGCGTGTCTCGCGTTTTGCTCGACGGTCTACAGAAAAAAGAGAGACTGCTCGTAGTCTATCTGTTCTCAAAAAATGATAATATTAATCACAATAAAAAACGCCTGATCGCAGATAAGAAACTATCCGGCCCTAGGGAACCACTAACCAGTGTAGGATTCTCCTTCAAGTAACGGACAACTTTCTTCCTTAGTTTTCTATGAGAGAGTTTTACTCCTTGTATGAGCTCCAGCTGTTCTGAGATCGCAAAAAACATGCAATTTCCTTCACCCCGATTGTCGGATATTTCAAAGCCTTTTTCATAAGCAATTTTTTTCAAATTCAGCGAAGGATCAGTTTTGCCAGCATTTCTTATTGCTTCCATCATGCATATTTGTCGAAGGGCATCGTAAATGACCCCACCTGTGAACAAAAGAAGGAGCAACAATATTCACTTTGAATCTAAAAAATACAAGTGTCGTACAGGTTCAATACAAGTAAACACGTTTTTATGCCTCTCTATTTTATTACTTCTGGCATCCAAAAACAGCAACCAAATCTGATTATATCGCACAGGAAGGATGACAAACATTTTTCATGACACTGTACCTTCAGTCAAACTGATTTCCCCCCTTACGTTCAGTTTTTCTTCATGTACTGTGGTTTCTGCTTTCCACATCTACTACATTACTGACGTGGAAAAATGAGAAACGTACCACGATTGACAAAGTTTTTCGACCCTGTCTCACATGAATAAAGTATACTCGTATTTGCAACAAATATAAACCACTTTAACTGATGATCCTCACCTAGACATGGTTGGGTATCACTCTCTTTCTGTCTCACTTGGTTACAGCTCTTCATGCTGGAATTGTCTTCCATGTTGTTTGCTTTACCTTTTGGAGACAAACAATAATAAACTTCTGTTATATACAATGGAATTACACACAACGCCGTATTAATTCGGGGTAGTTGCACCAACTTATACAGTTTTTCTCTGTTTACTAATTTATTCACAAACTTTGCCAGAAGAACTGCAACATTCAAAGAGAAAGAACCACTACGAGGTCCAGAAAAAATGCTATTAACGGAAGAATATCAAACATTAACAACCAGACTCAGAGAAAACCAACAACACATTGCGGCGATCACTAGCAAGCTGGGCAATAGCCGACTAGTGTGTATGCACTTGATACGCACACGCTTTGGGGGTTGTTGACATCATAAATAGTCTCAGTGAGATACAACAAGTAATTAAAACGTTCTTTACTACTGAACAGTTTATGTTCCGAAGATGGGATGGTAAAGTGTTCCAGGACCCTGGGCTCTGCATTAAAAATTGTTCTGTTCCTTCGCGAAGGCAGCGGAGTACCTTCAGAGGAGTCAGTGCGCCTGGGTCTAGTGGGATTTATTCACTAAAATTAAAGGATCCGACAAACTAACTAAGAATTTCAAGACGTAAACCGAATCTAGAAGTTTGTGCCAATAACATTGTGGAAGTAGCCCAGTTTTCAAAAGTCTCTGCTTATATGTGACTTCGGAGCGGTGCAGCAAAGACAAAATGAATTTAGTTGCTCGCCCCTGAAACTTCTCTATGTGAAGGGTAACTTTGAGAGCTTGACGAGCTTTGAAGGGACCTGTGAGTTGTATGCAAAGTTGCTGCGAACTACTGACTTGTAACGTAAGCTGCAGACTCGCTGTTGTTTAGGTCCTTGGGTCTTCTACGTCGATAACACAGCGGTGTCAGTGCTGATCATGTTCGCTCTCTTAATTCTTATTATTTTTCTTTCGAACTCTTTCTACTTTTCGATTACAGTCGACTCCCAATAACTCGAACCCTCGCTAACTCGAACCAAAATCGATTTTCCTTGGATTTCCGTCATACATATACTGTAATTTTACCCTCGGTAACTCGCACCCTCGATAACTGGAAGCTCCCGCTAACTCGAAGCAATTTTTGTTTTCCTTCAGATCATTTCTAAACAATTTTACCCTCGATAACTCGAAACGTGTTTTAAGGGCGTGAAAATTAAAAAAAAAATCGCAGTGAACTGCAGTCCAAAACATTGAGTTCCTCTTCTTCTCTTTGAGATTCTTTACTTTTTTGTCAGTCCAATTCAAATGCAATGTTTAGCGCTGTTTTCAGTGCTGATTTATCAAGGCTTTGCTGCTAAATTTCTTTTTCAAAATATCAATATATCTCTTGCTGCCCTTCAAGTGAAATGTATAGGACACTTTGCATTCCTCCCCAATCCCATTTCTTTACTTCTGGTTTTTTAGCTTCGAAATCTCGATAACTCGAACTGTTTTCGATTTCCCTTGAACGTTCGAGTCATCGGGAGTCCACTGTATTTCGATACAAACAGAAATACCGGAATCAGTAGCCAACCTCAGTCCAGAGATCTCGGCTGAATAAACTATCATTATCTTTTTTTCTAGAAGTGATGTGAGCATCATTTGGAACAAAACAGCTTTTAAACTCATGCAAGCGAAATTGTCGCATTTATTTCTGTTTTTGACGAATTCTCAGTCCATTATAAGGTATAATAAACAATAAGGGGCCCATTGCACATTGAAATTCTGTTCCTTCTGCATCAGCTGTGATTATGAGCGTCATCTACCGCACTCGGACCGCAGCCGCGACAAGGCGGTTTTCGTATGACAAGATTAAAGTACCAAAGAACGTGCCTTTCTGCAATATACGTTAACATTCAGTACTAGATCCTTACTCCCTATCTGGCTGCATTGCTTCGAGACACTTGTGAAAGATGACGGTCATAACCACAATTAATGCAGAAAAGGAAGAGATTTCCAAACGGTGATGGGGCCCTTATTAAAAGAACTGGAGATGGCATGGGAAGATAAAACATGAACATTTCCTGAATGTCCAACACTCACTTGAACGTCCATAGTGTGGAAAGTGTTGAAATGCGATGGTGTCACTGAGAATATGAGCTGTAAGGGAAGCTGCCATTAAACTTGCGAATGTTCTCCAAGAATCCTTAATTTTTCTGCCATCCGCGAAGCCTGAAATTCCTTTAATTACAATCCACTCAATGTCTAGGTCATGCGCTGCTGCATAAACACCTAACAATGAATTTTTCGGGAAAAGGAGAGAAGTGGAGTTAAGCGCTGACTCATGTAGACGCCGGTAGAAAGAGCCAGGTCAAGAAGGGACACAGTGAATAGAATAGAACCCAATGTCGTATTTTCTCGATTAAACAGCGGGTCTTTAAAAAAGTGAGACCCTCAGATTGTTATTTGTGGTGTAATAATAAACCAAAGATTTAGAGGCAAGGTAGCCAGTAGCCTGCGGCGCAGACGAAACGCTGCGACGCAAGCTAGGTAGCCAGCAGTCAGGAGAAAGGAATAAAAATCCCTTTCTTGAAAAACCACCGGTCCTTATCGTCTGTAAATTCAACAAATGCCGGGTCCACCGAGTCAAGTTTGAAAAAAAAAACGCCGGGGCCGAGAAAATATAGTGACCAGTGTGTCACGATAGCAACGTTTAGATTGTTGAGAAATCTACAGGGGTTGCCACTCATCAAAAAGTTAAAAATTCCCTTAGTTTTCCCTGACTTTTCACTGACCTTTAATAAACAGTTTTCACTGACTTTTTATTAATGAGAAACAATCAATTTTTACATTTGCTTTTGCTGTTTTTGAAGGCCATCGATATGTTTCTCTTCATTTTCATCCTCTTTCAGCTTTTTGCGGAAAGAGGAAGAAGGAATTTGGAAGAAAGCATTCACAATAAAAACCAATGATCACAAGTAATACATGTGTCAGGCGTAGAGTGTCAAATTGATCGCTTTGCTTGTTTTGCAGCATACTTTTCATCTTTTCCGAAAGGAAACGCATTTCCAAATCTTCAAGAAAACTTATGAACTATATAAACCGCAAAACAGAATTCCCTGACTTTTCACTGACTTTGACAATATCAAAGATTTTCACTGACTTTTTAAAAAGTTTCCTGACGTTTCCCTGACCTTGAAAAATTTTCGTTTTTCCCTGACCGTGACATCTCTGATCTAATATACAGAGATGTAGCTAGATGTCTCCTAAAAAACTGTTCTGTAACAATAGAATGCCATTCTTCAAATACATTAACTGAACTCCCGAAGACTCCGTTACCATATGAACCAGACAAGAAACGTACCTTCACCCTCTCCTTCTATAGCAACTGCTCCTCGAAATCTTTTGATGAGGGCACGACATCGCTCAGGACTATCAACCACTTCTTGTCCACTCAAAAAGGCACCGCGATGTATCTTCACCTCGAGTACTTTTGCGTCTTTCAAAGGAGGCTTCCAGCCACCACCAGCAGTTGTTGTCAATTTTGAAAGACGATGCTTCAATGGAACTTTAACACCAAGTTCTTCAATGCCATTCTCCGTGACTTTGGAAGGACCATATGTTATTAGCCTATCTAAAACTACTACGTCCCCAAGTTTAACGTTTTCACAGTCTAAGCCACTACAAGAACCCACAGCAAACACTGCTTTCGGACCCAAGACTTTGACAGCATTTTCTACAGCAAGTACAGCAGATCCTTTACCGCACTTAATGACAGCGATGTTTAGCTTTATGTCATCTCCCATATCTCCAAGGTACACGGCGTAGCCAAGTTCGGCGTGGGAATACTTACCGAAACCAGGATTCAGAACTGAAAGACAGCTTAGAAATTCCCAATCCTCCACTGTCAGTAACAAAATGTCGACTGGGAGTCGGCGATGATCCAAACGCTCTGACGTTCCAGGAAGATCCTTATTCTTAAGCTGAAGAATAGTGACTTCTGGTTGGTCAGTATCATCTGTGACAGACGCAGTTTCTGTTATCAATCAGTGAATCAATGAATCAATGAATCAATCAGTCAATCTTTATTTAGATACAAGAAATGGTGAATGTGATAAGAAGGCCTACAAAAATGTAGATGTATCTATCTAGGGGTGAATAACATTAATTATCTAGCCCACGTTCGATATATGAAAATTCTAACATGACTCCGAGGCTTTGCGAACAAAATTGCAAATTTTTCACTGCTCCATTGTATCGCCACTATTTCCAGAAGAGACTTGAGTACAAAGAAAACCAAACCAAATATAGAAATATGACCACGGGACTTGGAGTCATGTTAGAATGTTAATATATCAAACGTAGGCTATTAATAAATTAAAATTTGTATGATGATGTATATTTTAAAAATTTAGCCTCTTTCCCGAGAAAATTTATGACTGATCATGCGCATTCAGTTTTAAGACAAACGAGTAGCTTTGGGGACGAGAATGCCAACAGTTACTTTTTTATTTTTTTACACGGAATATATTTTCTCCTACTGCCGTTACTATATAGCCGTAATGTAGTCCTAAAATCGAATTTAGAAGACAAGAAATTTTCAAGTTTTAACTGTAGAAGAAACGAGTAAAAAAAGTCAACGTGTTCGATTTTTAAGCTCAAAACCTTTTCTTTAAATCCTCGCCGCAGACAGATTGCGTGATCGGCCCGTTCAAAGTAGAAGCTTGATGAAAAGAAACGACTAAATATTTTACCGTTACATGTACAGTTTTCGACGTATAGTTTTGCTCTCCAAAGTAAACATTTCAATCAACTCTTTTACACTTTTACACTTTTAAATTTTCAGTTTTCTAGGCAAGAACAAAATGACTTTAAGTGGGAAACATTCAGCCAATCGCAAAACGGGGGAATGAGATGGCAAATTGTTTTCTTGTGAAAATCCGGTGCTCTATTTCTTGCCTTGTTGGTTCAACGCGTCTCAAGTTCGACGTCTTCGACGTCTGACCCGACAGACGATCTTAACTTAATTTAGGTCGATCCAAATTAGAGTTTGGTTCGTCTCATGAAAAGCTCGACGTTTGGCCTAGGCCTTAGAATTTTCAGCCTTAGGTGTAAGTAAATCAAGAACTCGAGAAAACTCACGGGAAACTATTTCAGATAAACACTAAATTGGATGGCCTTTAAGACCCCCTTAGAAGGATGGGTGCTTGAAAGGGAAGGATATTTAACAATATTTATTATTCCTTGAGCCCGAATGGGCTCTGAGTCAATAGCCCATGAGGCCTTCGGCCTCATGGGCTATTGACTCAGACGGGCTCGAGGAATAATTGTTTTAGTAAAATCCAACTAGTTGGTAAAAAATATCGAGAATAAAAAACTTTTAGCTAGTTAAAGCTAGACTTTAATCCTTTTTTGCCGCCAAAATGTCCACGCTTTTCGCTACTAGTGGGCTATAACATATAGCCTAGTGTTAGCTCAACCAATCAGAACGCAGCATTGATAATAGACCAAAGGGGATAGCTGTACGCGTGGAATATACATCCGTTCGAATAAAACCATCGACTAAATGAAGCGTGGCATCCAGGACACAAAGCTTGTTCTCAGAATAAACCAATCCGAATTAAAATTAGGATACAGTGACTTGATGTATTCAGTAAAGAGGAATTCAATGCATCCTGGGCTTATGATAAGAGGGGCTCTGGTAAAACGTTCCGTAACTGCAGAAATTTTCCCTTCAAATTTACACGAATTCCAACTTAAAGAGGAGGTGCAATTAGAGCGAGTGACCTTGAACCGTCTGAAAATCAGGCTAGTGAACTAAAAGTTTCTGTATCCTTACTTCGTTTCTCCTGCTGTCCGGACGAGTCAGTATCTGAGGGTGTCGCGTCGCGCTCTTCGTCTGATACTGGATTCATCATTGAGGATTCAGCTGCTTGACCAGTTTCTATAAGATAAAAATAAGAACTGCCTTTGAGTTTGCAGTAGTTACAACATCGCAAGACCATGGGAAAGATAAAGGGTACAAATAAGCGAATATGCTTGCCAGTAGTCATATGAAAGGCGACAATGGTTTTCCGCATGCGGTTACTGGCAATATCCCATCTAACCGGTAGCCTAACCATTTCTCAGGGGTACCAGGCGGTCTATTCGTACTAGTACACGAAAACGCTGTATCTTTTATTTATCTGATCTTTAATTCGAAATATTTTGGCTTGAGTGTAGGTAACAAGTAGGCAAAAAGAGTGATTGATGATTTGTTCTGTAAGAAAAACCACACAAGTAATATAATTAGCTACTTGCTGAAATTTTCACTTCACCCCTGATAATTTACGATGGGATAATCGCCCTATGCTCCACCGACAATTTTGTAGACCTTACAGCGTGAGAAAGTTCAGCGTAAGCACAATGACAACGCCAAAAACAATTGGTTTTATGAGTAAAACAACAGCTTTGCACATGCCTCAACCTTTTTAGTACATTTCCTTGACGTCCATTGCAAGACTTTGACGTAAAACTTCCTCATGCCCTTTACAGTCATGGAGGACGCGAACATGCAACGACGAATTTTCCTTTCTCTTTTTGAACCAGGAAAAATTCAAAATCACTTTTTTCAGGGACTTTGATATTGCCGTCGTCGTCGTCGTTGCTTAATAAGCTTCCCAAGGTTAATTACTTTCTGAGACAATTGAAACAAGGGAAACAAGTATCTCCACAAGGCATGCATGAGCTTTACAAATTTTAAACATCAGCCATTACTGGCAATGGTGAATTAAAAAATAAAACGGAGCATTAGATTAATGTGGAGCAGAATCATTTGTTAAATACTAACTGAGAAATCCCACCTGAAAATGCAGGGCCACCAACGGAGCAATTGGCCAAAGTTACAAAGTCCTTACTGTCAAGAACAACTCTTCCGGAGCCCCATTTGTACACAAGTCGCAGGCTTAAAAACGCTCCTGTCCCGGGTTCAATGGAGTCCATTTTTAGGCCACACAATGTGATTTTCGACGTTTTGAATTTAAGACGCAGTTTTCGTTCTAAGGCCATTTTCACCTTCAAGAGTTTCTCTTGCTGCCTTGAACAAAGGATCACACGCAAATTTCCAGAACATTTGTCTTTCAGCTTCAATACAGCGATGTTGGGATGACGCTTCAAGCATCTGTCGAACACTCTTTCGCCGGAAGCATGTAACACGATCTCTGACTGGAAGGATCTTTTCTCTCTCTGCTCTATTTCTCTCTTTTTTCTTTCTTTGTCTTCTTCGATATGAACAAGTGCGACTGCATGGAGTTGAAGTACCTCCTCGGACTCTTTTTTCACGCGAAACATCTGACTGTATGAAGTTTCGCGCTTGTTGTATGTTACCTTCTCACGAGAGCAGGACAAGGGGCAATTTGCTACATCAGTCAGCTCAAATCTTACAATTTTTGATGGATCATACTTGGCGAAATGAATAAGGCTTACCAACATATTGCGAACATTATGGTGGGGAAAGGCATCAATTTTGTCCCCGTCCCGGGCCAATGTATCCCTGAGGCGACGAGAAAAAAGGAGTAATCTCATATGCAACCTGATGTCTTGCTGGCTGTGCTGAAAAAAAAGCTTCAAAGGCTTAAGCATTTGACGAATTTCCAGACATTCGCTCATCTCTTCAATTTCTGTTAAGGCTAGATCCTTAACATTTTTCTTGCACAATTTTTCAAGAACACGGCATATCAAACTAACTAGACCATTGGAATCTTCCCTGCGCTCCGCCTTTCGAACCTCTGACAGGAAATATCCAATTTTTTCCGTTGACAATCCCTTTAAACCATTTTGTGGCTCCGTACTCTCGCAGTCAACATAGATTTCCTTGATGTTTTGAATAAGGTATGGGGTGATAGCCAGGAGAGTTTTATGACAGGGTTCATTAGGCAGCGAAAACACTTGTCTATACTGCGATGCGACATCTTGTGGTATTGGTCGTCGACTGGCACTTGATAGGTGATTGTCATTTGAATGGTTGTCTAAAAAATAATTTGCACTGTTCGTGGAAAAGGCTGCTCTTTCCACGCCCTCAGCGGAGCTTTCCATTTCAATGCACAGGTCCCTCAGCAAAGTAGAGCAAAAGCGAAAAAATAAACTGGCCTTAGAATTCTTGGTTGCAAGTTCTCGCAAATTCCTTATAAGCATCTGACCTCTTTTAGTAACTTTGTAACTTGCGTGGTCTGTAGAAATGTAATTTTTACAATAATAAATCAACATTATTTGCCAAAAGAAAAAAACACACAACAGAATTTCCTGAAATTGCAATTTGCAGTACATGTAGATAGATAAGATGTAACATTTTTACAGCTGAAAAGATGGAATTGTAACGACACGGAAGTTAGTTTTGATCAAGCGAAACTCGCGGGAAAACGTTAAATTTTATAAGTATTTTCCTATTTTAAGACTCACAGATTTTTTTAATAGGTCTAAGAGAGGAATCAAAACTTGAACACTCAATTTAAATTTGTAGAGGAGTTAAGCTGCTGAAAGTACGAACCGTAAACCCCCCAAAACTGATAGATGATTCGTGCGTTATGCCTTGCAAATATATATAACGATATTTCTGTCTGTAATTTAGCATAGTTAGAAGTCTTACTAACAACTTTCAGGATACTCTACATATACTCTCAAATACAGATTATTTACCCTCAGGGATCAAGGAAGATATTTAAACAGGGAGCCCACGTCAGTGTGGTTTTTCTCTTGTTAGTCGGTCACAAGTACAAGCCATTTCCATCAAAATACTTAGACTCGGCCACGTTGACAGAGACCATTATTATGTCAGCTGGTTTGCTCAGTCCCTTACCCCCCTGTCCCCGAGATAAAAATCGAAAGAAATGTATTCAAATCCCCGAGCCCAAACTGGCTGACTTAACCCTGAAGTTTCCCGGGGAATAAAAATGGGCAGACAACCGTGAGAATCTTTTCAAATAAATAATTGTAAGAAAGGTTAGTTTTAAAAACTTTCTTGAATAACATTTTCAGTAGAGTGATCTTAGTGAAATTGTCGTGCATAACCTTACATAACAGGAACAAAACCGTGACTTTTTGTGATGAGCAAGTATTTTACAAGGGTTTTGTAGGAGGCGTGGATATATAAATGATTTGAATTTAGTCAGCAGAAATTGTCATGGTGAACCTCTTAAACCACAACTACAGAATAACTGACGTTAGCCAAAACTTTTACCGTATTCACTCAAAAAAGCCAGACCCCCGATTCAGCGCGCATTTGGGAGAAAAAAGTTAATCAGCAAAGCCCAAATAAGCGCCGGGAACCTGTAATAATCAATTTCAAAAGACGTTAATTCTGTTAGTTTAACACGGAAAATAATATTACCGTAGTTAATACAATTCTTTCACATTAACGCCGCTCTCAAATAAGCGCCGCAATTGAGACGTGAAACACTATAATGAGCACCGCGGCGCTTATTCGAGTAAATACGGTATGGGGTTTAAACATTTAACAAGAGAAACCTTGTTTCAATCTCTCAAGATTCCTTCTGAGAGCATCAACATCTGCCGCATTCTTATCCGTCTTCGACCAGTAATCCAAAATTATGTTCAGCTGCTTGCTTTCGTCTTTCCAACACTTCGTGACTTTATTCAATACCTCGTCAGGCATGTCAAGCGACCTAGCAATGGGGATCAAGTTAAAAATGGCTTCTTCTACACCAAGCAAGCTCCTTACATAGCCACAGAGGTCTGAAACTAAAAGAATAAAAATGTAAGTAAGCTAACCGCGCTATAATTCAACGTCCTTACAATTTATATTCGATTTTTCTTCATGCCTATCAAGAGCAGACGGAAAAAACTCTAAAATTCGACATGAGTCAGCTTGAAATGTAACTGCGACATTTAAGGTAAGGTCTTCATTTTATGCCAGTAACACGTGATGGCAATCATTAGACTGAGAAACCTGAGGCCGAAATTGCGCTAATTTTACCCCCCTCTCTCCATCAGTGCTCAGTTCACGAAAAGGAAAGTAGTCGAAACAAAGATTTGAGGTCCCACCCACTGGGAATCGAACTCAGCACTTTTCGCGTAGAGGGCCGCGCGCTAACCGACTGTGCTAATCCTTTCTCTGTCATCCTGAAGGAGCGCTTAAAAGTGAAGGAAAGGTGATGCACTCTCCCGCCTCGAAGTAAATACTGTACTAAGAGCAAGAAAAAGCCCCTTTCTCTTCCTATGATCTACCACTCAAGATAGCGCTTTTGAAATCGGTTGTTAAAAATAACGCAATTCTGGCATTGGCCCAATCAGCCCACGGCAAATCAGCAATTAATAAAGAGATTTAGAGTAGCCTTCTTTCATTTTTCTCTATACTTCCATACCCCTTTCGACGCCTGCTAGATTGACGTTTACGGCCAACGCCAAGTCAGATTGAAGTTGAGAATTTCTCAAAATAGAAAACGTGCAGCTAAATCAGTCCAAAACAATCGTTATAGACAAAACTAACGTGAAGCTTCCAATGTTAGGGTGGACAAAAAAAACAGAACAGTAACGGACAATTTAAAGGGAAAACTTGGGCACGTGCATGGTACAAATTCACGTTTACCGTACACGTGACCTTAAATACTCTCTCTAATTACTAAATGTAAAACACTTCATTGCCGTTATTAGTGAGAATTTGTACCACGTGACCGAGTTTTCCATTGACGTATCGTTTACTTTTCATTATTACTACCCGAAATTCGGTAGATTCTCGCCAATTTTATCCATATCACTTGTTTTAAGCCGTTCTTATCTGCTCATTTCTAATTTTGAAAATTTCTCGACTTGAATCTCACGTTTGCCGTTTGCCGTAAACGCGTTGCTTAATCTCTCTATTGTCGTTGTCATCGTAAACGGAACTAAACTACTTCATTAATAATAGGATGTAAATTATCCTACAGCAACCAAAATGGCATTCCAGAACTAGTAGGACGCAGAGTGTATGTCCAATAAAGCTCGTTTAATGGCCCCAGCTGCCACGAGTCTCCTGTAGCTCAGGAGTACAGCATCTGGTCCTAGTTGTTCAAAAGGTGGATGGCGCTATCCACCGGATAATATAATACGGTGGATAAGAATTTATTTTAAAAAACAAATTTCGTTATCCATTGGATATATACAAGATTTTACACGGCCGCGCGGAGATATGAAATTTCTCTTCGAGTGTTGATGAAAAATATTTCACGAGTGAGCGCAGCGAACGAGTGAAATATTTTTTTCAACAGGAGAGGAGAAATTTCGTATCTCCAAGCGACCATGTAATATTCTATTTATTATATCAACACCAATGAAATACCAAACCATTTTACTTAAGTAGTTTTTTGGTCTGAAAGGTGCGGTTTATTATGAAGCCATAGCAACGGTGATATTTTCACATGTGAAGATAACATGCTATTTTCACATGTGAGGATATCAAGTTTTCGCGCGAAAGCTCACTTGGTATTTCATTGAAGTTTATATAATACAAATTTATACCGTGGATAGCGCTATCCACCTTTTGAACAACTGAGGCGCGGAAAAGACACCAGAAGGTCATACGTTCGACTCCTGTAGGGCGACTCGGATGTTTTTTTGAGTCGCTTTTGCTACAGAGTACGTAAACATCATTTTTAAAAAACTCACCTTCTTCGCTAAAGTGCCAAGTGCTGATGTGTCCTAGTTTTCCTTGTACGGTGATCGTCCCGCACAGACTTCTGACATCTTGATTCGGTTTAAGAGCAAGCCTGACAACCTCGCCAGTGTTCCACCAAATTGAAGACTGTACATTGAATTCTGCACTTTTTTCCACCTCGTAGTCTTCCCCAATGTAAATCTCTACTTGAAGGAATTCGCTGTCGTAGATCCGCCTTATTGGCTGGGCATCAGTGCAACGTTGTACATGTAGCTTTACAAACCGTTCTTTTTCTAGTTGGCCCAAAGCTGAAGTTCCCTGCTCTTTGTCAAACTGTTCGTGACGCACGTCTTGGCTCACAAATAGCAGGGCAAGTTCCTCTTCAACTTGCCTCTCCACCTCCTCGGAAGAGGTACAGCTTTTCTTAAACACCAACAAATCGTAATGAAATGCCAGCGAGTTGAAACGGGGGCAAATGTCTTCTGAGCGAGTACAAGTGTATTTAAGTAACAAAACCACAATTCGTGAAAAATGTTCTATTTCAATAGTCACGTCCTGGACGTTTTCATCAATTATTGCGTTTTTAGTGACATCCTCCCACGTGATCTTTCCGTCATTTGCATCTGTGCCATGCAAAACGAGAACGTCACTACACTTTACATCCTGAACTGCGAACTTGGTTGTCAGAGTGACAGGCTTCTTGAAGAGATAGCCATTCGGTTGAAGATTGATAATGGGTGCACCAAACATGACGTCATTTTCAAGATCTTTTCGAAAAAGAAATCCCTCATACTTGGAAGGATCTTCAAATGTTACGTTTACATTCACGGGACCGTCAACAGCTCCTGGAGGGTAAACCAGTCTGACTCCTTCCCCATCCACTACACCACCCTCGCTGGTAAGGATGCTGGATAAAACATTCTTGTCTGTCCATGGTGAATTATCCGTGTCGCTTGCAGGCGAATCATCTTTGAGAATAATAAGAGACCAACAAGATCGTGTAGTCGAACAGTACAAGAGTATTACACTGATAAACGCTCTTCTGACCATTTTGGCCAAAGCAACTCACTTTTTACGTCTCCTACCACTTCAAGATGTGATGACTCTGAGTATTGGACATGGATGCAAATACCGGATTATACGTTTCTGGGAAACTGCCCACCTACCCCACCCCTAAGCCAATATTTTGCTCTAAGTGAGAAGTAAGTGTTACTGCTGGTTTAGGGGAGGGGTAGGTGGGCAGTTTCCCACACACGTATAATGTTTCCCAATATCGCCCACGATGTGGCGCGGCCATCCTTGTCTGGCAACAAATAGCCTGTTGTTCCAAGCTCTAAGATAGTGACGTGTAGCGATGTGCAAGGTTCGTGAAAACTGATGCGAAAAGCGCGGGGTCGAGGGGAGGGCTGGGGAGAATGGAGGTACCCGTTTGTTAGTTCACGCCAGTTTGACCTTGTTCTCGCGACGTTCCTACTATCTGAGAGCCTGGCACAGGCTACAAGACAAATCGCGCTCAATGCCTTTTCAAATTTGGCCGTCTACGTGGAAATTCGCATCAAACATTTTTGTTAAGTGCGCCTCAAATCCTTGATTATTTAGCTAATAAACTAGACAGCCTTGTACTTTAGACTGACATTCAATATTACGCAATTGTTACCTTCTGCCTTTACTGAGCACTTAGGATCCAGTGGCGTAACCTGTTAAAGATAAAGAGATTTTACCGGTGAGTCAAAAAAGTATTAGGGAGGTTAAGCATCAACGCCGGCGACAGCTGCAAAAAAGTCGCTTAAAAAGTGAATTCGGGCTGCCTCAAACTTTATCACGCTTATTCATCTTGTTTAATTTGTCAAAAGCTGGAAAATCTTCTTGGCGTTGAATTCTAAAGGACTGTATCAAAGTGCAGGAAAAGAACCAGAAAGTTGTTGCCTCCTGTTCGCGTCCTCGACAAAACGTGAAATTAGGAAGTTTCACGTTCTAGTCGTGCAACGACGGCTAAGAAATGTACCAAGAAGCGTGATGTGCACGTGCAAATTTGTTGTTTTGCCAATCTAACCCTATTGCTTTTTTGCAGTTCTCGTTGCCGTCGCCATCGTCGTTGCTTAAGCTCCCTGTTGTAAATGATTTCTTGACTGATGCATGGGCAAAGCTTTTGCGTACAATCAAACTCAGAAAGTCGAAAATGGGCCATTTGGTTCAAACTTTAATTTGCTTGCTCACCTCTTTGGATTGAAATGAGCTATAACCAGAAAGAGCACTCACGAGGTCTCCGGGCAAATCGCCAGGTCCCCTAAAGGTACAAAAAGCAAATGTTATAGTAAAATACTTTATAACATTGTTCAACCGTATAACAAATTATCATTTTTGTTATCTCATAGGCAATCCCCAATCTATTCAGGATTTCTTTTCGCAACTGCGCAAGTTGAGTCTTTTCTTTAATCGCTTATTTGACAAAAATTCTCCCTGTAAAAGAGGCATTAAGACACATTGTTTTTGTTCGTTGGTTCAGAAAGGGGAACATGCTTTCCATGTGTTTGCAGTAAAACGCACATATAAGTAGGACGCGGGAACTTGAGAACGCGCGGATGTGTAGTAATGGGAGGTAGGGTAAAATCACTCCAAAAGGAGAACGAAAAGTTAATTCTTTCTCTGCATTGTATAATCTTTCATATATAGACAAACATATACATAAAAGAATAGAATTATTCTTTATACGTTAGTTGACTGGCCCGCCAAGATTAGCACTAGGTACCTGCGCGCCCGTGACTTTGGTGAAAATTGAATTAAGGAAATATAAATTGTTGTTGTTTTTGTTGCAAAGGGTACCGTGTTTGCCCAAATGTGGTATATTAACATTGTCACTCTACCCGATAGTCTCGCCATTTCCTCCTGAGAGGAATCCTTCTAAATCGCTCAAAATACCACTTTTGAGGCAAAGGACGGCAACAGGCCTTTTGCACGATGACGTCATTTTACTACCATCACCAGAATCCTTCAGGATTTTTTTTCTTCTGCAAATTAGGCCTTTTTTTATATAAACCTCGCAGAGATTACCGAATTTAAAAAAGGAAAGAAAAAACGAAAAGGATTCTGGTCATAGTAGTAAAATGACGCCATCAAGCAAATGGCCTATTTATCATAGGTAAGGTATTGATTCAAGCAATTATTTAGCGATATATCGCTACAGGTGAAGCAAACGGTAAATCTAGTACGTTCACCATAAAATTACAAACAGTTACACAAACAGATTGTGTAACCCCTGTGGGATGAGTGCGAAAACAGACATTTTTTAGATGTATCTCAAAAGGCTTTATCCGAGGTCGTAGTTCTCTTAGTCTGTTAAAGCGCTCAAAGTATATTGCAGTTGTAATTCAAATTTATCTAAAGCACATGGGAGAGGCTTCTGTTGGTTCTCCAACTGATGCTTCTGAACATTTGTTCTATTACTTACCTACGGGTTGATGGTTCCTTTGATATGTCTTGGATGGTTTCTTGTTGCATCTGGTCTGGGTTTTCTGACGGCCCTTTGGGTTTGTTGCTGCCACAGTCTCTATCGTCGTCATCACTATCGCGGTTACTGGTTTGGATTTCAGGGGTCTCTCTGGGTTCTTTAAGACACAAAAATATTTTAGTTTAAGCCTATAATTGGACGAACCCGAAAGACAAGAAAGAAGAAGAAAATGGTCCGAACAACAAATCAGAGCAACTGACGTTAGTGTTTCCAAAAGGATGAACAAAGGTTTGTGAGTTCAAACTAGGACTTCAAGTAAGTCTGACTTTATCTACTATGGCGGCCGAGAGTGTACTTTGCTTATGGGACTGCTGGACTTGAAACCTATAGTAAGTAATAAGCTGGCAAATTTAAAGGTTTCTGATGCTCCTTGACGACTAGCAAAACGTGAAATTGACATGAGCGCTCGTTGAAATGGCACGTCACAGGCGTTATCTTAGAATTGAGCTGGGCTTTCATACGCCAGGCGTGGTCAATCGAACGTCGGTAATCGAACCCAATCGAACTCCGATCGTTCGATTGACTTCGATTGGGTTCGGTAATCGAACCCACCGAAAACTTTTCCCAGTAGAACACAATCGAACACTTTAGCAATCGAACATAATCGACACGTTTTGAGATAGAAGCTTCAACAATTGTATACACCAACAAGTTTCATCTCGTTTCAAACAAGCATTGTGGTAAAAAAAAATAAGTTTAGTTTAGATATCATACTTTAGATAGTTTATTAAAATATCGAACATGGCAGTCCGTAGACTGAATTGCGTTACAATTACTTAAAACTAAGAATAAATAAATTCCAAAAAAATAAATACTAATTGAAATTATAACAAAAAACATTTCTATAAAAATGCGAAAAACTCTCTATATATAACTATGTACAAACTACAATGGAGGACAAAAATCCTTGGAACGGTTATGGAAAACCTTCCTTCCACATCCTTAACTTATCAAAATGTTCAGATGTAGCATAATGTACACTTTTCTAACCACTTGGATACCGCGACTGGCCCTCCCCTCTCCCCTCCAAACAATGTTGGGATGAAGAAACACTTTTAGGACTGGGTAAAGTCTACAGGGGTGCACAAACTACAACATTGCTTAGGGGAGAGGGGGAAAGGGGGAAAAATTAAGGCAGATCGTGTTAATTGTCCTAAGAATTTTGTCCTCCATTGTCTGAATACTGCCTAACGCACAAAAGTGCTATTAACGTTTTGAAAAATAGAAAAAAAAACACCATAATAAGACAAGGAATTGTTATTTACAATGTGAAAGGATATATGGCGTGACCAAAAGTAATGTTTGCGCGAGCTTTAGCAGAGTTCGAAAACGGTATCGAGTGTGACGTTGTTCAACTTTCCATGAAAAATTACTCTTCGTCTGGTTTGGGAATAATTGCATGTACACGCAAGTATGGTTTTTACCCAACAAATCGCAGCAGAGAAAAGGGCTTTTGCCTGGTACCTGAGAACATACAGTAAATTTTCTTACCGAAGAATCGCTGACGAATGTGGAATATCAAAATCGTCTGCGCACCGAATTTGCAGTAATGAGTTTCAACATGGAAGTTTGACGAGGATGCCAAGTGACAAGAAGCGGGGAAGACCACGAAATGTAAGCGAAAGAAAGATGCGTTTACTGATTCGTACCTTAAAGTCTTTTAGACGGAATAATGTACACGTTACTGTGAGAAGTTTAGTTGAAGAGAGTGGTCTTAGTTTTCAAGTGGCCAGTAGGAGGACGTATTCGCGCTATTTGAATGAACTTGGATACTATTATTTTTCGGCTCGGAGAAAGGGGATTCTTAGTGACAATGATAAAAAAGTACGACTGCAATTTGCACGCAAGATGAAGCAAGAGCTGATCAGAAATCCTGATTTCTGGAAAAATGAAATTTCCTTTTACTTAGACGGGGTATCGTTTGTTCACAAGTATAACCCGAAAAGTGGTGCGGCCTCTAACAGAGCCAGGGTGTGGTGAAAACGAGAGGAAGGGCTTCAACTTACAACCAAAGGATGTAAAGATTTAGCGGGTGGACTGCGTTTGCATGTTATCGTCGCCATAGCATACGGAAAAGGAGTCATCTTAAAAGTACCGTACGAGAAAATGACAGGTGAATTTTTTGCAACATTTATTCGGGAACATTTCAACCTTACTTTTGCAAAAGCTGGTCCAAAAGCAGATGGTCGACGCTTATTTGTTATGGACAACGACCCCTCACAGACCAGTCGGGCCGCGAAACTCGCCCTTGAAGATATTGAGGGAAGCTTTCATGAAATCCCACCCCGGTCACCAGATCTGAATCCCATAGAGAATATTTTCCATCTTGTTAAGCGCTACTTAGATCAGGAGGCAATCTCCAGAAACATTGTGAGGGAATCCTTTGATGAATTTAACGTTCGAGTTTTGGAAGCATTTGGGAATATTCCCGTTGAAACTATAGATAAAACTATCTCTAGTATGAACCGAAGGATTACAGCTATCCTCGCCTCTAAGGGCGAAAGAATAAAATATTAATCACGCAATTGAATGTCACCTTCATACTATTTTTCTTATACTAAAACAATGAAGTCTCATTTTTCCGAACCACAGCTACTTTGATTGATAATCATGAATGAATGAACTTTTAACTTTACAAAATAGTTGCCACTTGTATTAAATCATAATGTTTTTTTGGAAAAGAGCACAGAATTGCGTTACATTGAGTCGCTGTGTTTTTTTAACATATAACATTTCTCGGACACAGTTCTCGGCTACATTATGTGAAATATCGCGCTAAAGAATTTTGATCTATGATCCAGCTGTATAAAAACATTAATAAAATGTTTCATTGCCACTGAATGTTGTACAAGTAATATATAAAGCACATGGGTTTTGCGATTTACAACAGTTCTCGGGTTAAACATTTAAAAGGAGATTGTTAACGTTTCATTTCTTTATTAGTTTAAGGCGAGAACTGTTGCCAAAATCGTTGTCCGCGTATAATTGCTTATCTAAAACCAATATTTACAGGGGGAACTCGAACAAAAATAATGACAAGTACATAACTGGATTGTACGGGCCGTCCAAACAGCGTAAAAAAAGTTTTTTAGCCCGAGAACTGTACGTGAGAACTGTGACAACAGTTGTCTTTTGAATGTCAAGTTCTAGTCACGCAAGGTAAAAAGGGGTCACATCAGCCACGCAGATCACGCAAAATAAATTTTGCGAAGCAAAATCTACACGGGGGAATATCCTCCTGTTCTGCATGTGGTATTTGCTTCCAGAAATTGAAAAAAACCCATCGGCAGCTCATCATTTCTGTATTCACGCGGTCGATCGCACCCCCTTTCACTAGCACCAACGGGGCATCCGAGGTCGCAAAAAACGGGGTATCTTTTGATAGCTCAATATCTTTGCTACATAAATTTTTGGGCGCCGGTAAGTGAACTGTATCCCCTTCTAGAGCTTGCAGAAAATCGGCCCAGGCGATGATCTTAGGATGCCACCGAAAATCATTAAGATATATAATCTCGGCCTCTTCAGCACCTATCCAGGCAAATGAACCCGTGGCGGGATTCGAGAAAGCCTGGTAAATAACTTTTAGTGGCGATACAATAAACGATTTCCCGCAATTTGCAGGACCATGTACATAAACATTGCGATACTTCCCTCTACCTTTTTCCAGTGCACTGTAAATTGCATTGCAAAATGAACGCTTTTCGATCTCGTGGCGCTGGAGTAACTCTTCCGCAGCTCTAAGCCATCTTCCTTCACAACCCTCAATGCACTCCCCGGTCAGCTCCTCTTTTAGCAGTTCAATGCGGGTTTTTTTAGACCGATTTAAACGTGTTTCGGCCTCGGCAAATTCCTTCGCTAACTGAATCGCTTCATCGACCGCTTTACTTCCCCGGTTGGCAATAAATTCGGCCAACGCGGTTTTCCCTTCTCTAACTTGAGCCGCCACTAAAGACACCAGCTCTAAGCGTGAGCTTATGGATTTGGCTTGCACCAGCTGACACACGTCAAAAGTGCTCAGGCGATCACCTCCTCTTTTCTTAGACTTACGGCGCTGTTGCTTAGCCTTCGCTTTCCTCTTTTTCGTGGCCACAGCAGATTCGGTTTGAGGAGGAACGTCCGTTAAATCTGGATGGCAAGGCGAGTGCAAAGCGTCCTTGTCTTCTTTCGTGACGTAACGGTACGCGCTGTAGTAGGTGGTGTGATTATCGCTGAAATTCACCTTTATCCCGAAGTTCTCGTCTAAATACTTTCGTACTTGAAACCACCGGACCCTCTTTTCCAGTTTGATAGCCATATGATAATGGTATAGATTCATCTCCTGCCCAGTTTCGGCATTATCTGTGTTGTGATGAGCCTCAATACACGTTACCCACTGTACAAATCTAACGCCAAAATTCTGCCAAGCTTGTAATACAGCATTGGAAAAACTTTCTTTAGAAGGAAACTTAACATCCGCTCGACTATATGTAATTAAATACACAACGCGTTGTCTCCCAGCTTGCAGACATTCCATTTTTACTCTGCGATGGCGAATATCACGCTCCCGACAAAGACCGTTAGAATAATGCGCTAAGCCTGGGAACGAATTTCGAAGCACATGCCCCCTCCCCACCCACTTTTAACCCTTTGGATACAACAACAAGATTTCAGGCATGAAAACCAGACAATCTCAGACTGTGAATTTAAATCACTCTCTTTTGCATTGACAAGGATGGTTTTAAGACATAAAAAACGAATAGATAATAATAATATAATGAAACGACACGACTCTTTGTATCATATATCACACCATGGTGTTCCCCTACCTGCCCCCATCTCCGACTTGTTTTCAAAACAGGCACACAGTAAGGTACCTGCCATAGCCTACTTCTAAAAGTGGAAACAGAGAATACTGGTCTCCCAACTTTTGACTATAAAATTCCTTCCAAATTTCATATATACCACCTGGAATATTGTTCAGACAATGAAGGACAAAAATCCTTGGAACGGTTATGGAAAACCTTCCTTCCACATCCTTAACTTATCAAAATGTTCAGATGTAGCATAATGTACACTTTTCTAACCACTTGGATACCGCGACTGGCCCTCCCCTCTCCCCTCCAAACAATGTTGGGATGAAGAAACACTTTTAGGACTGGGTAAAGTCTACAGGGGTGCACAAACTACAAAATTGCTCAGCGGAGAGGGGGAAAGGGGGAAAAATTAAGGCAGATCGTGTTAATTGTCCTAAGAATTTTGTCCTCCATTGTAGCCTAAAAATTTATGTACACATACTTGGAATAAGTTGTGTGTAAGCTTCAATTTCGAACACGAGTATACAGGCAAGATGTCGGAGAAAGCGGAAATCATGAAACCCAGCGTGAATTTAATAATTCTGGAAGCGATGGTCGTTACTGATGGTTAAAGGTTATCAAGAGTGCTCTGATCTTTTGCCGTCGTTTCCGCCGAAAAGTTTATTAGTAAGAAAAAAGGGGAGGTAGAGAAAAAGTGGCAATGGCGGCGGCCCGGACAGCTTAGACTTTGCAACGTGAACTGATGCCTGTGCGTTGCCCATTGACTGTCGAAGTCAAAGTGTAAGTCTCATGCCCGCTAACATCATTAAGCACTTCCAGTATCAACTATGAATTTTTTGATTACTTTAACAATAAAGATTTTAGTCAATTGAAATGTCCTTATGTTTTGATACCTGCCTCAGAGGCAAATCTTTTGGATTCAACACCTTAAGGTGACTGATTTTTAAACCGTTTTGTCTTTCTGCCTATTAATATCGAACAAATCGCGTCCATTAAGTTCGATTGGTTCGATTGAGTTCGGTAATCGAACTCAGGAGTTCGATTAAACGAATTCACCGAAAGGTTCCGAGCTTGTTCCAGTTCGATTATGTTCGATTACCGAACCCTGTCGAACCACAATCCGATCGATTTGGTTCGATTGAGTTTGACTGATTTTTGGTTCGATTTCGTTCCGTTATTTACGCCGGCTATATGCCAACCAAGTTTCACGTATTTCATTAAAATAGTCGTTTCCACTTTGCGTTTCTCTCTTTTTAAAACTATGAAAAATAGAGCTACAAAACAAGAACGGCAGCATGCCTACCATCTTTTAGCTATCCCCCCACCCCTTCGCCCAATAGACATACAGGCAAAACAGTAAAGGTAGTAGACAACTTCATAGACCAGAGTCAAATCACATACATCAAGAAAACCTTTTCGTTTCATCTAGACAATGTTTTTAAAAAGCCTTCGGGAAAAACCGTCACGTGACAAATTACAAAATTTAAATACTACTTTATATTTAAAAATGTTTCCAATACAATTGTCCCAATTCAACTGAATCCTATCTCTTATTCCAAAACCGTGATATTATAATACTTTAGGATAAATCGTTGACCCCGGCGGGCCTGACACTTCCTGAATAACCTAAAAAATTTTGAAAAAGAACCGGAGACACGATTGCACTGAGGTTATTTCTGCCGCTAACATCAGGATCCACGAACACCTTTTACCTTACTTCTATTAAGTATCATAACCTACAAAAAGAAGTTAAAAGTATCCATAGAATATACCCACCTGCACCTTGTTTTAAGAACACCGCTCGACAAGCTTCATACTCTTCTTTCACGATGGTAGTTATAAGTTTCACCTCGGTTAGACCAAATCTTGTCAGAACATCCCGTGTTACTAGAAACTGTACCATTTCGTTTAGGTAACCTATGCAGTAGGCTTTCCACAATTCATCCAAGTTCCCGAGAGAGCTACACGCTACTGTGATTATTATGCTTCCTGTTTTAACATCAGCAATTAAAACTTCGCGAACTTCTTTCATATACTTTATAAAACCATTGAACTCCTCTGGTGATGATGGTTTCACATGCTGAAGGTACGTTGTAGCAATTCTATCCAAAACCTCCTGGGCAGCACCTGTGGGAAGCGAAGTAGATGGCGATGTTGTCTCTTCCACTTCCAATTTACGTTGAAGATCCCCCAACTTTGCAGAGAATATGCTTTCATTTTCACTATCGCCATGGCCCACTGTTGTACCTTTCTTTTGTGGACCAGGTTCTATGACAGGGGAACACTCTTCTTCCAGACTGGTAGTCGCACCGCTACACTGCACTTTCTGCTCCTCACTCTTCACCTCTTCCAGTTCACGCGGACCAGCTGATTTAAAGAACTTGAATCTTATATAATCTAAAACGTCTTGTGCAGACGGAACGCCTCTTCCTGGTAGTCCAGGTCCAGTGATCGAATCGCAGTCAATATGTACATCAAGATAAACTGCAAGATTAAAAAAATGTGACGGGGATCTTCAAAATTGAGTTCTTCTGTATCTATTGGAACAGACTACATATAACAAAAGCAATGTTCCGAAGAACTAAACAATCACTTACCGCAGCAGCATTTGCTAATATTCTAAGTGGCTGCACTCTCTTTTTTTGTTAAGTGTTAACATTTAACTATTTTTCTGTATGTACCAGGAGCACTGATAATCAAAGATTGATTGATTGATTGTATTGTTTGGTGCTCAGTTTTTTTTCGTGTCACTTTCACGTACGGTAATCTTTGCCTGCACAATAGAAAAGAGACCTTCTGAATTGTCATCATTGGTCATTATCATCATTACTGCCATATAGTAACTACCAGAATGCTTTATAGGATTTTGCCTTCTTGTGCAAGTTACCGGTAGGTCTATTGTTGTCTAAATTTCATAAGGATTCACTAAAAGGGAGGAATTATACTTCTGACAACTGCAGTAAAAATAAATAAATGCTTCCATTTGTTTGCCAATGGCTTATTCCTGACAACCACAATAATATTGCAATGCATTTGGGCCACATTTATAGTTATCCCCTGGTTATCACATCTCTTACAGCTGTATACCTACGTACCTGCAACTAACCACATTTAATGTACACAGTCTGCCTACTTCCCTTCTCCCTCCCCTACAGGCCATGAACATCTTATCAAGGTTGTATTGAAGAATTTTTTCATGATCATGCTAGTTAAAAAAATCAACAAAAACAGCAACTACAACTACCAATGGCATAGGCACAATTCCAAAAGGTCTTCTGTAAAAACTAAATTTTGTACGAGAATGTAGGTGGAACTACTGGTAATTATCTAAAAAATTGTAGGGTAGAATCTAAAAAGCCCTGGCCCTGGAATAAATCTGATGGTGAATTTTAAGCCCAGTGAACTTTTCAGTCAGTGAACAGGAGATTGGGAAAAACAAACATGAGCTTTCCCGGCAGGATTAGAACTTATGACCTTCCTAGTTACTAGTCTCCACAATGACCAAGTTGCCTGTCTCACTGACAGAAAAATCCAAATGCATTTATATCACTGTAAATATGCTACCTATTGCCATTCGAGTTCTAGCAGTACACTTGACATTGATCACATGAAACAAGATTAATCACATTACAGATGTAACCAGGTAAACCATCGACAAAACAGCACTATTAACAGCAGGGTTATTAAGAAACAACACTGACGAGAAATCTTAGATTAGGACACCTACGAAAATCTGAGCCCAAGGCCAGGTTGCATAAAAAACTTTGCTCTTAATATTATTTTAAAGATGAAGTGTGAATTTTCTGCAATCATTCGCTTTGTCTACATAAGAGACTTGTCAGAAATTAGCAGAGGGGAGAGGGGGGGATGGAAATTTTAAATTTGGGTTCGGAAATGAGGTGACCTATCCCTGCAATGGGAGTGAAATTTGCTAGACCTCCATTGAGCTTGGCCTAAAATATCATGACCCTCCCCCTCTTGTATAAATGATAAAATCTAGTTCTTGCAATACACTAGGGTGAGTCAGTATTATGAAAACTCAAAATATATTTCTCATCTGTTCTTCGTAATGCTGTTTACACACATTTTAGATGACAGCATTAAGAGTCCAACTTTGATTCTGACAGCTGATCACTCGACTCTCCTGTTTCTCTCGATACAAAGTCTTCATCACTAGGCCAAGTGGGTAATGCCTTATCCCCTTCATCTACTTCACATTCATCATGATCATCCACCTCTTCCACACTGCGGGAGCTTTGTTTGTTGGTGTGCTCTAGGCAGATGACCGTAAGTGATCCATAATAGCATTGACTTTCTGTAGCTTGTTTTTACCTTTCACTGCAAGCAAATTATGTTTATGGATGTATTTGACCAGAACACATACACGCTGTTTTGCTAGTGTTCCACTATTCAGCATTTCCACCCAGTCAAATTCCTCATGAAGACATAGTGTTCTCTTTCAAATTCTTTTTTTCCTTTCCATTTTTCTCTTCTCACTCATCATCTCTAAATGATTTCAATGTTCTGGGCATTTTTTCACAACACTTTCTTTAACAATGTATCTGTCGCAAAAGGTCTGAACACTTGCACTTCCTCAATATTGATTTCATTCTTTTTGTGGACTTGCTTTGAAAGTGCTCTAGGGTGATAATCATCCACTTCTCTTCTTTTACCATTCTCTGTATTTGTGATGGGTGTTTCTACAACAGGCAGATAGTGATACTTTGGAAGTGTGTTGATGTCTGGCACTGGACCCATTTTCACGATACTCGTGAAACATTTCTCCAGTAATCATACATGGTTCGATCTATGAAGTCATCTAACTCTTTGAAATAGTTGTGTCCTGGGACTTTTACTTTTCTCGTCTCTAACTTTGCAGCACTGTATTGCTGAATATATTCGGTATTGAAAAAGAACTGCTGTTCTTTACGGTTGGTAACAAAGGCCTTCATACAGTCACCAGCTGGTCCATAGCATTGTTATAAATGAAAAGCAGATATTTGTTAAGTTCTTGCAATAGTACTTCACAGTTTATATCCATAATGATCCGTTGTTCTTGTTTTTTTGTTTTGTTTTTTATTTTACTGAATAAAAGACTTCCTCTTTCTTCTGTAGGTGAACCTCTACATGATCATGGGCATACATTTGCATGACCCTCTCCCTTTTCACGGCCCATTTTTCATGACCCCTCCCTTTACTGAGTCTCAAAAAGTTGTGACCCTGACTCTGTTTCCCCCCTGCTAATTCCTGTCAAGTCCCTAATGTCACATGAAGCTGTGGAAGCAGCATAAGACTCAGTGCGAGATTTTCTCTTGGAACACAGGAAGCAACTGCACAAAATTCACACTTCATCTAACTAGTCCCTGGGTCATTTCAAGGAGCATTTTCTGTCCTTTTTTACCACCCCAACTTTTCTTTACCTACAATGCTGGCCCCAGAGGGCACAAGAAGCAAAAAAAAAATTGCCCAAAAATTATTTTAGCCATAACAAAAATCATTATTTTGATCAAGTTGTTCAACACTTTAAGCCCCCTTCAGTTTTCAGTGCTTTCTACCTGTTGTGGCTGATGATTGCCGCTGTAATGAGGTAACAGGTACTAATGCCAACTCTTGCATCCCTTCTTTGTGTTCCTGTTGGATTTTCATGATCTCCGTAGCTGATGCCAACTCTTTTTCATTTCTTCTTGTGACCTTGCAAACAGCACGGGCAGTAAGTTCAGCACCATCTGTTGGAATAAAAACCCTATGATGCACTATTGTATTGGCAGAAGACTAAAGGAAAGGAAAGGAAAGGGGTGTCACTTAACACAACTCAGATGTTCATATACCTTATGCAACAGCATAGTTACACCTGTATAATAACCTGAGCAGTGGCAGCCATGGACAGCTGTTTCATCCTCATTCTAAGGGTTCATTAGTGATGCATAGCTGTCAGACAAAAAAGGACTCAACAGCTCTGGCTGGTTACCACTGCTTGTTGCTGTTTCTCTGTACAGTTGTACTTTTCCTTTACAAAAACTAGATACAAAATTTGGCAACATGTCATACAAATCAGGGATTTTAACAATCACCTTATTTAATAATAAAATCAATCCTATTTTAAAGTTCTTTAATTTAGGAAATAGAAAGGTGCAAGATGAGTTTGGGCCATAAGAAGCATGAAAATATTACAAGTTACTGGCCACTCATGCAGACAATGGAAAACCTTTCAAAAGTCCATCATAATTATTTTTATTGCAGATCAGCCTCCCAGCCACATTCTGTAAATGATAGAGCCTCTGCAGCAGGTTATTGGGCAATTTTAAGACATACAGGAGCTGAGGCTTATAGTCAATGATGGATTTTAATATTGCATAATGATTGATGCTGTGGAATTTTTATCCATTTTATCTTTTGTAAAAAATTTTTTTAACGTCACTACTTTTAATTTAATTTAATTTTATTTAGTTAGGCAGCTTGTGTGATGGCAACCCCGTCGCAAGACTACAAATTTTTGAATAATGGTCGAATAAAGTTTTCCAGGCACCAGTCAAGTTCAAAAGGTAAAAAAAGCTTTCTGCAGGATAAATCTCTATCCAGTGGATAATGCAATAAATTGGTTCCCCAAATACTTGTCTACTGGAAAATAATTTATCAAGAGAATAGCGATATCCAGCTTTTGATCAACTGGGGCTAGGTCACTTGTGATATTAACCACATATCTGAGAACAATCAAAACCGAGAAGCCTGAGTTACAAACTGTAATTCTTCAAATGTTATGTTAAGTGAAAAAGGTGGTCTTAAAGATTTTATTCATGTGTGTGTTCATCTTAAACAGACTTTCAGTAAGTTGATTACACTGACTTGAATTACATTAAGTACTACATGAGAAATTTCTGCAATTTGATTGGCTTAGAGGAGTGGTATTTCAGCTTAATTCGAAATACCTACATGTGAAAATTACAAAACCTTTGCGGGTAGTAGTATAAACAAAAATAGCATAACATGATATTTGGCATAAATACCACTCCTGATATTTCAAAATTATCTCAAATTCCACTCGCCTACCGGCTCATGAATTTATTATAACAATTTCGAAATATTACTGTGGTATTTATGCCAAATATCACTACAAATCATGCTATTGCGTATACTGAGAGTAAAACTGTACATTAAAAAAGCTTTAAAAAAACTGAAACTTGAGGAGTATCGGTTTGATTTTATTTTACCTCACAATGGCTAGTATAGTAGTCTAAAGAAGTATTAAATCAGAGTTGGGAAATTTTTTATTTCTTTAAAACTTATTTTTCCAGGGTACTTCAGCAGAGTTACTCCACTTTTACCCCCTATTTCAAAAATGTGTTTTGTTGCAGTAACTTTCCACTGCAAGGAAGACAAATTAGAATGCTGAGTGCACCCCACACCCAGGGAAGTTTAGGGTATCTGAAATGCCATTTCCTGCGTTTTCTGCAGGACATTTTCATTAAATGAAGACAAAGGAAAATTCAGTAATTATTCGTTTATTTTACCCATCTCTAGTACTAGTGTTATCAGTAAGGTAAAGTGTTTACAGCAAAAAAGGGTAAAACAGTGACGCCATAAAGGAAGTTACAAGCAAAGGGCGAGATGTGTACCCTTCAGACAGGCAAACTCTGCTGTAATGTGGCCATCAATATCAAGAAAGTCCTGGTGCTTGTGTATGTGCAGAAATTGCAAGAGAACTCAATCTCTTGTCTGTCATGGTCCTTCGTAAAGGAGTTTGCAGTCTCTTCATACCTCTCAAGCTATGCTCAGCTGTGCATGTTCCGGACAGAGGATAAGCCAACAACATTACAAGGGCTACATATACTCCAGAATAGAATTGGAGTTGGCTTGGTCAAAAGTCTCAACCAAGGTGTGTGGCTTCACATTCAGATCCATTTCACTCCACTTAATGAGTAAAAGGATAAAGGAATTCCTAACACAAAAACACCACTAAAATGCGCAATATTTATCAGTCATCCCAATTTAATGCTAAAAGTGCTTTCAGGAAATGATTTTTTTTTCCCAGACATCAGCACGCACAGCCATATGCATATGTGCGTACATGCACGCTACATTCCTGGTAGTAGAAATAGTTGTTAGGTTCCTGAGCCAAGCTTTATATGGGTAAAATTTTGTTGCTGGGAAAGAACCGCTGGAGCAAATTTTTTTGTCTACTATTGAAGGAAACGTGGAATTGCTTCAATAATAATATACGTTTGTCAACTTTGACATAAAATTGCAAGTCCTGTGTTTTAAAATTTCGAACCCCCTCACATTTTGTGCATTTTCAAATTGATCCCCCAAAATTACGCCTCTTTGAAAATTGTACCCCCCTCCCCCTGCGATGTAATAAATGATCAGTCGCTAGGTGACAGAATGACTATCAATGAGATAATTTTTCAGATTTTGTTAAAAACAAATTAATATGGAAGAAGAGCTGGTCAGTGAAATTGGCAAAGAATTCCAGATTGTTGGTCCTCAATAAAGGATACTGAACTGCAATATTCGTTTTACAAAAATAAGGTCTATACTGAGAGGCTTGTTGCGTTTCATAATGGTGAACCTGAATACTACTTAAAAAGAGGTGACAAAAGCTACTAGGAAGAAGATTAAATTCATAAATGTAGCAACAGAAAAAGAATCTTATTTATGCTGCACTGGGTCTTACATTTAGAGGTGTTTCATCCACTAAAAGAGTAATATCGCTTCCCGTGGTTTATGCTACTGTAAGCGCACCCTCTGGTAGCCAGAACGGTGACAGCTTTCACGCAAATAATGGATCGTGTTGTTATTGTCATCAGCAGTGAAGACAGAGTAAGAACATTGAAGACAAATAAGATTATTGGGTCAAACGTTTTTAAATTGTTGTCTCAAGATAACAATGGCCAATTTGCATAAAATAGGTCTTAAAATGAGGGAATGATATGCCCAAGAACTTAGCTCCTACTAGGGTGGGGCCATGTCCCTCACTCCACTACCCCCTTCCTCTCAGGAACGTGCACCTCTGGGGCATATTTTTTGCCTTACCAGCTATGAATGGTCCCTTACCTGCTGAGCTAAAATTTAGGGACAACACTGATCAGTCAATACTTGTGAGCATAGGTGGGTGGAAGGGCCAGAACAATGGACTGGAAACGGCCTATTTAGTTTTCCTCCTCCTCTCATCTTACGCTTCGCACTTGTCTCACACTTTGCATGAAATAACATATTCACCTCACTTAATATAAAGTACCTATTATGCAGGCTAGGATCTTCTTAAGTGAAGGTAGTTTACATCGTGCTAATTGTCAATATCTTCCTAATGCTAGGATCTTCCAACCTCTGTTCTCAGCTACAAATATCATAGTATAAGGAAGATCCTAGTGCTAGAGACAAGTATAAAGTTTGGCATGTAAACTGAATGCAAAAAACACATAGCACTATGATGATCCACCTTCAAGGATCTTCCTGGTGCTGGGATCTTCCCCCCTCCATCAAAACAGCCCCTTAAACACAACTGGTGAGAGTGCTAAAACTATGAAAATATATAAACTTTAAAAAAAGTACATGTACCCCTGTCTGGGCATGACCTAATAATAATTCAAACTAATATGTACAAAAACTAATTCTCTCCCATTTATATTATGAAGTACTAAATAAAACGAACAACTAAAAAGTAACATTGATTAAGTCAGCTGCATCGAAAGGTTATTCCCTAAGATAAGTTTCAGAGCGTTAATAAGGGGTAAGATTTCCGTATAACCCCTTACATTTGTTGTGCATGCATGTTTCGACAGCTGTATTCATATTAAACTATTTGTTAGAAAAATAAGAAATTGCTGCATACATAATAAACGTATAGGTTATACGGAAAACCTCTTTAGATTACTGGCTTGAGCTATAACTTACCTTGTATTCCTAAAAGTTTGTTTCTTAGATCATTTCTGTTGACAGCAATCAGTTTAGATGCCAAGAAATCTCTGTTTTCTTCTGATAGCATGTCAAGTTGTTCCAAAACGCCAAAAAGTTCGATTCCTCGGTTGATTCTCTCCAATCTACCGGCAGGAATGACATCTCCACACAGGAATTTAAGCTTCTGCAGGTTCGTAGTGGTTAAGCTGTTGGATAGCTCCAACAACAGCGATGTATAACTACTCATTACGTTTGCTGATTTTGTCGTCAAACTTCGAAGTGATCACTTTGTGCAAGACATGTCTAACTTGGAAAGGAACGAAAAGGATCATGGGATGGGCTCAAGAAGCTTCATGGGATTACTAATACGTTTCGATTTCCGGTTCCGGGGTGCAATTCAGACTGTTCTCGGGGATCACTCTGGCCTGGCAAAGGCCTTAAAGGGACTGGTTCACGATAATGCGCATGTGTCAGTTCTGACAGTAGCTGATTGTTTTTCAACCAATCGGAAGCGAGTTAGATGCACGCAAGTAAATTTACAAAATTCAAATAATTGTTCGCTACGCGAGAGTATTTCCGGGCATTTGGTTTGATTTTATTTATCCCCATAATTCAAGTTTATTCTTTGCTACTCCTCAGATGTATGTTGCAGTCGATAAGAATAAGATTTACAGCCCTGTCCTGCTTTGAAACAAACATTTACCAACGTGTATTTTTACGAGGTCGTACCCACGCTAACAAAACAGTCGCCGATCGGCAAACAAAATTTGTAAACAAACATCTTGTTACTGTTCTCTCAGTTCGCCTTATACAAACCCACAAATACCTACAAATAGCGTCTGACCGGTGACAAAAACACACAACGTATGAGTATGAAGATTATCCTTAACTGAGTATAAATTTCAATTGCTTATCAGCAAATGAACAAATTCATTCGCGTTGCATCGGGTCAGTGTTCCGCAAAACAAATGTTATCGAGTGGCACACAGAAAGAAACTAGATTATAAACAGAATATGCAGGGAATAATTTATTTTAAAAACATCAATTCTTAAACATATACGATCGTAAAGCAAAGATACAAGGAACATTTCAAGTGTACCAGATCGGTGAAGATCGCGCGGCCTGTTGCAGTATAACTACAGGTCGGAGTCAAAAATCAAATCGAAGTTGAACGAACTCATGCCTTTAACCACTTTCCAAGTGTCGTGTATTCTTTTCGTTAGCCACACACTACTCCTAGAACCATACCAGATCGATATTTTAAGCTTCTCTATCTCCAAAGACCAGGGGCACCCAACGAGGATATAGTTCAAAACCACTCAACATAGCATTGTTGAATGTATTTTAGTATTTCAACGGTAGATATAGGCATATTTTTATCCCCTAAAAACTTTTCATCTGCTCGGATTTCCTAGCTGAAAGTCTAGTGATCCGAAAATTATAGGGATCAAAACTTACCTTTCCGAAAATTTCAGCCAGGAAAAGGCTCCCGAAAATTCTAGGTGGCCTTTTTTAGCGTAAATATCCGTTTAAAATGGGTAATTATACCAGTTTGTAGACGTTCGAAAATAATAGGAGAGGCAGGCAAGCAAGAAATTTTACAACAAATGTTCCGAAAATTCTAGTTCTCAAATCGTCTTCCGAACAGATATTTTCACTAAAATTGCCGTTGGGTGCCCCTGAAAGACTCTTGAGAACGTCCTCTTGCCGGACGGCCACGATGCTCTTCTGAACCTCCATGATCAAAACATTATTTTTTGCGTCTTCTTAAAACGTAACCAGTCAAACGACACAACCACACGTTAATCACCACTACCGAAGTATAACTAGACCAGCCAAAGCAACGGATGTCCGAATAAAACGAAGGATTTTCAATGATTGTACCGGTAATGACGATTTCGAATTTAGTGTTGACCCAACAAATTTATTCTGAAGAGACAAACGGCGCGCATGCGCATTATCGTGAACCAGTCCCTTTAAGCAAAAACAGGTGGCAAAAAGTAGAAATGTACGGTGTCAGCCCCGACCTTAATACTCGTAGGTTGGGAGGGTGCGTCGTAACCGCTATAGTACTCACTAATCTTTACTTCGTGGCCTTCAGTAGAGTGTGATGAAAGGGAGTACATACAACCTCTTAATCAGTTTTTTCTTCAGTGTTACCTTAAATTATCCCTAAATTTCTCTGTTATTGCCTGTCTTAATTCGAATTCTAAGTACTTTTAATTGGTAGAGATTTGTAATAATAATTTTTGTACCTAATAATGGTCCCTCTTAATAGACACACTGAATTCTGCAAAGCTGATCGTACTACGTGAAAATTAACTTTGCAAGACATCAACACAACACCAGAGGAACCAAAAACAGAGCGGGGCCCTTTTTGGGCGAAACAGCTGTCTACGCCTACGACCCCGCTCTGTTTTTTATTCTTTCGGTGTCGTGTTGATGTCCTGCAATGTTAATTTTCACGTAGTACGATCAGCTTTGCAGAATTCAGTGTGTCTACTCAATGTATATTTTTGCTGGTCAGGTCTTTCATAGATCTTACGTTTTGCGGTATATTCGTTAGCGGTCCTTTGCAGTTAAGATGTCAATTTTCCCCCTCTTAATAGACCTTTACATACAGTGTGTATGTTAACAGGGCCTTCATGTTACGAAGTTTTTAACTTATTATCGAAAATACCGTATTGAAATAAAAGTAATTCACTCATTCAGTCACTTTCTAGTCTCCTTCGCAGCCGTTATTAGGGTCGTCACTCGTCAAGCAACGCTCCTCCCCACTACAGAGGAGCGTTGCGTGACGAGTGACGACCCTAATAACGGCTGCGAAGGAGACTAGTCACTTTCTAGCCTGGGAAAACTGCCGTCTCTCCTCGCTCCTTGCCGCTAAAGAAGTTTCGGCGGAGAGGCTAATTACCTTCCTTGTTAATGTTGGAGACAAATCGTGGATGCAAACAGGTATCATGTGAACGAGTCCACCGATATGGACGACGAGTTTTGGAATTTCAAGTGCCTATTCAAATACCGCATTTCCTCGAATAAGCTCCTACCTTGTCATGAAGGCGGCCCTCCTGTTAGTAAGCGCCCACCCCCTTGGCCATGATTCCAAACAAGCCTCCCTCTCGAATAAGCGCCCCCCCCCCTACCGATCTCTTCCTTTTTAAATCCCCTTACAAGTCCCCCCAATATAGTCTCCCCCCAACCCCCTTTTTAACTGAGATTTTGTGGTTTAGGCATTAAGAGCCAGGGGGGTCCTGCTGGGTTTCACAATCACACGCAGGGAAAAAAAACATCTAAATTTTGGCGGGACAACGCAATTGTGTGGGGCATGTCAAGTACCAGATAAGTACGCCATGCCAATGGAGTGTTTCGAATCCCATCTTTCGTCCTACCAATGTTTTTGAAAATGAAAAAAACAAACAAAGAAACAAGCACGCACACAAGATAAGAATTTTCTTTTTACGTGTAAGTCCCTTTTTAGCGGAGCGGAGCACCATGGGTAAGAAAATTTGGTGAACTATCCATCCGCGAAAATTTGGTTATGACGTAGCGTACGCCTGCCCGCCCACCCGTACACACACTTCATGTAAGCCAATGTCAAATGTCACAATAGATCTTGCACAACTTGACTAGCCTCTTAGTTATGTAAGCCATCCGTATGAGTACGATTAGATTGACAGCTGTCAAAATCAGATATCCGCTGACAATTATCACATGACCATCTCGAGGGCTCAGATGAAAGACCAGTCGTTTTGCCCCTATATATAAGCTGATATAATATGTCACACGTACCAATTCAACATAAAAACGAACCTACGGTGGGCAAGGCTGTCAGTTGGCTGACAGTCGTTTAAAGTTATATTGGCAAGCCAAATTAAGGTCAATTGACAGCTGTCAAAATGGGACAAGTGCAGACCACTATCAGAAAACTAATAACGTGGGATCAGGTTTGCTCAGGTATAATTCAACCGGCTTTTACATTTACATGCAGGGAAGGCAATCGCTTTTGACTTTTCTCACTGTCACGCGTTGGTCACGCTCTACGTCCAATTTTTATGTTCTAATTGGTCAAAATTTGACAGGTGAGTTCATGCGAAAAATTCTGGAAACTTGCTTACTCAGGGGCACCCAACGACAATTTTCGGAAAATTATCTGTTCGGAAGACGATTTGAGGTCTAGAATTTTCGGATCATTTTCTGAAAAATTTCTTGCTTGCCTGCCTCTCCTAGGATTTTCGAACTTCAAAACAATCGTATAATTGCCCATTTTTAACGGATTTTTACCCTAAAAAGGTCACCTAGAATTTTCGGGAGCCTTTTTTCTGGCTGAAATTTTCGAAAAGGTATATATTGATCCCTATAATTTTCGGATCACTATACTTTCAGCTAGGAAATCCGAACAGATGAAAAATTTTTAGGGGATAAAAATAAGCCTTTATCTAACGTTTAAATACTAAAGTACGTTCAACAATGCTATGTTTATGTGGTTTTGAACTATATTCTCGTTGGGTGCCCCTGTTACTGATAACTGGAGCTGACAGAGTTTTGTGTCATCTTGTGATGTTTTAAACTGTCTTTTTCTACCCGGTGTACAAAATGAAATACAGCTGCTATCAAGATTGTTCTGTAATTCATGGCTGGTTTGTTTATTGCGCCTTTTGTTGACAAATGCACCGCTTGTCAAAGTCATTGGAAATCCGATTTCGGATGGCATCGTTTTCAAAAATGAGCTTACTCACTTGCCCTTGTTTGAGGCGTAAGAGGGTTGAAAAGTCTCAAGCGATTCTGGAACACTTGATGACCTTCAGAAGCAGCATCTCGACTGGTAAGCCTGAGCAATTATCGTCTTTGATGTGTTTTTTTTTTCTGTTTCCTGAAGTCGAGCGTATGGTTTATGCGGCTTAACTTTATACACGAGCAATGATCTAACCTACAATAGTATCAGGTTTAAAAAGCCTTTAGACATTTTTTGACCGCAAATTCAAAGAAAAGGTTCCGAAGATTATTTAGTTATGATTTTGGCTGTAAACAGAAAGCTCTGAGCGATTTTCTTGCCTCGAGTTCTTCTTGAAAAAGAGCAAACACCAGGAAGCCGGCTTAAAACATAAATAAGCTTATGCTTACCTGACTCATGATTTTCAGAGACACTTTACTCTCAATACTTCTCTTCGTGAATGAAAATTATTGTCTCTGTACATGTTTCACCGAGTTAAATTTATTTTATTGATTGTTAGTAGTCCCTCTCGCAATTTTTATCGCTGCACCGGTTGTTTCCAATCGAACATCGCATGCAGGAATACTCAAAACGCCGCGCGTAAGTATCACTCGCTTTTGAAGATTACACCTAACAAAACCATACACAGTTTAATAAATAAAGGGAAATAAAACTTAAACATAACAATTTCTCTATCATGTTGAAGCGTAAATGGTAACTCTATTAATCGCACTGCAAATTTGGTGCCTGTCAAAACTGAGAACCCGTCCGGCTGGCCGAAAAGTGATTTTGGGAATTTTGTTATCGTTTTCATTAAAAGCCCATAATTATTACCCTGCATATCACATAGGACCTGATTTTTCTAACTGAAATGTCCCGGCATTATAGAATTCTCTTCATGAAAACGTTTTATAATTCAATGCTATAATTTGTTGTGCAAGGTAAGCGCGTGCTTTGATCGTCCTGGATATTGAATGAGTGCAAATTCTCTTGCAAAATTGTGAAAAACTGCAGAATTAGTATACGTAATAGCATGATTTGTAGTGATATTTGGCATAAATACCACGAGTGATATTTCGAAATTGTTATACGAAATTTCACGAGCTGTTAGGCGAGTTAAATTTGCGACAATTTTGAAATATCACGAGTGGTATTTATGCCAAATATCACGTACAAATCATGCTATTATTTGTTTATACTACTACCCACAAAAGGTTTGTAATTTTCACAAGTAGGTATTTCAAATTAAACTGAAATACCACTGCTTTAAGCCAATCATATTGCAAAAAATTTCTCATGTAGTAGTATATAGGTTTAAATACGGCAAAAAATAACAAATTCTGTCCGAGGTCTGTATGATAAAAAAAAGGGCCCCATAGTACTGTTTACCTAAGACGTTATGAGAAAAAGTATGTTTAAAAGGCTGGTGTAAACCAGCCCCCCTATTATATGGAACAGTCAACGGCGAACTCAAATTCATTCAAAATCGCTCAAAAAACCGCTTTTGAGGCAAAAGGACAACTATACACCACAGGCAAGGTAATTCAACGTTTATTTATCATTGATTTACATACATAGTTAGCGATATATCGCTATAAGTGAAGCAAACGGTAAATCCAGTACATTTACTATAAAATAACAATCGGCTGCACAAACAGATTGTGTGGGTGCCCTGTGGTTTACACGCCACCAGATTCGTCGCCAAGATTTACTAGTAAACTAAACTTGTCGAACACAAAAAATCCGGCCTGATTTTTTATTTTGGCCTGTCTTTTAGACGGAGGAATGCAACGTGTAAATTGGCTGCCACCAAAGACTATCGTGGCGCGTGTGTTTCTTAAAATTATATTTCGGGGTTGTCCAATTATCCATAGTCTCTCTAACGGAGCAATGTTGGAGAGACTGGTGAATGCCACATTATGATGCAACGGCTAATGCAAATACAATACACGAATAGGTCTATTTGTTTTCCAGGCCTAATCTACTGTGATCGAACATGATTGATATTTTTGGGTGTACAAATAAGACTATTTAATAACTCGATGTAAAATTTGTTTCAATCTTGGATGGTCAAATTATTTTTCTCTAAAATCACTTATTCTTTGCCTCAAAAGTCAAACGAATATGCCCTGATCTGTGGATTACAAGTTTATTGTTTGATTTAAATATGAATTTATTAACGAGAGCTTCGCTTTTAGCCCTGGCTAAATCTATATATTAATTTATTTAAAACACGACATCCTTTCTTTTGTGAAAGCCGAGCCAACGGGGGTTAAAACTTTTTCAACTTTTTTAATGCACGTTAATGTTATCATGATTAATTTTCACAGGTTCACATTGTTCGTTAAACTTTGTACTCTACTATTTTTTTTCCTGGAATTAATACTTCGAGCTTTTCAAATCACCCAAGCACCCCACAGCCACTTACAACTGAATAAAACAATAAAAATCATTTCTCTGATAGGAGACAAGCAGGAAGCATGGCCGTTCAAAGCCAATTGCACTGCTAACTTCGAAGATGGATCGTAAGGTATGTACTGGTAAGGAAATGATCCCTCACGAAACATTCATATAAAAATACTATACCTCAGACCTACCTACTGCAAACACGTGCTTAGCCAGCGTTAGATTTATTTTGCTAAACTCAGACACCATGCAGGTCATCCAATTCCCTTTTTTCATTAAATCTAACTGCCTCCCTCTACAGTCTTTGTACTTTTAACAGCTAAGTTATTTAATGTCATGTACGACGTCCATACCAAGACCGTTCCTCCAAATCTCGGTAACTTTGTCAAAATAAGTAAAAACAGGATGCTGGTAAAAAACATCACTATCATCCGCGATTATCAACAAATGAACGTTTCTCGAATTGAAGAGAGAAAAACGTCTTTCACTAGAATCAGCATGTCTAATTGGAATTCCACTCCACTTTCTGTTTAAAGTCTCAATAAATCTAATTTTCGTGAAAAAGTAAATAAATAAATAAATAAATAAATAAATGAAAGCGATAATCCCTAAGTCGAAGCGACCACCCAAAATGCGAAATGCAGGGGTCCAGACACATCTACTTGATGGTGGATAATTCAATGCATGTAATTTCGAAGTTATGATATGCGTAGTTGCATGTTGTCGTTAAAAGTTCTTTGTATACTTCAAGTAACACAGCACATAGAGCGAACATAGAGATCAGACCATGCTGGAAATGGTCGCTTACAAGCGGTTAAAGACAATAGAAAATCATAAAACCATCAGTCCCCAATACAGGAGGTGCAGGTCGTTTGCTTGAGGTTCCAACTGTAAGACTTTGACAGGAAAAATTCTAGTGTTTTGGATAGGTGGTCGCTTATGGGAGGTGGTCGCTTACGAGAGGCGGTCGCACATGGAGGTTCGACTGAATGTCGGTCAATTGATAGAGCATTTTATGAAGTTAACGTGAAAATATGTTGTGTTTACCTCAGTTGTATTTCAATTCAATTACTGTCCCTAAAATTTACTGTAACTATTCAAAAATATTTCTGTGTATCTTTCTGCTCGTAATTCTATTTTTTTTCTTTTTGCAATATTTGTTATTGCCTATGTCTAGTCACCTAGATTAGCTTAGTAGCTGCTTCCGAGGCATCCAGTATATTAAATTTTTAATTTTTTACTCTCGTTGATAAAATATTGTTGTTGTCGTTAAGATAATAAAGTTGTTGTTATTTTAACTGAACCATATACAGGTTGGTATGTAACAACGTGAAATGTGGATGTTTTACAAATAATAATAATAATAATAATAATAACAATAACAACAACAACAATAAATACGACATGTATTTGTCAAGAAATATCCTGTAGCACGAAGTTTTGTTAACGAATATGTTGACAGAAAATTGCATTTAACAGATAATATTTACAAACGGATGCAATAAAAGATGGAAGATGATCCTTCACGAGTAAATGCCATTGAAGTATTAGAGAGATTTACAGTCTCGTTCAGGGCAAGTTGGTAACTTTTCAAATTTGAAATGAACAGAAAAAATTGTCCAAAATTAATCTGCTGGATGAACGCAACATGAAACAACTTATTCCCGTGTACAAATAATAAACAGTAAACGACAAGTAAAGGGAAGACGTGGTCACGTGGTACAATTTGACGTTTGCTATAAACGCGATTCTAAATCTCTTATTGTAATGACTATTTTTCACATGAACGCCATCCTTGGAGAACCAGGGGCGGCTAAAACCTCATTCCCAGGGTCCTCTCCTACTCGTCTCTTCGACCCTGATAACGAAGCAGGAGCAGGTAGTCGGGACAAGAAGAACAGGCAAACCCCTGTGAAGCCACTCTTAGTGAGCGAGTTCCACAAGCA